GGCTTTAGCCATTTGAAAGCAGCCTTTTCGCCAAACACAGTATGAATGAACTACATGAATAAACTTACATCCTTTTTGTCAAATGGCATAAGAAATGGGTCTCTGACACTAAGACCGGCAACAACTGTCATGATTGGATCTAGACAGTTGAAGATAGCCCCTAAAATAAGCATTTTTCCAAGTTTAGGCTCCACAGGAAGCATTGACAAATTTTTCCCTGCACAGAGAAAATAATGAGTTCCTCCGAGAACTTAAGATATCAGATGTTTGTGATTATAAATATGTTTTCCAGTAGAAACACACCTAAAGCTGTTAAGTTTTCATTGTCATCAAGAGCACCAATAACCTTTAGATACTCAACAGCATTTTGGACCTGAAAATCAACATGACCATCAAGACTTGATTGTAAACCCCAAACGAGAATCCAACGAGGGGAGAAAAAAAAATTGAAATAAAATATTACCGATAAAGCTTCAGGAGGTTGCAATGCTCTGGAGAGGAACTCTGAAATGCTTCCAAGTCCTAAGCTTTTGATTTGTAGACACAGAGACTGTAACGGGGTCCTTAGAAGTTCTGGTTGCTGATAGTCAGCGAAAGCATCATAGACGCATCTAGGATAAAGGTGATAACATTCTCCAGGCATAACACGACCTGCTCTTCCTCTTCTCTATAGTATAGGAAAAGAAAAGACACAGTATTTATAACTACACAAAGAATGTAAATCAAAAGAAACTATGAGTAGCAATCTTCGTGTGTATCTCTTACTTGGCGAGCAGCTGCCTTTGAAATCCAAGATGGAAGCAGACAAGGGGTATTGTTTAGTGCATCATAAGACGTCTCTTTTGCTTTACCACAATCAACCACAAATACAACATCATTAATGGTGATACTTGTCTCAGCCATATTGGTGGCCAGCACTATTTTCCTTATGCCTTCTGGAGGTCTATCAAAAATCAGCCTCTGTCGAAAGTAAAAGGGAAACATCATCACAAAGACGATACCAAGAGCAGAGTAAGATAAATTTCAACATTGTAACATGTGTTTTACTTGTATGCATAGACAGGCAAACAATAGACACTAGAAGTACCTGCTCAGAGCTGGCCATGGATCCATGACAGGCAAGCAACAAAACTTTGTTGGGGTCGCCCAGAAGAGGATGAGCTTCGAGCTGATTCTTCACGGAGTTTATATCATCCCAACCAGTCATGAATACCAAAACAGCACCAGGTCTCTCTCCTTTGACGATATGACAAAGCACATTCTCAATGAGGTTAAATCCTATTGAATCAGGACTCCAGCATGACATAGAATCTCTAGTACGAAAGTTGTATCCTTTGAAGTCTGCAGCTTCAAGAGCATCCTGCTCACAATTTCAGAAGAAACATACTTCAAGCAAACAACCTGAGAAAATACAAATTCTGTAGTGTGATATAACAAACTATTTCGTACCTCAACAGCAGAGGATATCTGAGATTTTCTTTTCTTGAGCTGAGCTTGTTTTTGCATCTTCCATGTCTTTTCCTCACCATAATCGTCAATTTGATTATATGCTGTCAGCCTGTACCCAGTGGTCTCAAGAAGATCCTCCAAGAAATGGGCTCGGACAGGGTATGTAAAACCCTGTACAGGAATTTTCACTTAGTTCAAACACTCTTCTACAACATGAGAAATATGTTCACACCAAAAGAAAATGTGCATAAACTTACTGGGATATGCATGGCTGGTGCACCATTAAAATAAGACGAAAAGAGCTCAGCGTTCAATGTAGCACTCATTAAAATCAACTTTAGGTCAGGTCGACGAGGAAGGAGATCTTTCAAGACAATAAGAAGGAAATCTGACAGAAAAGGAGAAGATTATGTGTGAATATGAGACTGCCAGTAGTGAATGGAGCACCTTTCAGGCTAAATCACAAATTTTACCTTCATTCATCCCACGTTCATGAATTTCATCAACTACGACATGAGTCACACCTTTCAGGCTACGATCCAAAAGTAACCTTCTAAGTAAAACACCAGTAGTACAAAATAGCAGACGTGTGTCTCTCCCCCTCATTCCTTCAAGACGTACTTTGTAGCCAACCTATGAAAAGGGAAGAGCGCATGTCACCCTCAAAAACAGTCTAATCAAGATATACAATCATAGTTCCTCTAGGGGTCATAGTGTTCAAATTAAACCTGTTCATCCCCATAAACCAATACATATATATCTCACAAAACCAACTGCTCAAGACAAAAGAGTATACAAGAACTTACGGATTCTCCAATTTGCTCTCCACGTTCTGCAGCAACTCGCTCAGAAACAGAAATAGCAGATATTCTTCTAGGCTGTGTACAGATGATGCTGCATGCAGCTCCACGGGCAGCCTCAATCTCAGATTCTAATATGTACTGGGGAAGCTGCGTCGTTTTACCACAACCAGTTTCTCCAGAAACCACTATGACCTGCAAGATGCACATATAATAAGCAGGACCTCAAACAGTTAAGATAAATACCATCATCGATTAGTTTCATAATGATATGATTACATTTAGATAAAGCGGAAGGAATTGAGATTCACCTGGTTTTCTGAAATGACTTTCAATAGTGCATCTTTCTCTTTGTATGCAGGAAGCGTCTTACGAAACTCCACCATCTTCTGGCCTTCTGGAGAATCCTGCCATTGCTGTTGCTTGCTCCTCAGTTGTAAGCTTCTCGGACGGAGTATTCTTTCCCTGGCAAGACTATTCTGCATCACCGTCTCTGGATTCTCATAGTTCCTACGATCCGTCCCTAAACTTTCACTACTGTTTGTCCTAGGCATCTCCGGAATCAACATCTTTTTCTGATCGAGGAAAGAATGTAGATGCGCATCTACATCGCTTTGTAGACCAAACGGCAAAACCACCTTTCATATCCAAAGACACCATTGAAATGAACAATCCATAAGAACATGTAAGAAGACTTAGCAACTTGCCTATTTAAGAAACTCCAATACAAAAATTGTAATAGATTTTAAGGGTCAATCAATACCTCTCTTTGTGGGCGTTTATCATCAAGATCAGGTCTATAATTCGGCAAAGGAGCTTTACTAATGACGATGATCTTCGAGTACTGACGGCTACAAACAACAGAACACATCTCTAAGATCTTGCAGAGTAAATAAAGAAACTATAATACAAATCTAATGAAATGCTTTCACTTGGTAACATGATAAAAATTTACCTGTGTAATCCCATTCTAGCTGCCATAGCTGAGATATGCTCAAAATCACGGCGATCTTTTCTCTCCCTTGACACAACTTCTTGGTCTTCTCTGTTCCGGAGAAGCATAGTAAGTTTGAATCTCCATTGATCAATGTTATCATGCGTCGAATTCGCCTAAAACAACAAATGTTAACAGCAATAAGCATCACAATCACCAAACTTGATAAGTGAATTTTGAGGAAATGAAATCAAATTACCATTTGCTGAGACTGAGAGGAACCGATATCACGGTCAGACTCATCGCTTGATTCGTAGTCATTGTAAGCGATTCGTCCATAGCCGGAGCTTTGATTCTGAAAGTAAGGTGAATTAGACGTTCTCCACTCTACTCCAAGAGTCGATGAAGAAGAAGAAGCATCGCGACGACCTGCTCTGACGGATAAGACCCTTGACCTCTGAGAGTGTGTGACCAATCCTCCTGACCTCCGACAGTGAAGAGACCTAACTAAAGTTGAGGGCTTTAGCAACAACACAGGGCTCCGATGAAGCTGGACGGAGTTTTGTTGGATGAACATGGAGGCAGCACCGACGACGGCGTTGGGTCTGATATTTCCTCGGAAAATTGCAGAGTAATAAGGCATTTTTTCGAGGTTTTTAGAGATTCTTCGCCCGTTTCAGAACATCTGAAGATGCTGAAAAGAGTCGGCTTTTTCCCCGAGAACGAAGACTCGAATCCTCTTTTATCTCTGTTTCTGTTATGGAGTGAAAACAGAGACAATGGTGTTTTGAGTTTGATGAAAAGGTGAGGTTTTTCTGAGGCTGCGCAGGTGCCACAACCCTTTCAAATGACGGCCACGACGGAGAAGAAGACGCTGAGATATTTCATTGGGCCTTTTTCTTTTTTGGGCTAAGTATTATTGGGCTAGTTCAATAAAATCGCTTATAACATAAGTTAAAATGAATTGAAAATTAATACGATTGACACAAATCATACAATACAAGTATTTGTTCTTAGCAACGACCAGTACAGGGGACTATGATCCAGTTTTATTTCTTATTTTTGTTACATGTTGATCTCCACAACTCTTTTTTTCCAAAGCATACATAATACAAAGAACTATGAGTCAAGAGGAGGAGATCTTTCGCTGAAGAATCGAGCTTGAAGAACCATCCAACCAGCTCATGAAAAGCAGTGTTCCATAAGGTATAATCATCCGAGTGTCCGGTTCTGTGATTTGTTAATGGATCCGGGGCCAGATGTTTGGTCATGGACACCTCCACAAGGTAGTGATGAAATGACTTCTAATTTGATCGGAGGCTTGAAGGCTGTGGTGGAGCCTGTTGATTTTCCAACATTTGTCGAATCTGTATTGGAGAAGGACCATTCAGCAGGGTCTCTTTTGATACCTTAATTACCAGGAGGTTGTGATCGAATAAGTTATTTTAAGGTTCGAGTATTATTTTACCATTTAAGGTGCTTAAACTAAATTTTATAATAAAATATTAAGTACGGACCCCTCATGTGATCTTGCATTGAACATGCTCTTAGAGATTCAAATAAACAACACTTTGGTTGACAATTAAGATTGTCTAGTTTTTGGTTTTTCCATTGATATAAATAGAGAAAGGTAATGAAGCAGCGTGGAGAATTATCTCCTACAAACAAGTGAAAATGGAAAAGTGGAGAAGTTGGTTCCTCAACAAGAGGAAAACCATTTCTTCTTATTAACTGAAACAAATGTAAACGATTATATAAAAGAGAAAAAAACTGGCCATACTCGATTAAAATGCATACTTCCGGTTTGGTATCTTGGTTCAGTTAGATTGTCTCTGGTTTGCAGCCTCTTGTGATCCATCCTTACTCCCCTCGCCAAGAAAAGGAGGGGATTTGTCGCTAAAAAAGCGAGCAAGAACTCTGTCTTCAAGAATTGCTAAAACCTCTGGAGAGTTTACGCTTAGAGGTGTCTTGTATTGAGATGGAGAAGCACCCGCGGAGATGAAATATTCCATAATAGAATCAAACGTTCCTTGTTGCACGACTCTTATCTCTAGAGCCCCGATGGAACCATACCTACTCCTAAATCTCTTATAACTATCGTCAAATGATTCTTCCACTACATAGCAACATTCCACCATTACCTTGTTATCAAGCTTAACAATGCCATTAAAGTTTTTGGTTCTAAGCTCCCAGTAAAGAACATAATGACCTGGGACAGAGGAGACATCTGAATAGCATGTGAAGCCCATCAACATTAAACCTGAAGACTCAAGAACGAGTCTCGCATTATTCAACGCCAATAAAACATCTTCTTCAGTTGTTGCCTCTACTTGAATGCTTAGAACAATGTTTCTTCTACGTATAAATTTGAATTGAGGCGCAGCATTATAAAATCCATTCACCTGTAAAATATCTCCCATTCTATATCTGTATAAACCTAGAAACAATAATAGATGGGAAATGATTAGTTTTTATAATAGATATGAGATGTAGATAATCTATAATGGATATTAAATCAGACACACACACACACACACACAAATATATATATATATATGCATAACTCACCGAAATGATTTGTGACCAACACCTCATAGAAGCACCCTAACTTGACGTTAACAAGATCAACAATTTCATCATTGTCTCTTGCATCTACAGGTAGAAACTCGAAGTAGGACATACTGGGAATAAATGTGTAGGACACATCTTGTGGTTTGCATAGAGGATTCAGATTTAAACCAAAAACTGCTTCAGATGACGCATAAGTCATAGAGATGAGAGGCAACTTGTTGGAGTAGAACTCCAATATTGGAATGTATTGACTCATCTGTCCTGTAACTATGCTTTGAATGGATTTGACGTTAGGCCATAGCCGTGTGATGATACCTTCCCATGACTTCTGACTGCATGCATGTTCAATCAGATCTGCCAATTCAAGATTAGGTCCTCCAAGTGTGACGGAGACGGAGTCTCTGCAACCAAGTCAGTGATCCACTCGCTAACATGACCAGATCGGATATTATTACACAATTCTTTCCAGTGTGTTTCAAGAAATTTGATAGCTTGGACTACAGCAGAAGAAAAGGGAATGGAAACACTCACAACCTCTTTTCTCTGGACAAGAGCACAAAGAAGATGACAATACATACTCTGTTTGTTGTCCTTACAAAATATGACTTCGTATGGGCTAACATAATATTTTGATGACCGCTTCTTGAAACCATCGATATCGCTCATTAAAAAGCTGGTGACCGCTGAAGCAATAGGCAAACCAGAGGGAGTCGTAGATAACAGTCCAATGTTAAGAAACGTTAACACTTTTCCACCTTCGACACCATCGATATGCCTATAAACCCAAAATAAAGAGATGAAAATCACAAATATACTTCAAGGACAAGGGATTTAATCATTTATATATATATATATGAAATAAAGATTTACTTGGATAGAATGGAAGAGCGTAGAGCACAAATGAATGCAAAATTCTCAAAGTATTTCTTGTTTACTGGAAAGATCTTTTGTTTCCCTCCAGAAGTTCCGGAGCTTCACACCAACAAGGTCACAAGCATCAGATTTTTGAGTATAAAAACTAAGTACTCCGTTAACATATCATTAGTCTACTATTCGTAATTTGACAGCGTATACCTTATAAGGAAATGAGTAATGGGTTCGCCCGAAATGACATCTGAGGGCTCTCCTTTAGCGACTCGTTCAATGCTATTCACACCAACAAGGTCACAAGCATCAGATTTTTGAGTATAAAAACTAAGTACTCCGTTAACATATCATTAGTCTACTATTCGTAATTTGACAGCGTATACCTTATAAGGAAATGAGTAATGGGTTCGCCCGAAATGACATCTGAGGGCTCTCCTTTAGCGACTCGTTCAATGTATGGCCTAACGTCCTCATAGCTCACCACTGGTACGTTCTTTTTGAAAAACTCTTTATCAGACCTCCCACCCAGAAAACGTCGGAGATACTCTGTGTTAGTGTTCACTTTGAGTATCTCCTCCAACACATCGTCTTGTATTTGCTTTGCATTTGACGTCAACTCCTCTAACTCATCGAGCTTGGAGCTTAGACTCATATTAATTATTAGAGAGTTTAGAAATTGGAAGAAGTATTATTTACTCTCGTAAGATTCAATGTACATGATACATGCCCTTATATAGTAGTAGATACGAACGTTTAACCTAATATAAAATTAATGTGATATATACACAAATCAATCATATATCTTCTTATAATAATTACATATTAATTTAATTAGAAGATTATGTAGTTACATAATCAAAACATGCTCCATTTTTCGGTTATCTAATAGCTTTTCAAAAACTGTAGATAGTTGCAGTTTTTATTTTCAATGTATTTTCATGATAATATTATTTCCATTTTAATATATAATATGATGCATATAAATCAACAAAATAATAATATGTTGATGCTTATATACAATATAATTTTTCTTTTGTTTATATTCCTATATATTTACATATAACTTAAAAAAAAAACTAATTAGTAACATATTTTGTTCAAAATAATAAAATGAACATGTAACATATTAACAATATATAATTTTTTATAGGAAGTAATTAAAATTAGAATTAAGTATTAAGAAAATATATTTCATAATAACAATTAAAAAGGAAATTCTTTTAAGGTGCTTATGTAGACCAATCAAATTGAATTTTTATTTCCTTTTATATATATATATATATTTAATATATATTTCATAATAACAATTAAAAAGGAAATTCTTTTAAGTATTAATATATATATTTAAATATTTTATATTTAAATATATTAAGCAAAATGATATTTAGAAAAATATATATATGAAGTAATTTAAATATATTTAATGATTTTATATTAAATATTTTATATTAAGCAAAATGATATTAAATATTTTATATTAAGCAAAATGATATTTAAAAAATATTTATATATGAAGTAATTTATTAAATATTTTATATTAAGCAAAATGATATTAAATATTTTATATTAAGCAAAATGATATTTAAAAAATATTTATATATGAAGTAATTTAAAGATTATATATTTTAATGATTTTATATTTAAATATATTAAGCAAAATGATATTTAGAAAAATATATATATGAAGTAATTTAAATATATTTAATGATTTTATATTAAATATTTTATATTAAGCAAAATGATATTTTTATAGGAAGTAATTAAAATTAGAATTAAGTATTAAGAAAATATATTTCATAATAACAATTAAAAAGGAAATTCTTTTAAGGTGCTTATGTAGACCAATCAAATTGAATTTTTATTTAAATATTTCTGTCATTAGAAAAAAAAAACTCTATTTTTAAACACTTTAATATGAAGAAAAATAAAATTAAGTGTTAAAGAAATATCATAATAACAACTAAAAAAAAATTGTTTTAAAGTGATTATGTAGACCAATGAAATTCAGTTTCTTTAATCTTAGTTGAACACTTTTAGAGGCTTATAGGATCAACTTTTATTTTAGATCATCGTATTCCTAATAGTAAAATGAATAAAATCATTGTATTCCTAATGGTAAAAGGAATCACTATGCAATAAGGAAATTAGAGAAGTGGTAATTACAAAATTAGAAATTATCCTAATCCTAATCTTTCTACAAAAATATCCGATTTATAAAACAATATCCAATTTATTGGATATTAAAAAAAATGTAAATTTGCTAATAAGAATAAAAAAAAAGAAAATAGAAAATTAATTATTCAATAAAAAAAATAATGACATGGACCAATCAAATTCAATTTCAGAATCCTATGTGGATATTCTCTAATGCATATAAGGTCAACTTTTATTAGTAATAGATACTAATACAATGGCATATAAGTATCAATACGGATTAACCCATCTATTTATACGGAGAAAGCCATCTATTTATTATATTTCTGGATTAAAATGTTTTATATGGTTCGGCCAATCAACCCTTTTCTCCTTAGTTATTTAATAATTTTTTTTTTTTGTGGTTTTTAAATATGATCGTGATGTAATGTAAACCCTTTAACAAAAAAAAAATGATCGTGATGTAATGTGCTAAATAACAACAATATACATGCAATATGATCGTGCATTTTTTTCTGTTAAAGAATATGATCGTGCTTCGTGCAATGCTATTTAATAGCTCACCTGGCACGTGTTAATCGATTATATATATTTTTTTATAAGGCACGATCGTATTAACTAAAATAACTTGATCAAGTCCGTCACCTCATATTTTCGATAGTGTACATGCACGATTATATTTATACTAGGTTTGAAGCCCCGCGCAAGCGCGGGGTTGTTTATATTTTTTCTGTTTAATTTTATTTATACTCGTTGATTTGAATTATGATGGTTTTGTGTTAACTTTCATGTTTTTGTTATGTTTTGAGTTAACTCAACCACTAACACTAAAAAATATGAATAATTTGTTTTTTTTTAATTTATTAGGATATTAACACCCCGCTTTATCTCGAGTTTTCTATTTCTAAAATTTTATCATGTTATAAATATTATGTTTGTTTACTTTTTTTTTTACTTCTATTAGACTGTAAACATGTATATGTATTTGATTGAAGGTTAAAATTTATAAATATGTATATGCATTTGACTGAAAGGTTAAAATTTGTAAACATATTCTTGTTTTTCACTACAATTAAATTTACATATAAAACTCCATTTCTATTTGTTTAGAAAAACAAACTCTAACTCTAATTTTTCATTAGCTTTCTATTATCTTAATTAATTTATATTCAACTTTTTAACTTGTAAACACATTATAACATTTTTAAATAGGATAATCCTTTGAATAAAAAGGTAAATATATACTATTTGAAGTTAAATATTTCTTTACTCCATCTCTATTTTATATTCCAACTTTTTGATAACTTTTAACATCAAATTATCACATACTTTCTATTAATTAATTAATTTATTTGTATTTTTTATTAAATATGAATAAATGTAAAGAAATATGAATAGTCATATATTTAATAAATATTTTAAATACAATTTGTTTTTGTGCTGATGTGGACACTCTAGATGGAGAGAGCAACTCCCTAATTATATATAAGATTTAGCATGTCAGCTCGTCATCCTGAATTTTAAAATATATTAACACGACAGCCCATCACCTGTTATTTTATTTCTTTGAGACTCGATCGTCGTATCGATCGATTATTATCATATTTTGTGTTAATATTTACTATAATTAGTGGTTATAAACTAGTTATAATGCAATGATCTTAAAAACTTAAAATGAAGAATATAATATTAAACTTAATGCAAACTTAAAGTTTATATTCTAAACTTAATGCAAACTTAAAGTTTTAATGCAATGATCTTAAAAACTTAAAATGAAGAATATAATCTTAAACTTAATGCAAACTTAAGTTTAACTTAAAATAAACTTAAAATGAAGAATATAATGCAATGATCTTAAACTTAATATGTTTAGTAATCAGGAAAACAGCTGGTTGTTGTGTTACTATTAGGAATCATGGATTTCAACTTAGAACCAATTGACAAAGAATGGATTAGCATATAAATTTTATATATCTATTAAGAATAATCTCTATTTTCCATTGGGACTTCTAATATTCTGATAGATCATGTTGAAATGAGGGCGAGACAACGCATCGTTATCTCAGAAATATATACCACAACGGGCTATTATACATACCATTTTTAATATCAAATGTTAAACTATTTTTTATTGTGAGAAATTGCTTGTTAGACTAAATTTGGCTCTGATACTATATTAGGAATCATGGTTTCTAACTCAAAATCAATTGGTAACGAGTGAATTAGCCCATTAACATTATATACTTGTTAAAATTAGTCTCCATTTTCGATGTGGAACTTTTAACATTCTAATAGAGACAGAGAGGGGGACACTACCATTGTAAGACTCAACCTTGAACCCTGTTCTTTTCTTTTCTTTTTTATAATTCAAGCAAGCCACTTTCATCGAATATTATGTACAGACAAAATAAGAATGAATTAAAAAGCGGATATTTTACCATTCTCATAAACAAGACCAAAGGGAGAAGAGCAGCCAGGTCCTCCTCCAGTTGACCTGGGATTGTTCTAATATTTGATGAAGTAGTAGAACATTTGATCTTCCTTTGCCTCACTAACACAGTAACACCAATGCACTTATATCATAAAAATCCAAAAACTAAGAACACAACGTCATACTTTAATAATAGTTAGGATGATGTTGAGTAGCAGAACCCGGTTTCAAGCTCAAACGCAAGAGGGCCTTTGAATCCAAAATATCTAATGATAGAACCTGAATCAATACAAGCAGAAGTTGCATTTGCAGCAAAAGCAACTTGAGTATCCCGGAACCCTTTTTATATTTTTTTAACGAGATTTAGAGTTTTTAATGACGAAACATCTCTTTACTAAAAAACCAAAAAGTGAGAGAAACCCGTTCAAAAATGACTCACTGCCTAGAAAACTGTGTGCCGGTCCAATAACGAGAACTGAGACAATGGTGGATGAAGAAACCCATACGGTGTGGTTTGTAGCTTAAGAATATTCAGTTTTGTTAGGGGTTTAGTTTGCAATTTCCTATTAAAAATTACTAGGGATCAGCTGCCCCGCGCAAGCGCGGGGTCGTAATGTTCAAACCCATATAACCCACGTAGAGGAGAAGATTAGATATGTGTGATGATTCGCCCAATCTCCACAAAAACAATATTCACGTCTAACAAATTATTCCGATGTATTTACGATCCTCTTTTCATGTAACAATCATAAACACTCAATTGCATATAACCCATTTTCTTTTTCATTTTAACTTTTTACAATCTCATAAAATAAAACATGTTAAGTTATGGTCATAAATTCGGTCACCAATTTTTTTCGTTATGTTGAAATGAAATATGTAACGGACCTATTTTTTTCCCACACGTCTTTGTGTCAAATATGTCTTACCCGAGCATAAGCTAAATCAGAGAAAGTGTACATGGGATAATTACAGAGGACCAGTTTCAAATACATAGTTTAAGATCTATGACCGACCAGCCACTCCTGAAATAAACATCTGTAATGTTGTTTCCCCCCAAAAAAAAGAAAAAAAAGACATCTCTAATCAATTCCTCCTCCATTTTTCCGATTCCATATCGAGAAAATTAAATATGTGTTTCACTCCGGCGATATTCAGTTGGAAAATCTGAACCTTTGATTTGGGTTGTAGTGTATATCTGTATATTTAAATAGGCTCTGTGCTATGAAGTGTTGAGATTTCTTAGGTTAATTTTAATATGTGTGATGACAAATATTAAATTTAATTATTTAGATTAATTATTTCGAAATGGGATCCACTAAGAGGGGTGATTTTGCCTACGTGGATAGTCTAGGAGGAGAGAGTCTTCTCCTATTATATATAAGATATTTTTTGTCATTTTGAGGATGGTCCATAGTAAGTTTAAATCTCCATTGATCAATGTTATCAAGAGTAGAATTTGCCTAAAACAACAAATATAACAGAAATGAGCAACGCAAGAAAACAAAAATCTCCAAACTATGTTTTTAGGTTTGAATTAATTTTACATTCAATTCAAAAAAATAACAATAATAAGTGAATGTGCGGAAATTTCACCAAATTATCATTTGCTGAGACTAAGAAGAGCCATTAATTTTTGGTCCTATATTTAGAGATTTAAATAAATACAAAAAAAGAACACTTTGATTGGCAATTAAGATTGCCAATTTTTTGGTTTTTGATTTCATAGATATAAACAGAGAAAGGTACTGAAGCAAAGTACAGAAGCAACATGGAGAATTATCTGAAGGTGGAGAAGTTGGTCCCTCAACAAGTGAAATACCATTTCTTCTTATTAACTGATGGCAAAAAAAGCAAAAAAAAAAAAAAAAAAAAAAAAAAAAAAAAAGAAAACCGGTCATACTCGCGTACTTCCGGTTTGGTATCTTGGTTTAGTTTGATTTTCTCCGGTTTGCAGCATCTTGTGATCCATCATTATTCCCCTCGTCAACAAGGATAGGAGGGATTTTGTCGCTGAAAAAACGAGCAACACATTTTTCTTCAAGAATTGCTAAAACTTCTGGAGAGTTTACGCTTAGAGGTGTCTTGTACTGAGAGGGAGAAGCACCATTGGAGACGAAATATTCCATAAGAGAATCAAACGTTCCTTGTTGCACCACTCTTATCTCTAAAGCGCCGATGGAGTCACTTTTACTCCTAAATTTTTTATAGATAACGTTAAATGATTCTTCCACTACACGGCAACATTCCACCATTACCTTGTTATCAAGCTTAACAATGCCATTAGGGGTTTTGGTTTTAAGCTCCCAGTAAAGAACATAATGACCTGGGACAGAGGAGACATTTGAATAGCATGTGAAGCCCATCAACACTAAACCTGAAGACTCAAGAACGAGTCTCGCATGGTTCAACGCCATTACAACATCTTCTTCAGTTGTTGCCTCCATTTGAATGCTTAGAACAATATTTTTTCTACTTACAAATCTGAATTGAGGCGCAGCATTATAAAATCCAGTCACTTGTAAAATATCTCCCATTCTGTATCTGTATAAGCCTAGAAACAATAAAAAATGGAAATGATTAGTTGAGATGTACATTATCTACAATGGATATTATATCACACACACACACACACACACACACACACACACACACATATATATATATAAATATATGTAACTCACCAAAACGATTTGTGACCAAGACCTCATAGAAGCACCCTAACTTGACGTTAACAAGATCAAGAATTTCATCATTGTTTCTTGAATCAACAGGTTGAAACTCGAAGTAGGACAAATTGGGAAGAAATGTGTAGGACACATCTTGTGGCTTGCATAAAGGATTCACATTCACCCCAAAAAATGTTTCAGAAGACGAATAACTCAAAGAGATGAGAGGCAACTTGTTGGAGTAAAACTCCAATGTTGGAATGTATTGACTCATTTGTCCCGTAACTATGCATTGAATGGATTTGACGTTAGGCCATAGCCGTGTGATGATACCTTCCCATGACTTCTGGCTGCACTCATGTTCAATCAGATCTGCCAATTCTTGATTAGATCCTCCAAGTATGGCAGAGACAGATTCTCTGCAACCAAGGTCAGTGATCCACTCGCTGACATGACCAGATCTTATATTATTACACAACTCTTTCCAGTGGGTTTCAAGAAATTTGATCGCTTGGACTAACGCAGAAGCAAAGGGAACAGAAACACTCACAACCTCCTCTCTCCGGACAAGAGCACAAAGAAGATGACAATACATACTCTGTTTGCTGTCTGCACAAAACATGACTTCGTCAGGGCTAGCATAACGTTTTGATGACCACTTCTTGAAACTATCGCTCATTAGAAAGTTCGTGACCGCAGAAGCAATAGGCAAACCAAAGGGAGTCGCAGATAACAGTCCCATGTTTAGAAACGTTATCGATTTTCCTCCTTCCTTGACACCATCAATATGCCTATAAACCCAAAATAAGAATATGAAAATCACAAATATTTTTCAAGGACAAAAAGATTTATATATATATATATAAGAAAGATTTACTTGGATACAATGGAGGAGCGTAGAGCATAAATGAATGCAAAATTCTCAAAGTATCTGTCGTTCACTGGAAAGATCTTTTGTTTCCCTCCAGTGGTTCCAGAGCTTCACAACAGCAAGGTCACAAGCATCATATTTTCAGAGTATTAAAACTAATAATCATGTGATTAATCTACTTATAGCAATTTGACGACATATATATACCTTATCAAGAAATTAGTAATGGGTTCGCCCGAAATGACATCTGAGGGCTCTCCATTAGCGACCCGTTCAATATAAGGCCTAACGTCCTCATAGCTCACCACTGGTACCTTCTTTTGGAAGAGCTCTTTATCAGAGCTCCCATGGAGAAAACGTCGGAGATACTCTGTATTGGCGTTGACTTTGAGTATCTCCTCCAACAAATTGTCTTGTATTTGCTTCGCATTTGACGTCAACTCCTCTAACTCATTGAGCTTCGAGCTTAGACTCATATTTGGTTTTGATATCTTGATTCACATCAACTGAAGGGTTCCTTATATGAATGTAGAGCAAATGGAAGCCATTATTTATTTTATTTTTTTAAACAACATGGTTTTATTTGTTTGTATAATATAAGTGATAATATAAGTCAATGCTGAGCAGTTAATGTCAATTCTTATGCATCTGCATTTGCCAAATATATTATTTTACTGGTATTTAAAATTAGGAGATATATAGGGGTTGCTTGGTAGATACTTTAGGCTGTAGGCTTTTGTTTAGATCTGACTATAGAAACTTTCACTTATAAAATATGACTAAATATAACTGTGACTTTAAAATAAATAAAAGTCCGATTTCAGTAGCTTTTGGTAGTCAAGGCGTTTTCATTTTAAGGTATTTTCATTTTTTGTTTTAATGTAGAAATAATGAATAATGGTTAGTTCATGAAATAACCGAAATTTCTTTATCCATATAGAAGATCAAAATGCTTAAAGTTAGTTTCACTAATAACTACTACCATTAAAAAGTACTACACTGGGACAACGTGAGAATAAAACTCATCAAAACGACTTGCATACCTCTGATTTTGTTTCTATAATCACATGTTTCTCGCATCATGGTATTCGGAACAATAATTCCCCTCCCACGAATTCTTTACCCAACCAAACATTCAATGTTGCCTGAATCATCCACATGAAGATCTGCAGATTCAACGTATTTTGTATCGTTTGACCAATCAACCCTTTCTCCTTAATTATTTAACGAAACTATTTAATCTCATCGTGCATTTGTTTTATAATTTTTAAATATGATCGTGATGTGCATCGCCGCATGGCATGACCAATCAACCCTTGCTGACGTTTTTATGAATTTCCACTCTCTGATCATATCTGAAAAATAAAATAAAAAAGTGCAAGATCATATTAAACAATTTTATCAGCTCGGTCACCTTAAATTTTCAATACAGTGTTGGCCATGCAATGCACGATCATATTTACAGTACAGCTCGTCTGCGTCACCCTAAACTTTAAATTATATTAACACGTCTGCCCGTCACCCTGAATTTTAAAATATATTAACATGTCAGTCCATCGATCACCCGATCTATTACTTCTTTGATCTTAGCCTAGAACAAGAGATCTTAGTCCGTAAACAACAAAGACACTGGTTTGTGGGTTTGGTTTATAAAGAGGCGGTCACACGATAGACTATAAACCAGATGAGACTTCAATTATGTTCATGAGGTGAACAAGTGGCCGACCTCTTTAAACACTGAAACCTTAATCTTGGAGTGGTCTTATTAATGCTAAAGCCGAAAGTGTTTGGTTTAATGATTTTTATCAGAAATAAATGTTAGTTACATTTTAGACTATTTTATCAGAAAACAATACGTACTGATTCTAATTGTACACTATTTTTGTTTGTTACTGAAATGGAACACATGAATAACAGACAACGTGGATTTTGCAATATTTGAGAACATTGAAAACAAAAACATTGTAAAATTAGCGAGACTGTGGGGAAGTAGTAAACCAGATGATGAACATACAAACATAAGAAAAATCAACTTAAAAATATAAAAATTTATTGAGTGATGAAGATATCCAAAGCATAGATCTTTGTGACTCCATCTTGTGCATAACTCATTTGATTTGAACTTTGGATACAAATGCGTTAATATTGATATCCGTGGAACCTCCTTTACTGAGTGACTTTACAGCCAAATCTCTCCATTTTTCAGCGTTCTTTTTCATCTCTTTGCCTTTATTTCCTTCCATCACTTCCTTTAATGCTAAACTCAATCTCCTCTCTTTTGGCAATCCCACTTTCTTTCTCCACCTTTACACGAACTCCAACCTTCCACACATCTTGAATGTACTTTGCATTCATCGGTTGATCTGTCCATTGAGGCATAGCCACCATTGGCACCCCAAAGGTCAACGCTTCCATGGTTGAGTTCCAGCCACAGTGAGTCATGAAACAACCAATAGCTTTGTTTGCTAAAACTTCAAGCTGAGGACTCCATTTCAAGACCAAGCTCTTGTCTTTATTCACTGTCTCAAGAAACCCTGATGGGAGCTTTTCCTCCTCTGAAGATCTGACCACCCACAGAAAAGCTGAAGTTGCTTATTGCTGAAGCAAGCTCCTCCATTTGCACATTATTAAGCTCAGCTAAGCTCCCAAATGCTACATACACCACTGACCCTTGTGGCCTCGTATTGAGCCACTTAGAGCATAAGGCTCCATCTTCCGAGTCAAATAGATTCATGTCGTAGTCGGTGTCTGATTTGATCCGTTGGTCTAAGTACATTGATGGAATAGTCGGACCAATTGTCAACACAGGACAAACATTTGACAACAGTTCCTTCTCCTGTAACGAAAACAGAGTTTAATAAAAATTAACAAAACAAGACTTGGTTGAGGAAGTTGTAAGCAAGATATCTAACATGAAGGTCCAGCTCTTGGAAGGTATTAACGAGTACGAAATCAGCTTTCTCGAAGTTTGTAAACTGTTGAAGCAGCATGTCAAAGAAAGCAGGGTAAGATCCAGAAACAGAGATGAAAGAAGGCACATCTTGAAGCTCAAGAAAAGGCAATTCCTCAATGGGAAGGTCCAAGCTTCCATTGTTTTTGTAGGAAAGATAATAAACGTAGTTACAGGACAAGACTGCGTAAAGAAAGGAGCCGCAGCTAAACCAAACTCTCTGGCAACGTCGAGTGCCCAAGGCAAGAAAGCATCGTAGACAAGACAAGTGATGGGGTTATCAGTAGTCTGGTGTTTGCGGATGATGTCGCAATGGTTTTGGATCCGAAGATTTTGAAGTTTTGGAGGTAGACGTGGATGGGATCAGCTGAGTTGAAGCGGCCTTGGTCGTAGCCGTCTGAGAAGGTGGCTATGGAGATTGGACCAGACGGGTCAGGTTTGATGGAGTTGAAGATGAAAGTTGTGAGAGTGAGAGTGGTTTTGAGACCTTTGGATTGAAGACGTTTGCAGAATTGACGGATGGTGTGATGTGTCCTTGTGTTGGATATGGCACTGCCAACACATGTCCTCTCTTCTTCCCCATCTCTCTCTCTAGAACAGTTTTGCCTTGACCAAAATAATTATGCTTAAGGAGATTAAGACTAAATCATTCATGAATACATCTAGAATAAAATTTGTAAAATTAACCAGAACAAAAATATACTAGACCTTCATCGTTATATTCTTGTACAGTAAGATCTTAATGGAGACAAAAAAACTAAATAGTAAGACTGTAAGAGGCAAACGGAGTAAGAAGTGAAAGTATTTATTCTGTCTATAATAATTACCACAACAAAAAAAAATTTCAGAATTAATTAGTAATTTTTATTAACAGAAGGTCGAACCTTTTTAATTAATTTTTGAGGTAAAATTTGAGATCTTATTTTTTTGTCAAATGTGAGACGAATCTCTGGCATTTAGTTATTGTAGTATACGACGGTGAATATAATTATCCTTCACTAAATCCAACTTCAAATTGTCTTATTAGGGTAGGTTAGAATATACCGATTTGATCCTTTATTAAAAAATGAATATTTTGTATAAAGGAGATTGTGCATATTAAAATAGGAAAATAAATTTTAGTATAATTAATAGGCATTTAATTATATTCCATGGAAAACGAAATCGATCCTCGTCCTCCCATTTTGTCAATGTATTTTGTGTTACTCATTTCTGCTATTTGATTCACGTAAAATTCCAAACCCATAAAATAAAATAAAACTTATAGTAATGTGCCTTATATCACGTAAACTACATAAATATTTTTTTGCATTACAAAAACAATATGGTAATATCATTAATTCAACCATTATCAAAAAAAATATCATTAATTTAACATTTTGATAATTTTTTAAACAATAATTATACATTTCGTGATTATGTCTCTTTTCGCAAAATCTAAAACAAAATACAAAACTTCTAACAAAGTAAATATAAATTGGTTTCTGTATCTTAAATTAGTTTATGCTTCTGTATCGTAGTGTGAGTATTTCCTCGAATATATCATCTTGTATATGCTACGCATTTGATGTTAACTCTTCCAGATCCTTAAGCTCAAACTCAAAGCCTGAACTCATATTTGATTTAATCGCTAATTCATTTCAATGGTTTAACTAAATTGATTTAAATTGAAGGTCTCAAGCGGACAAAACGATTTGATTTGATTCGATCCGTATAGAGCAATTTACACAAATAATAAATTTAGAAAATTGTGTGACTCAATTAATCAACCTATCTAGCTGTCTTTTAAAAGACAGATGTTGCTGTCAACTGATCTGTATCTTTGAAAGTAGAGGAACAGAAAAATATATTCGTATGGTTTGAAATTATTTGACAGCGCAGGTATCACAAAGTGACAAAACTAATTTATAATTGATGATCATAGTAATAATTGTGATAACTAAGGAAATAGTTAAATATTTCCTCGTTTCATACTCGTTGTCATTTTAAAAATGTATATATTTTGAATTAAATGCATTTTTAAAATGACATTTTTTTTGACAACAAAATGTCAACTAATCATGAAATAGAGGAAGTAACACATCATAAAAAATAGTAGGAGTATACGTTCTCATAAAAGCAAGTTCACCGAGTCGTTTTTTGGTCTATTGAGATTGTTATTCATTAATGTTCTTTATTAAAAACAAAAAATTTGATAAATTAAAAACAAAAAAAACAACAAATTAACTCAAATTTTGAGTATTCATCATAACTTTATAAGTACAAGAATATTTGTTGCAGGAGATATTCAGCTCTAACGCTAATAATAGTTCCGACGCTTTCTACGTGGAAGCTCTGATCAGAGCTTTTCAAGAATAACATACCGATGGTGAACTAACTATGAGGATGTTAAACCTTACATATCGAGCAGTTTGCGATTGTATAAAACCCTCAATATTTCATTTTGGGTGAAAGCATTACTAATTTCTTACAAAGGTAAGCATTAATTGTTAATTTCTTGAAAGAATTTTTGTTTATCATATGATTAACGGAAACCACCTAATTTGAATAATATGTTGCATTATTTAACTGGAATACCACATATCATTAAAATTAAGATAACAAAAATCTCACAGTTACATAACAAAATCCCACATATCTCCACAAACATAAACCAACTGGATAACTTTCTAGGTTTCTCCCTTCATTATTGTTCAAGTACGTGCACTGATTGTTTTTTTTTTTTTTTTTTTGTGTGTGGCTAATCGTGATTTTTTAGTGGGTGGATCAAACAGGAGGGGATTTGTCGCTGAAGAACCGAGCAATAACTTTGTCTTCAAGAACTTCCAAACTTGTGTAGAAGCACCTTTGGAGATGAAATATTTCATGAGCGAATCAAACGTTCCTTGTTCAAAAACTCTTATCTCTAGAACCAAGAATAACAATTATAACGAACTGAGAGAATATGTTTTTAAAATAATTAAGAAAATCATTAACTGAATAAAAGGAAAGTTGAAGAAAATTTCATGATTTTTGCAGAAAAATCTAACAACTGACAATTAATTTACTCGAAAGTAAAAGACAAAGAGAGCTTATCTACAAACTAGATTCTTGACAACTTAATCGAAAGATTATAGCTAATCTTTGGTGTTACACAAGAAGACTTTTATACTAGACGCTAAACCTAGACCTAAGGTTTAACACTCGTATATGCAGCTTTCCTTTCTTGTATTCTCGCTGATCCTTTCCCGGAGTGAACACTCTTGTTTCCTTGCGAATCTTCCATTCCTTGATCTCCATGACTCCATGCACTGTATATTTTCAGTGATACTGCTTCTGAATTGTAATCCGTCTTTGGTAAGTTGTAACACGTCAGCTTCCAAACGTCCGTTCTCGCATTTGCCTTGCGATGCTTCGTTTGATCCGTTCTATGAGTGATCAACAATTCAGCATATTGCCTCAAAACACGCATTTTCATGATCCCTTTTGTTTTTTGATCAGCTATCCAATATGATCCTTTATTTATTTATTTTCAATGGAAAACGAAGTCGATCCTCGTCCTCCCATTATCTCAATGTATTTTCTGTTACTTATTTCTGCTATTCGACTGCAAAATTACAGTAGAATGCCTTATATGATATATCACGTAAACTACATAGACAATTCTTTTTCATGACAACACGGTCCTTTTTACAAATAACTTTTTCATATTTTTTTACAATAACTAATTAACTATGCATTTTGTGACTGTGTCTCTTTTTAGAATAAACCAAAAAAAAAATATATATTATCTTCGTCCGTATCCACCAACTCCCTCTTTTCCGAACTTTAGTGAGCAGATCCATTATGATATAAAAAGTATATATATGTTTATTAGCTGTATGTCAGTGTAATCGAGATTTGCAAGCCAGAAGTGCAAGAATCAATAATTCCACGTTTAAATTTTTCTCTATCTCTGAAAATAGGACTATAAAAATAAGTCTCTGTCTCGTTGAGTTTTTTCCATCTTGATTTCATTAATACGAGTTTCTTTCTTCCCCAAATTTTTTAAATGACGTCATCCATATTTAGATCTCCTTGCAAGATTTCGGCGATGAAAGGTTTTGAGCACAAGAGCTACGTGGGACTTAAAACAACATTGTATAACGCGAGAGCCAATCCTTTACGAATCACAGAAGTTGCGTGTCAAGTGAAAATGATCGACTCCACCATAATACGGCCGGTAAATGCACCTCAGGCGCATCCACTTCCAACTAAACCAGCGTCTCCTGTGATTGATCAGCCTCTTGTAAGTAAATAAATCTTTTTTTACCCGACGCTATAGCTCAATCAGCATACAAGTTAGACACCCAAATTATAGTGTGTTTTAAGAAAAACATTTTAAAAAGAAAACAATTATTAGAAGGTTCTGGGCTGAAATATTCTTAGGACCATAACATTTTATATGGTCACATCCCAAACGTCACTGGATCCTAAGAAACAATCTAATGCGAGTTATGTGTTTTCAGCAGTTAAGCCGACGTCCACGTCGTAACCGAAGTTCCCCTGCTCAGAGAGCTGCCTTTCAAGAAACTAATCTCTCTCCTGCAAATTTAATTTATCCGCTCTTCATCCATGAAGGTTACTTTTAGTTTTGATACTTCAGCATACCCATTTATCAAAAACGATTTATAGTTTTTATGCATTAACATTTCTCTTTAAGAAAACAATTACGTGACTGTATACATGGGAGTCTCGCAGGTGACGTAGACATTCCAATACAAGCGATGCCTGGACGTTACATGCTTAGCAAACACGGCCTCGTCGAAGAAGTGAGTGTTCTTCATTGATGTGTTCCTAAGCTCTAATTTTACTTGTATATATTATTGTTCACGATTTATTCTACCAAAAAATAAAGACTTTCAGTTATATATAGTATCCATGTCAAACAAGCGTCATGTGTTATAAAAATGAAACATCTTCTTGGCTAAACATGATACTAATCCACTCGTGTGTATTTGGGATAACAGGTTGCAAGGGCACGAGATGTTGGTGTAAATAGCATAAAGTTGTATCCTAAAGTTCCTGATGCGTTAAAGGTTTTATCACTTTTTTCTTCTTGATTATTATAAACCCACATGACGTTCCCATGCATCAAAAATTTAACTTTTCCTTGTTTAGTCTCCAACAGGGGAAGAGGCGTTCAACGAAAACGGTCTAGTGCCACGAACGGTTCGTCTTCTCAAGGACAGATTCCCTGATCTCGTAAGATACATATATTATGTTTGCTCATTAGCCTATAGGACGTGGTCAAGATGATAATGACTCTTTTCATTTTAATTTCATAAGGTTATATACACTGACGTCAATTTTGATGAGTACTCACCAAGTGGACACGGTGGGATCGTAAGAGAAGATGGTAAAAAATATTTTTTTTGTAGAATTTTGAAAGAAAACAAGACAAGTTCATAGTGATTTCCAAACATCTATATATGTTTTGTAGGCGTCATACTAAATGATGAAACAATTTATCAATTGTGCAAACAAGCAGTTTGTCAGGTAAAAGGAAAACCACCCTTTTTAATCAACGAAACAATAAAACAACATTTGAGTTTTTAATAAGAACGAGTGCATGCAGGCCCGTGCTGGAGCGGATGTTGTTTGTACCAGTGAGATGTTGGATGGTCGTGTAGGTGCGGTTCGTGCAGCTTTAGATGCTGAAGACTTTCAACATGTTTCCATCATGTCTTACTCCGTCAAGTAATAATACTACTTATCATCTCATCTTGCTTTAGTTTCTATTAATTTCGACCTAATTAATTGTGGCTACTCTCCCAATTAATAGGTATGCAAGTTCACTGTACGGCCGTTTTCGGAAAGTGCAATTGGACAAGAAAACGTAAAACAAGCACTATGTTTACTTTCACATTTTTTCTCTTACAAGTTACAAACTAAACAATAATTATGTGTATTTAACTATAAGATTTCTTAGCTTGCCCTTCTAATTTTAAATTATTGTTGTTAAATGGTGGGTGAATAAAAGATATCAGATAAACCCAGCAAACTCGAGAGAGGCATTGATCGAAGCACGAGAAGACGAAGCTGAAGGAGCCGATATCCTAATGGTGAAACCAGCACTCCCTTCACTGGATATCATACGTTTATTGAAGAACCAAACTCTGTTGCCAATTGGAGCTGTCCAAGTTTCAGGTGAGTACTCCATGATCAAAGCCGCCGGATATCTCAATATGATTGATGAGAAAAAGGTTATGATGGAATCATTGATCTGCATACGTCGAGCTGGTGCAGACCTCATTATTACTTACTTTGCTCTTCAAGCTGCTGCAGTATTGTGCGGCGAGAGTAGACCGGTTACATTTAACAGGTGATTTGTTTATTTGGTTGTGTATGCCTTTGTTTGTATGTTTTTTATTTTATTTTGTTCAGACGTCGGTTTGTATGTTTAATATGCATTAATTTATTTCAAATATAAGGTACACAACCGAGAGTACCACAATGAAATTAGTTCAGAAAGATATTAAGATTGAACCGGTTTTGAGAAAAGGAGAATAAGTAGCATCACATAATTCACCCATGTAAGAAAGTCGATAATAATCACAAATTAGTATTTGGTCTTTGTATATTCGACATTTTTTTTTTTTTTTGGGTACAATGCAATGTTTTTAAAACCGGACCGGACATGGAACCGAATATGTCATCGGGTCATGATTCAATGTGGTCTGACCGGTTGGACCGGGTTTTCTATTTTTTAATAATAATTATATTTATATATAGAGAAATAATATAAAAATAACTAAATAAGATAATTCATAAAAATGTTAATTACAAGTTTAAAAAAGTTTCAGAAACTAAGTTTGAAAGAGTATCTCGTTCTATTTCCTGAGATAAAGTCTCATCCTCATTACCTAAAATCAAAAGTAGTAATAGTAATAGACGAACATTTGAATTACTCGGCTCAAATAAGAAAAAGGCCCAATGGAAATATCTCAGCGTCTTCATCTCCGTCGTGGCCGTCATTTGAAAGGGTTGTGGCCTGGGTTTAGGTTAATAATTTGTCGGCCACTGACTTAAACTCAAACTCACAAGAGGAATCGGGTTTTTGGCTCTCGGCCACTGAGCATCATTAACAGATAATCCCTGATTTTACGGTTTTATTTTGATTAAGCCAGATGATTAAAACTCTTTTTGTTTAGGTTAATTTGTTGAATGAAAATAAGAGTAATTGCATTGGGTCTACCAATAACTTCAAAATTAGCCGACAATAAAGTTGCTACTTTACTGACATAGAGAGAGAACTAGGATAGGACAATGGTATCCCTCTAAAATTAGCCGACATGTAGTGTGTTTCACTTGTTCAAATCCGAGAATGAGGTAACTTCAGTTTTATTTCTATGAAATTCTTACTTTGGAATTAATTGGTTTTGGGCTTTTGGCAGTGAATTATGTTAGTTTGATTGACCCACCACCAGTCCACCACATGGCTCCAAATAGTTTGATTGTCTTAATTGAAAATTAAAAGGGCCTCCCTCTTTAATGTAAAATATAATACGTCGAACTACTTCCTTCTCCTTGCATGCATAGCCACACCCACACTATAACTTTTGTCCCTTCGGTGAGGAAAACGTTTTCGATTGGCTCGAGGTAGTAGATTTTATATTAAAGAGGGAGGACCCTTTTCAATTAAGCCAATCAAATTATTTGGAGCCATGTAAGTTAACGCTCCAAATAGTTTGATTGTCTTAATTGAAAAGGGGCCTCCTTCTTTAATACTGTATAAAATCTAATACGTCGAACTACTTCCTTCCTTCTCCTTGCATGCACACCAAGCCACACTTATAATCCAACCGACACTTTGGTCCCACGAAAAAAATCAGTGCGTGAACCACATTGTAACACCATTTAATACTAACGACCCACCACCACAAAATATGACTTGGTAAGGGCTAGCATAACATTTTGAAGACCGCTTCTTGAAACTATCGCTCATTAAAAAGCTCGTGACCGTGGAAGCAATAGGCAAATATGTATGAGTTTCGTATTTGAATAAAATCATAATGTAAGAAGAAAGAACATACTGATGAACCTGAAGATTTACTTGAGGTTTGCAGAAAATATAATGACGAAACATCTCATTACTCAAAAACAGAGGCGTTGACCCAAAAAACGAGAAATGATCAGCAGAATAGCAGATATCACATGGGAGAAAAGCGTTCAAAGAGAAACCATTGCCGAGAAAACAGTTTGGGATTTAGTTTTGCAGTTTCCTCTTAAAATTTATTGATGTTTCTTTTTGAGGATGGTGGGTTGTTCGTAGACAAAACGACTTCTCGGAGATGGAAATTACGGATTGTGTCTCTGTGCCTTGTCTCTGTTTCTGCACATTAGTCTGTGTCATATTTTAGTGGAAAACCATATTCAAGTTTACTTGGAGAGATGAAAATAAAGATTGTGTGACTTTCAATGTTTTTTTTTCGCAAATAAAGAAAGGGAAGAAACAAGGAATCAGCCAACCGAAGAAGAAAGAAGAAGAACACTACAGCTCGTTGCCAAAAAAAAGTTGAGCAAAAACAAATCCTATAGGCCTCTTAATTAGTAGAACAAAGTATAACTTATTATTGCTATTTTGAGAACATTGAAAACAAAATACTGCAAAATACACTAAAAGTCTAAAACCATAGATCTTTGCGACTCCATCTTATGCAAACTTATTTGATTTGAACTTTGGATACAAATGCGTTGATATTGATATCCGTGGAACCTCCATCACTGACTGACATTACAGCCAAATCTCTCCATTTTTCAGCGTTCTTTTTCATCTCTTTGCCTTTATTTCCTTCCATCACTTCCTTAATGCTAAACTCAATCTCCTCTCTTTTGGCAATCCCACTTTCTTTCTCCACCTTTACACGAACTCCAACCTTCCACACATCTTGAATGTACTTTGCATTCATCGGTTGATCTGTCCATTGAGGCATAGCCACCATTGGCACCCCAAAGGTCAACGCTTCCATGGTTGAGTTCCAGCCACAGTGAGTCATGAAACAACCCAATAGCTTTGTTTGCTAAAACTTCAAGCTGAGGACTCCATTTCAAGACCAAGCTCTTGTCTTTATCCACTGTCTCAAGAAACCCTGATGGGAGCTTTTCCTCCTCTGAAGATCTGACCACCCAGAGGAAGCTGAAGTTGCTTATTGCTGAAGCAAGCTCCTCCATTTGCATATTATTCAGCTCAGCTAAGCTCCCAAATGCTACATACACCACTGACCCTTGTGGCCTCGTATTGAGCCACTTAGAGCATAAGGCTCCATCTTCCGAGTCAAATAGATTCATGTCGTAGTCGTGTCGTGTCTGATTTGATCCGTTGGTCTAAGTACATTGATGGAACAGTCGGACCAATTGTCAACACAGGACAAACATTTGACAACAGTTCCTTCTCCTGTAACGAAAACAGAGTAATTAATAAAAATTAACTAGAACAAGACTTGGTTGAGGAAGTTGTAAGCAAGATATCTAACATGAAGGTCCAGCTCTTGGAAGGTATTAACGAGTACGAAATCAGCTTTCTCGAAGTTTGTAAACTGTTGAAGCAGCATGTCAAAGAAAGCAGGGTAAGATCCAGAAACAGAGATGAAAGAAGGCACATCTTGAAGCTCAAGAAAAGGCAATTCCTCAATGGGAAGGTCCAAGCTTCCATTGTTTTTGTAAGCAAGATAATAAACGTAGTTAACAGGACAAGACTGCGTAAAGAAAGGAGCCGCAGCTAAACCAAACTCTCTAGCAACGTCGAGTGCCCAAGGCAAGAAAGCATCGTAGACAAGACAAGTGATGGGGTTATCATTTCTGACAAGACAACTTAACATCTCATCTTGCTTTATTATCTATTAATTTCAACCTAATTAATTGTAGCTACTCTTCCAATTAATAGGTATGCAAGTTCACTGTACGGGCGTTTTCGCGAAGTGCAATTGGACAAGAAAACGTAAAAACAAGCACTGTGTTTACTTTCGCATTTTTTTTTGGTATGATTTCTTACATGATATTTTTTCCGTTACAAAAGATTACGTTTAGTTTTGAACAAACAGACTATATCTCATTACAAACTAAACGAAGAGTCGTCCTTGGAAAACAAAAGTAATTACGTTTGTTTTTTACATGCATGTAAACGTGAAGTTTGAAACCATTACAAGTTACAAACTAAACAAATAATTATGTGTATGTATCTCTATGGTTTCTTCGCTTGCCCTTCTAATTAAATTATTGTTGTTAAATGCTGGGTGAATAAAAGATATCAGATAAACCCAGCAAACTCGAGAGAGGCATTGATGGAAGCACGAGAAGACGAAGCTGAAGGAGCCGATATCCTAATGGTGAAACCAGCACTCCCTTCACTGGATATCATACGTTTATTGAAGAACCAAACTCTGTTGCCAATTGGAGCTTGCCAAGTTTCAGGTGAGTACTCCATGATCAAAGCCGCCGGATATCTCAATATGATTGATGAGAAAAAGGTTATGATAGAATCATTGATCTGCTTACGTCGAGCTGGTGCAGATCTCATTATTACTTACTTTGCTCTTGAAGCTGCTACAATATTACGCGGAGAGTAGACAGTTTACATTTATCAAATGATTTGTTTATTTGGTTGTGTATGCCTTTGTTTGTTTTTCATTTATTTTGTTCAGCAGTCTATTTGTATGTTTAATATGCATTAATTTGCTTCAAATAAATACACAACCGAGTACCACAATCTTATATATAATTAGGGAGTTGCTCTCTCCTCTTAGAGTGTCCACATCAGAAAAAAATACAAATTAGTTAAATCAAAATTAATGATTCAATTAATACATACACTTTCATAATATCATTGAATGATTTATTATTCAACCAAAAATATAAAAATGAATTTAAAAAAGAAATGATTAATAAAAATATAAAAGAAAAAATAAATTAAAATTGGTTGAACTTAATATTTAAAAGATTAAAAGTTAATTTTTAACAGTAGATGCAAGAGATTTGTTTTTAAAAGAAAAAAATGTACTGAAAATTTAAAATGTCTAAAATTCATAATAATATATATTATGTAAAAAGATAGTGTATGTAATAAAATTTCATGAAAATGTTTAACTGTTGAAAGCTAACAGTTAAATTTAAGTAATAAAAATAAGTTATATATAAAACTAAATTATTGATTTTGATGTTAAAAAAAACTAAAGTATTGACTATTTCTAACATTTAAAAAAAATCACTCAATTTTTTTTGTATAAATATTTAATAAATAAACATCAATATCATATATACAGAACAACACATAAAGGAAAAACATTAAGAACATAGTTTGTAAAGTATATAAATAATGATGAACAACTAAAAATATATGCAAACAATCCCGCGCTTGCTACACGAGTCATACAAACATCTTAATTACGTTTTAATCGCAAACTCCGCAACCGCAACCACAATGTTTAGTGTCATGTCTCCTCTTTTTTTTTTTTTTTTTTTTTTTTACTGGCAGTTTCATATCTCTTTATAATGTGAATATCACTATTATAGTATCTGCTATCATCAAAAGATCAGCATTAGTGATTTAAACCGGATATGACTCAAATTACTAAATTAGTTAAACTCGTACAAGAGTCAAAAGAGGCATGCAGTAAAGATTAATCTCTGATAACGAGTATCAATGATGCAACCCCAATATGTGCACCTAACGAGTGATCAGTGTGATAAATGAATATCAGAATCGTAATATGCACGCAAGCAAAACGAACTCCAAAAGATATCATCTTATGCCTCATGAATCAAATTAATAATGAAATAAATTCTTGAGAACATAAAAACCTTAAAAGATAATTTATTCAGTGATGTGTGTGATAAGCTTGCTATAGTATGAAGAGATCAATTCAAAGGCAAAGCAAGTGAAGAATGAAGCAAATGAGAGACTCTCGCTGGTTTAGAGTCTTTGCTGCAATTAGCTATTAGCTATAAAATAGTCTGTTACCGTTTAGTTCTCTTAATCGAATAATTAGTAAAGTGTAGAGAGACTCTCAAGTCTTGCGATTTCAGATCGCCGGAGAAGAATCGGAAGTCCTGGGGGATCCCATTGCTTTCTTCCGTTTTACCAATTGTTCCTTCTTTTAATCAATAAGAATATTATTCAGTTACAGAGTTTGTGTGATTGCAAGTTTATGGAATCGTGATCTCTAAACTTAGTGTGATATAATTTTATCATCTTCCAGTTTGTCACCACTCAAATCATTGATCTATTGAAAGTTCGGCTAATGATATAATAATATATACTTGTATGTATGTGATACCATATTAATACGTGTAGCTATGCGATGCCAAAATCATTTGATCCGTGTTTCCTAGGCATACTTCAAGTAGTAATAATATCATAATTAGTCTGACATTGTACCTATAACTCTTCCAGCCTTATGTATGTATATATAATATACCTGACAACTTTACTATTTTGCTCATCTTGGTTTCTTAAGAAAATGGTTTAATTTTCAAACTGAAATCGACCCACCACCAAATGGCTCCGAATAATATGATTGTCTTAAGGGTCCTCCCTCTTCAATATAAAATGTAATACTTCGAACTACTTCCTTCTACTTGCATGCACACCAATCGAAAACGTTTTCCTCACCCAAGGGACAAAACTTGAAAGTATTAGATTTTATATTAAAGAGGGAGGCCCCTATTCAATTAAGACTATCAATCTATTTTGCTTATGCTTGTTGTTATGCTTATCTAGTGGTAATCGACCCAACACTACATGGCTCCAAATAGTTTGACTGTCTTAGTTGAAAAGGGGCCTACCCCTTGAATATAAAATCAAATACTTCGAACTACTTCCGTCTACTTGCATATGCACACCAAGATCCAACCAACACTTTGGTCCCACGAAAAAAATCAGTGCGTGAAACACATTGTAATCACATTTAAAACCGTTAAATACTAACAACCTACCACCACAAAATAACTTGGTAAGGGGCCTAAGGGCTAGCATAACATTTTGAAGACCGCTTCTTGATAGACAACGAAGTACGCAACTTCAGTATTGGTTTCAAGTGAGGAGCTAATATCCAGTTTACAAACATCAATTTTGTAGTTCAAACACTCTGAAACATGTCACATGATGTACAAAACGCTGTTTTCTGTTTTTGAATAAATTTTACATTCTATCAAATAGAATCATGTTGTAGTCGGTGTCTGATTTGATCCGTTGGTCTAAGTACATTGATGCAACTGTCGGACCAATTTTCAACACAGGACAAACATTCGACAACAGTTCCTTCCCTGTAACGAAAACAGAGTCATTAATTAAAAAAAAAACTAACAAGAACAAGACTTGGTTGAGGAAGTTGTAAGAAATAGATAGATATTTTATAGGTCTAACATGAGTACGAAATCAGCTTTCTGGAAGTTTGTAAACTGTTGAAGCAGGGTAAGATCCAGAAACAGAGAAGAAAGAAGTCACATCTTGAAGCTCAAGAAAAGGAAACTCCTCAATGGGAAGGTCCAGGCTTCCATTTTTTAAGTAAGAAAAGTAATAAACGTAGTTAACAGGACAAGACTGCGTAAAGAAAGGAGCCGCAGCTACACCAAACTCTCTGGCAACGTCGAGTGCAGACACAATGGTGTGTTGAGTTTGATGCGCACGTGCCACAACCCTTTCAAATGACGGCCACGAAGGAGAAGAAGACGCTGAGATATATTTCTTTGGGCCTTTTTCTTTTTTGGGCTGAGTACTATTGTTGTTGCTCACTTGAGTTCACTTATAAGTTACATATAAAGTTAATGATTTGAAAATTAATAAGATTGATACAAATCATACAATACAAGTGTTTGTTCTTAGTAACGATCACTGGAGATGATGATCCAGTTTTTTCTTATTTTTGTTACATGTTGATCTCCACAACTCTTTTTTCTCCAAAGCATACATAATACAAAGAACTATAAGTCAAGAGGAGGAGATCTTTCGCTGAAGAATCGAGCAAGAACCTTATTTTCAAGAACTGCTAAGGCTTCAGAAGAGTTGACACATAAAGGTGTCTTGTATTGAGCAACCGAACCACCTTGGGAGATGAAATATTCCATGAGAGAATCGAATGTTCCTTGCTGCACCACTCTTATCTCTAGAGCTCCAATTAATCCTTCTCTAGTCCTAAGATCCCTATAAAGAGCATCAAACGATTCCTCTAATACACAGCAACATTCCACCAATACGTTTTTATCAAGTTCAACAACATCGTTGGCGCCTTTAGCTTTGAGTTCCCAGTAAAAGACGTAGTGGCCTGGACAAGTGGAGATATCAGCATAGCATGTGAAGCCCACCAACATAAAATTTGAAGATTCAATAACTTGAGTCGCATGAGCCAACGCCTTTAAAAGGTCCTCTTCTGTTGTTGCCTCCGTTTCGACGCTTAAAACCACATTCTTTCTGCGTACGAACCTAAACTGAGGTGTGCTATTGTAGAATCCAGTCACCTGTAGAATATCTCCAATAAGATATCTGTGTAGACCGAAATAATTAGTGACCACAGGTTCATAGTAGAACCCTAACTTGACGTTGACAAGATCAACAATGCTCTCCATGTCTCCCTCATGATCAACGGGTAAAAACTCGAAGTAGGAGATGTTGGGCACAAACGTGTAAGACACGTCTTCTGGTTTGCGTAAAGGATCCACATTCAACCCGAACGTACTTTCAGAAGATCCATATGTTGTGGAAACTAAAGGAAGTTTGTTGGAATAAAACTCCAATATTGGAATGTATTGAGCCATTTGCCCTGTAAATATGGATTCCATATATTTGGTTTTTGGCCATAATCGTGTGATTATACCTTCCCATGACTTGTGGCTGCATTCTTGTTCAATAACATCTGCCAGTTTATGATTAGGTCCTCCAAGAATGGCCGAGACAGCGTTTCTGCAATCAAGGTTAGTGATCCACTCGCTAACATGCCCTGCTCGGATGTTATTACATAGTTCCTTCCAGTGATTTTCAAGATAATTTATTGCAAGGACCAAGGGATAAGCAAAAGTGGCACCAATTCTCATAACCTCGTCTCTCTGGACAAGCCCGCATAGAAGATGGCAGTACAAACTTTGGTTGTTGTCTGGACATAGTATGACTTGGTCGGGGCTTGTGTACTCAGAACTATGTTTTGATGTTCGGTTTTTGAAATAATCGCTCATGAAGAAGCTTGTAAATACTGTTGAAACTGGTAAACCGGAGGGAGTTTTGGGTTCCGGTCTAACGTAGTTAAATTCCATTGTCTTTCCTTGCTCGACACCGTTGTCACTGGCATGCCTGTATAACCCACAACAAGATCGATTTTAGTGGTGGAAGTTAAAAATACAGTATACAACATACTTCATCCCTTTCATATTAGTGTTTTTATTTTTAACGTTTAAATTTTATTACATAAATAAGTTTATTTTTAATATTTCTAATACAAGTTTTTGATAAAATTTACTTTTTTATCTATATTTTTCTTTAGTTAGCTTATTAATCAAATAATGTAACGTATTTAAATAGGAATAAAACAGAAAATTTAAGTATTTTTCTAATTCATATGTATGAAAAAACCCTTAACTTATAGTGAAATGGAAGGACAATATTATTTTATAATCTATCATTTCAACTACTCATTTATAATTTTTGGTAGAGTTCTGACTCTACATAAAATCTACATAACTAATAAGGCTTGGACACTCTCAAGTCTTTGACACGTGGCACTTTTTTTTTTTTTTTTTTTTTCGTCTTACACCAAAACGACGTCGTTTTGCGCTTTATTTTTTTTTTTCGTCTTACACCAAAACGACGTCGTTTTCGTAAAAAAAAAAAAAAAATCTAAATCAAAATTATGTGTAATGTTGTTCGTTTTGATAGGCTTGATTATTTATCGGACCTCTTCGTTTCCATGGTAGCTTTAAATGGGCTTACTGGCTAATTAGCTCATTTCATTTCCTTTTAAAAAGGATTGCAATTATTATTATCTATGAGTCTGTAGGATAATAATCAATCTATAATGATTGTTAGTATAAGGAAAATTAGAAGAACTCAACTCCAGTCGATAAATTATTGTATAAAAGAACAAAAAACATATGAAACTATTCACTATGAGTCTATATAAGATTTCACGTAAATAACAACTAAATTTTAAAACTATATGAAAAAAAACAAAATGCAAAACTTACAGAATCTAATATATTCGAGTAAAAAACAAATGATATATTCGAATCTAATGTTCTGAATAATTAAATTAAAAATATTTGGTTTAATAAACCCGCGCATTGCGCGGGTTCTCTCCTAGTTAACAATAAAAGCATCTAAAACAAAAAGAAAAAAATAGCATTTAATGACATGTTAAGCTTTAAAAAGTAGAAGCACTTCTCGGAGAGTAACTGTGGAGTCCACTCTCATGGCAAAGCTCTATAGGTGTTGCAACTTCATACAACAACTTCTTTTTATTTATTTATTTTATTTTTTTACGAAAATAGCTTTTTTCTCTCGAAATTCATTTTTGTTTTATGGATAAAAATGTTAAAGAGCCATTTCATAGGCTCAGCGATGTGGATGCCCTAATGGACTTATCCCCGTAAAATGGGAAAGTCCAGTTTAATTATGATTTGTATAGCACCAAGTTAAAGAAGAATATTACTTGGACATAACGAGAGAGCGTAGAGCTAAAACGTATCCTAGCTTCTCAGTGTACTTATCGTTCACCGGAAATATCTTTTGTTTCCCTCCTGAAGTTCCCGAGCTGCATACAACAATTAGACAACCATTAATACACCAAACTTAATCATCTTTATATCAAAACTAGCTATTTTCATCCATTAACTATGATGACGAAAGTATGTACCTTCCGAGGAATCTAGTAATGGGTCCACCCGAAATTAGATCTGTTTGCTCTCCGTTCGCAACACGTTCGATATAAGGCCAAACATCATCGTAGCTCACGACCGGTACGCTCTTCTTGAATAACTCCTTATCAGAGTTTCCATGGAGAAACTGTCTGAGGTACTTTGTGGTCGCGTTAAGTGTGAGTATCTCCTTAAGTACATCGTCTTGTATCTGCTTTGCGTTTGATGTTAACTCCTCTAGATCCTTGAGCTCATAGCCTGAACTCATATTTAATTTTGATCGCTAATTCACTTCAAGGGTTTCATATGTAGCAGTATACAGCACTAACTAAATTAATTTCCAAAACCCAAAAAAAACTAAATTAATTTGAATTGAAAGTCATAAGCGGGCAAAACGATTTGATTTGGTTGGATACGTATGGATTAATTTACACAAATCAGAGCTTCGAAAATTGTGTGAATCAATTAATTAACATATCTAGTTGTCTTTTATCTTAAAAAAAAACATATCTAGCTGTCAAATATATTAATTTATTTGTATTCTTTCAATTTTTAAAGTAGGTACAGACAAATATTATTCGGCTGGTTTAAAATTAGTTGACAGCGCACATATCACCTACAAAGTGAACAAAACTAATTTATAACTAGTTAAATAACATTATATTATCAAAAAATCTATACGTCTATAATGAGTAAAATGAAGATAACACAAATCTCACAGTTACATAATAAAATCACAAATATCTCCATCAAACATAAACCAACCAACGGAAAACTTTGACTCTTCATTATTCTTCAAGTACGTGCACATATTATTTTTGCGTGGCTCATCGTGATTTTCTAATCGATCAATCAAACAGGAGGAGATTTGTCACTCAAGAACCGAGCAATAACTTTGTCTTCAAGAATTGCTAAAACTTCAGGAGAGTTTATGCATAGAGGTGTCTTGTATTGAGTTGCAGAAGCACCCTTGGAGATGAAATATTCCATGACAGAATCAAATGTTCCTTGTTCCACCACCCTTATTTCTAGAGCTCCAATTGAACCATATTTACTCCTAAATCTTTTGTAAATAATGTCAAATGATTCTTCCACTACACAGCAACATTTCACCATTACCTTGCTATCAAGCTTAACAGTGCCACTTAAGGTTTTGGCTTTAAGCTCCCAGTAGAGAACATAATGACTTGGTACAGAGGAGACATCTGAATAGCATGTGAATCCCATCAACATTAAACCTGAAGATTCAAGAAGAACTGTCGCATGATTCAGCGCCTTCAAAAGATCTTCTTCAGTTGTTGCCTCCACTTGGACGCTTAGAACAACATTTTTTCTACGTACAAATCTGAATTGAGGTGCACTATTGTAGAATCCTGTCACCTGTAGAATATCTCCCATTCTATATCTGTATAAGCCTAGCAACAACATAAATTAAAATTGGTTAGTTATATACTGTATAATTGAGAGAAAGTGTATATCTGTAGCCTATGTGTGTGTGTGTTTAAAAGTATACACGTATGTAACTCACCAAAATGATTTGTTACCAAGGGCTCATAGAAGCACCCTAACTTGACGTCCACGAAATCAACTATGTCATCACTGTTTCCTTGATCAACAAGTAGGAGCTCAAAGTAGGACATGCTTGGAATAAATGTGTAGGACACATCTTGTGGCTTGCATAAGGGATCCACATTTACCCCAAACATGGTTTCAGACGCAAGATAATAGGAAGAGATGAGAGGCAGTTTGTTGGAATAGAAATCCAAAACTGGGATGTATTGGCTCATCTGTCCTGAAACTATGGTTTGAATGAATTTGATGTTGGGCCATAGCCGTTTGATCATACCTTCCCATGATGAACGACTGCATTCATGTTCAATAAGATCTGCTAGCTTAGGATTAGGCCCTTTGAGGATGATAGAGACAGAGTCTCTGCAACCAAGGTCGGTGATCCACTCGCTAATATAACCAGATCGGATATTATCACACAATTCCTTCCAGTGAGTTTCAAGAAATCTTATTGCTAAGACTATCACAGAAGCAAAAGAAGCAACCGTACTCACAATCTCCTCTCTTTGGACAAGAGCACAGAGGAAATGACAGAACATACTCTGTTTGCTGTCGACACAGAAAATGACTTGGTTTGGGCTTTGGTAAGGTACATTCTCTTTCTCGAAATAATCGCTCTTGTAGAAACTCGTTATCGCGGGAGCAACATGCAAACCAGAGGGAGTTGTAGATAACGGTCTGGTGCTGAGAAATGTCATCACTTTTCCTTCATGGGCACCATCAACGTACCTAATAATAAACCGAAAATAAAAAAGTATGAGATGGATTCCTTGTGATGGAAGTCACAGGCACACTTAAAAGATGAAACTATTTAAATGAACAATTACTTGGATATAATGGCAGAGGATAAATCAAGGATAAAGGCCATGTTTTCAAAGTACTTGTTGTTTGCAGGAAAGAATTTTAGTTTCCCTCCACTGGTTCCAGAGCTACACACCAACAAAGTTACAAGCATCACATTAAGTTTTAAGTATATTAATCAAGTAGTCTGTTAATCATTTGATACATTTACTTCTTAGTAATTAATTTGACAACGCATACCTTAGCAAGAAATTAGTAAGCGGTTCGCCCGAGATGACATCTGAGGGTTCTCCGTCAGCGACCCGTTCGATATAAGGCCTAACGTCCTCATAGCTCACAGTCGGTATGTTCTTCTTGAAGAGCTCTTTATCAGAGCTCCCATGGAGGAAACGTTGGAGATACTCTGTGTTGGCGTTAACTTTGAGTATCTTCTCCAACATATCATCTTGTATTTGCTTTGCATTTGACGTCAACTCCTCTAGTTCCTTGAGCTTGGAGGCTAGAGTACTCATATTTGGTTTTGATCTCTTGATTCACAACAAGTCAAGGTTCTCTATATGTAGAGAGCAATATAAGATATATTAACTCGTCTAACAAGCGAGGAAAATGTTCCAATTATATTACATTTCTATAAATTAATTAATACAAGTGGATGCTTAGGAAATCGTGTGAATCGATTTGATTGAAAGCGAATCTTAACCTGTCAAGTGTATTATTGTATTTTTTTATTTAAAAACAGGGAAATGCAGAGATAAGATTTAATAATATGTGTGCAGAGCTGTTATAGTGATAAATTCATAGCACAGCAAAGCAGAATTTATCATGTTAATAAAATAGCTGGATTAGGTGAGTATCCTTCGATTTATTAAAGGATAATAGTAGTTAATTACAATCAGTGATCGTAGCTTAACAGGTGGAGATATTTTATTGTATTTGTGAATTATGTTATTAAATTTTTGAAAAATAAACTTTTTTGACGTATGATGGTAATGTATACTATACTAAATACAATCTGATTTTCAGGGAAATTCCATCTGCCTTTTATTGCTTTGGTTTTCTGTTTTTATAATGGCAATTGGAACTCTTTCGTTCTCACAGTTACGGAAACAGCTAAGCAAATGAGAAATACATTGAGGGGCATGCTCTTACATTTCAGAGCAGTGGACTCTTCTTATTATGCACGAAACAGTTAAATAAACTAAAGAAAAGACTTGGTCAACATACTTATAGTTTGGTTTCTCGACTCTCGGATCACTTCATTATTCTTCGACTAGATGCTGTGACTTTTTTTCCCGTTGGTCATCGTGATCCAAATATTGCATACCTGATCAGACCGGAGGGGATTTGTCGCTAAAGAACCGAGCAAGAACCTTGTCTTCAAGAATTGCTAACACGGCAGGTGAGTTTATGCATACAGGTGCCTTGTATTGGGATGCAGAAGCACCCTTGGAGATAAAATATTCCATGAGAGAATCGAATGTTCCTTGTTGCACCACCCTTATCTCTAGAGGTCCGATTTGACCAGATTTGCTCCTAAGTGTTTTATAAATAACGTTAAACGAGTCTTCAACTACACAGCAACATTCCACCATTACCTTGTTATCAAGCTTAACAATGCCATTTGTTTTTTTGGCTTTAAGCTCCCAATAAAGAACATAGTGACCAGGGTTAGTGGAGATATCAGAATAGCATGTGAACCCCATCAACATTAAACCTGAAGACTCAAGGACATGAGCCGCATGATTCAACGCCTTTAAAAGATCTTCTTCAGTTGTTGTCTCCACTTGGACGCTTATAACAGCATTTTTTCTACGTACAAATTTGAACTGAGGAGCACTATTGTAAAATCCAGTCACTTGTAGAATATCTCCCATTTTGTATCTGTATAAGCCTAGCAACAATATTAATTAAAGGAATAGATTAGTTCTTTTGTATAGTTGAGAGAGATTGCATATATATATATATATATATGTGCGTGAGAAAATGACAAATGTATGTAACTCACCGAAATGATTTGTGACCAATGGCTCATAATAGCACCCTATCTTGACGTCCACCAGATCAACAATTTCCTCATTGATTCCTTCATCAACAAGTAGGAACTCAAAGTAGGACATGTTGGGCACAAAAGTGTAGGATATATCTTGTGGCTTGCATAATGGATTCACATTTACTCCAAAAAATGTTTCAGAAGCCGCATAATATGGGGAGAAGAGATGCAAATTGTTGGAGTAGAACTCCAATGTTGGAATGTGTTGACTCATTTGTCCTGTAGATATGCTTCGAATGTATTTGATGTTGGGCCATAGCCGAGTGATGATACCTTCCCATGACTTCTGGATGCATTCGCGTTCAATTAAATTTGCCAAGTCAAGATTGGGTCCTCCAAGTATGGCGGAGACAGATTCTCGGCAACTAAGGTCAGTGATCCACTCGCTAACATGCCCAGAGCGGATATTAGCACACAATTCTTTCCAGTGTGTTTCAAGAAAAGATATCGCTTGGACTAACGTAGAAGCAAAGGAAGAAGCCATACTCACAACCTCCTCTCTTTGGACAAGACCACATAGAAGATGACAGTACATACTTTGTTTGCTGTCGACACATAATATGACTTCGTCAGGGCTGGTATAACATTTTGATGGCTGCTTCTTAAAATAATCACTCATTGCGTAACTCGTAGTCGCAGGAGCAAGATCCAAACCAGAGGGAGTTGTAGATAACATTATAGTGTTGAGAAACATAATCATTTTTCCTTCCTGGACACCATCCACGTACCTATAAACCGGAAAAAACGGATTTTTTTGGTAATGGAAGTCACAAATACTCTTGACAAAAAAAAAAAAAAAAAAAGGAAGTCACAAATACACGTAACATAATGAGTTTTATATAAATGTATATATAAAGAGTTACTTGGATATAATTGCAGAGGATAGAGCTAGGAAGAACGCAAAATCTTCGAAGTACTTGTTGTTCGTAGGATAGATTTTTGGTTTTCCTCCACTAGTTCCAGTGCTACACACCAACAAGGTTACAAGCATTTAATTTTCAAGTATAAAACCTAAACTTCCTCCGTTAATAATATGATTAAATCTAGTTTTAGTCGTATGAAAACGTATATATACCTTAGCAAGAAATTAGTAATAGGTTCGCCCGAAATGATATATGAGGGTTCTCCGTTTGCGACCCGTTCGATATAAGGCTTAACATCCTCGTAACTCGACACCGGTACGTTCTTTTGGAAGAGCTTTTTATCAGAGCTCCCATGGAGGAAACGTCGGAGATATTCTGTGTTGGCGTTAGCTTTGAGTATCTCTTCTAACATGTCATCTTGTATTTTCTTTGCATTTGAAGTCAACTCCTCTAGCTCCTTGAGCTTGGAGGCTAGAGTACTCATATTTGGTTTTGATCTCTTGATTCACACCAAGTCAAGGTTCTCTATATGTATTGCTTGCGTGCATATTAGGATTCTCATATTTATTTGACGTGTTTATCACATTGATCACTCGGTAGGTGCACATATTGGGGTTGAGTTATTGGTACTTGTTATCAAAACTTAATATTTACTGCCTGTTTTGACTCTTGTTGGAGTTAAAGTAATTTGAGTCATATCCGGTTTCAATCATTTTATGCTGATCTTTTGATGATAGCATATACTATAATAGTGATATTAACATTTCTTATACTACATATCCAGTTCGAGCTTAAAACTATGATTTTTAATTTGTTTCTTCTGCTTAATTTACTGTTGTTATCTTATAATCAGTAAGCGTTTGAGATCGAGGTATGTATGTGTGGGTATGTGGCTAGACATCATGATGTTGCTTGAGACATTGATTTGTGTTCTGAGAGCTGAAAACAATATACTGTAACAGTATTTTAAACGAGGGTAATGAAGAATGGTTGAAGCATAGTTCTTGAAGCACTTAGGAAAGAAAAGTTTTGTACACAAAAACTACTAGGAGACTGAGATGGAGGAACTCAAGAAGAAGACTCTGAATCTGTTGATTTTTTACTAATTCAGAAATCAATAATCTGTACAATGCTTTAGAGTTTGTGGATGCAAAAGAAGGGGCCTTCCTCTTGAAATCGACCAACCACCACATGGCTCCAAATATCAGCAACATTTGTTAAAATAGATCTTAAAAGTAAAGAGGGGCCTTCCCTCTTTAATATAAAATCAAATAGTTGAACTACTTCCTTCTACTTGCAATATACACACCAAGCCACACTATAATCCAACCGACACTTTGGTCCCACGAAAAAGATCAGTGCTTCAACCACACTGTAATCACATTTAAAACCGTTAAATACTAACGACCTACCACCACGTACTATGAAGAAGTTAAGCCTTATCTTGAAAGCGTCGTAGATGGAGAAACCCTCATATGTCACTTCGGGACAACCTATTAATTTATTCTTTCTAAGGTATTAGTTGTCAGATTACTAATGAATAACAGTAATGGTTAGATTATTATATATTTTAAATAAAAATACATTTTTTTTTGCTAAAAAAAAGGATTATTAATCCATATGTTCCCTAACAATAAATGGGTTTTAGAGATTATCTTTTGTTCACAAATAAGTGGTGTTATAAAATATCAATGTAGAAATTAATTGTATTTTTTGTTGTTTTGACTGTTAGAGTTATGCATATTGTTTTTTATTGGTTGAATTGCGTTAGAATTAATAATAAAATATGTTTTTTTTTAAGTTTAATGATTTTTTGATCTGTATGTATATGTCTAATACCCAGAACAAAATAATGCATATTAAACAATAAACAGACGGTTGAACAAAATAATGCATATTAAACAACAAACAAAAAGATTTCAGTATGCACGAAACTTGGCAAACAAAAAATGCAAAGTGTAAAGTACATAGGCGCGGTGCGAAAAAGATTTCAATAAAAGACTAAAAGAGAAAATGAGAAATCCATTGAGGGGCATGCTCTTACATTTCAGAGCAGTGGAGTGGACTCTTCTAATATTATGCACGAAACAATTAAATAAACTAAAGAAAAGACTTGGTCAACATACTTATATAGTTTTTTTTTTTGGTCGAAGGAGAACATACTTATATAGTTTGGTTTCTCAGCTCTAGTTGTTAAAAAAAAGAAAAAGTTTCTCAGCTCTCAGATATATTAAATATTCTTCGACTAGATGCTCTGATTTTTTTTTCCGTTGATCATCGTGATCCAACTATTCGTGATCCAACTATTCCATACCTGATCAGACAGGAGGGGATTTATCGCTAAAGAACCGAGCAAGAACTTTGTCTTCAAGAATTGCTAACACGCCAGGAGAGTTAATGCATAGAGGTGTCTTGTATTGGGATGCAGAAGCACCTTTGGAGATTAAATAGTCCATGAGAGAATCAAATGTTCCTTGTTGCACCACCCTTATCTCTAGAGGTCCGAGTTGACCAGATTTGCTCCTAAGTCTTTTGTAAAGAATGTCAAATGATTCTTCAACTACACAGCAACATTCAACCAGTAACTTGTTATCAAGCTTAACAATGCCATTTGTTTTTTTGGCTTTAAGCTCCCAATAAAGAACATAGTGACCAGGGTTAGTGGAGATATCAGAATAACATGTGAACCCCATCAACATTAAACCTGAAGATTCAAGGATGTGAGCCGCATGATTCAACGCCTTTAAAAGATCTTCTTCAGTTGTTGTCTCCACTTGGACGCTTATAACAACATTTTTTCTACGTACAAATTTGAACTGAGGAGCACTATTGTAAAATCCAGTCGCTTGTAGAATATCTCCCATTTTGTATCTGTATAAGCCTTGCAACAATATTAATCAAGGGAATAGATTAGTTCTATTGTATAGTTGAGAAAGATTGCACATATATATGTGCGTGAGAAAATGATAAATGTATGTAACTCACCGAAATGATTTGTGACCAATGGCTCATAATAGTACCCTATCTTGACGTCCACAAGATCAACAATTTCATCATTGATTCCTTCGTCAACAAGTAGGAACTCAAAGTAGGACATGTTTGGCATAAATGTGTATGATACATCTTGTGGCTTGCATAATGGATTCACATTTACTCCAAAGTAATGTTTCAGAAGAAACATAAGCCATGGAGATGAGAGGCAATCTTTGGAGTAGAACTCCAATGTTGGAATGTATTGACTCATTTGTCCTGTAGTATGTGCTTTGAATGAATTGATGTTGGGCCATAGCCGAGTGATGATACCTTCCCATGACTTCTGGCTGCATTCATGCTCAATTATATCTGCCAATTCAAGATTGGGTCCTCCAAGTATGGCAGAGACAGATTCTCTGCAACTAAGGTCGGTGATCCACTCGCTAACATGCCCATCGGATATTAGCACACAATTCTTTCCAGTGAGTTTCAAGAAAAGATATCGCTTGGACTAACGTATAAGCAAAGGAAGAAGTCATACTCACAACCTCCTCTCTCTGGACAAGACCACATAGAAGATGACAGTACATGCTCTGTTTGTGTCGACACATAATATGACTTCGTCAGGGCTGGTATAACATTTTGATGGCCAGTTCTTGAAATAATCGCTCGCTTATGAAACTTGTACTCGCAGGTGCAAGCCTGCAAACCAGAGGGAGTTGTAGATAACATCATAGAGTTTAGAAAATTCATCCTTTTTCCTTCCTGGACACCATCCATGTACCTATAAACCGGAAAAAAAAATGGATCTTTTTGGTATTGGAAGTCACAAATACACTTAACATAATGTATTTTTGTATAAATATATATATATATATGAAGAGTTACTTGGATATAATTGCAGAGGATAGAGCTTGCATGAACGCAAAATTTCCAAAGTACTTGTTGTTGGTAGGAAGATTTTTTGTTTGCCTCCACTAGTTCCAGTGCTACACACCAACAAGGTTACAAGCATTTAATTTTCAAGTATAAAACCTAACATCCTCCGTCAATAATATGATTAAATCTAGTTTTAGTCATATGAAAACGTATATATACCTTAGCAAGAAATTAGTAATAGGTTCGCCCGAAATGATATATGAGGGTTCTCCGTTTGCGACCCGTTCGATATAAGGCTTAACATCCTCGTAACTCGACACCGGTACATTCTTTTGGAAGAGATTTTTATCAGAGCTCCCATGGAGGAAACGTCGGAGATATTCTGTGTTGGCGTTAGCTTTGAGTATCTCCTCCAACATTTCATCTTGTATTTGCTTTGCATTTGACGTCAACTCCTCTAGTTCCTTGAGCTTGGAGGCTAGAGTACTCATATTTGGTTTTGATATCTTGATTCACATCAAGTAAAGGTTCTCTATATGTATTGCTTGCGTGCATATTAGGATTCTGATATTTATTTGACGTGTTTATCACATTGATCAGTCGGTAGGTGCACATATTGGGGTTGAATTATTGGTACTTGTTATCAGAAATTAATGTCATTCCCTACCTTGATTGTTCAACTTCTATATTGATTCATATAGCAGAGGGAAACTAGTTTACTGCCTTTTTGTGTCAAAATCACCACTATTTCACAATTATACCCACGATCATCAACTGAAAATAATGACAGGATTTGAGTCGAAAGCATCTTATGAAATCGCCTTCCTCCTTCATTTTTTGTTTCTGAGAAATCTGACTAACATTCGATATCACCACTAGAAATCTGACTAACATTTGGTGATGTCTAATCAGTTTCTTAGCCGGGTTTCATTTGCGTATTATCTCGGACCTGATTACGATTCCGTTATCGAGCCGTTACGTGAGGTGCTACAAAATGGTGAGAAACCACTCTACAAGGCCACAAAGTATTCGGATTACATGAAATATTACTTTGGGAGGCCCCATTCCGCCGGTAATAAAACTATCGAGTCGGTCAAGTTACTTTGAAAAAAACCGGTTCAAATCGATACCCTATATATGTTTTTAAAGTGAAGCTATGTGTGTGTGTGTGGAATAAATATGAGCGTGTTTTTATGTTGAGGTGGCACAAGTGTGAGGAAGCCTATGTCATCTTATGTTTTTATCACATTGATCACTCGTTAGGTGTACATGTTGGGGTTGAATCAAAACCCATGAAATGGAGCCCGTGCAATATTAATTCTCTAGATCTCATTAGATTCTTAATTAGCATATGTGCTTAGAAAATTTTACATTATGTGGGTGTTGCCATTATGTTTTTTTCTTTCTTTCTGGAATTGAATGTTAATTTTTTTTTTTTTCAAATCAAGAAACTATTTGGTACAATGAATGCCACTTTTGTCATGACTGTTTTCTTCATGGTTCTGGGGAGCTTCTGGGTGTTTGTGTGTCGAACCACACAACAAGTCCCTCGACAAAAGAGTGGTCACCACTCATGACTCACCTGCTGTTCGTATCAAACTAAGCCTGTTTCCCACGTTCTTGTCCACGAGTTTATTAGTCGAGCTGCTGAAATAGGGTTTTCTCCATGTCAAATTTTACCACTATAAGAAGATTTCATATCAAACACAACTCAATACTCCCTCCGTTTCAAATTAGTTGTCATTTTGGCAAAATGTATCTGCAAATATTTGGACGTATCTGGACATGTTTTGCAATGCAGATACATCCAAATAATTGCAGATACATTTTCCCAAAACGACAACTAATTTGAAACGGAGGGAATAATTTACTATATTCTGTAAGATTTTCATAGTATGCGGTTTACTTTTATATACATCTTTTAATCCATTGTATCAGTTCTTGTCTTTAAGCATACTTCTTTTGAGATATTTCTCATTTGTAGCCGTGTAAAAGAAGATAATATATATATATATATATAGAAGCTACAATCCACACGATCAATTAGGTCCAAAGATTATATTAGACAGCTTAAATTAAAACCCCATCTTTCTTTGTTTTTTTTTTTCTGGTTTGTACCCTCGGTCTCTATCTTTGTCCACGAATGGATAGACCAGTGTTGCGTTTCTGTTAATTAGTCGTGTCCTTTTGGCGATCCAATGGCTCAGTCTTAGGACCCATGATGCTGATGGCTTTTGTGTTGTCGATGCCTCTTGGCTTCTTGAGAGGTTTAGTTAATTTAAGATTGTACTATTATATTTTAGCATTGACAAAATATGTCACTTAGGCCATTAAAGAATTCACCTACCAGACTCAACATTCTGAAATTATTATAATTTTTACCTTCAGAATATTTAAACTGTTTCCTATAATTCTATCTAATAACAACAAATTTTCAAGTTCTTGGCTCATAGTTGCGATTGTGAACTAAACTAAATTAAAAATTCCAATCAAGTTACCCATATTTTTATAAAATTCGTATCTTTGGACTTTAGTTAAAAGCTAAAATGGTTTTGCAGAAGTATTTCTTCCACTTCTAGTTACCAAAGTTGTATTAACAAAAAAAAAAAAAAACCAAGTTGATATAGAAATTACGGAAAATAAAGAAAAAACATATATATATATATATATATATATATATATATCTAAATGGAAATTTTGAGAAAGTTACTGCACTGTGCACAATGTTTTTCACTTTATAGAAAGTGTTCTAAGATTTTCTTTTAGCAAAAATAGAGTGTTCTAAGATTTTCTGTATAAAGTGATCAGGTTTCATTGTGGCCACGGTTTTGAAGATTCTAATTTTTGTTTATATATATTTTTTTTCTCTACATTATTTTTTATTTTATTCTAGTGGCTTTGAATGATTCAAAAAAGTATATCAATATTGGGATAATAGCGATAGGTCTTAAATCGAGATTTATAAGATACCTATTATTTATGTCAGCTAATTCGGCAGTATTTCGACGTAAAACCGTCTGCAATTTTTATATATTTAGTTTGTAAAGCGACAGAAGAAACTATTAAAATTAACAAAAGGTAGAGATATAAAATATGAAAATCGCCTTCGTTAAGAAATCATTCATCAAATTAAAACCCCTAAAAGAATCTTTGAGTTTTTCTTTCAAGAACGCGATGAACGACCACAAAACTCTACTCCAAAGAGAAATGAAAGAAGAAGAAGATCGAGCAAGAAAACAAATCTGCGTTTCGTCTACAAGGTCTCAACTCGTAACAGCAAACGCAAACGCAGCTCTAACTGGTCCTTCCGAGGTCGCGTTTAACGTTTGCTGCTTATGCGTCTATTGTCCTCTTTGCGTTCTTTGGTGCTGCATCAAGCAGCCTTGTACAATCGGATGGCGAGCTATTCTAAACGCTAGACGCCGATTAAGCGGCTGTGGCGGTTGCGGTCGAAGCTATAGCCGGAGGGTTAAGGCTGCCGATTATTCGTCGTTTTCTGATATTGATTCCGACGACGTGAATTGCAAAGCTCATAATTGCTCTAAACGAAACCGATGATCAAAATATTTGATTTTCAAAACTTTCCAAACTTTCCTCATGCCCTTTTCTCCGATCAGCGACTTTTGATGGCCCTAAACGCGGACGCAAAACGCTGGAGTTGACTTCTTAATGATGAGTTGATGAACAAATCTTGGGTTTAAGCCCTAAATTATTTGGTTAATGTTGTTGTGATTGATTACAGATGTGTATATATTACTTGGTGAGGAATAAAGCTCTCTCTTTTTTGAAAAAAAAAAATGTCAGTAAGGAATAAAGTTGCGATGGTGTGCCTTTTCCTTCTTCAATTATTTGTATAAAATACGGAAATTAATAAAAACAGCAATATTAAAAATTCACAAAAAGAAAGAAAACTAGAAATAGTACTATGTATATAGCCACGGAGAAAACAGCAAAATAAAAAATATAGTTGATTAGGTAAATGACCAAATTAAACCAGTGAAAATTTCGTCTTTGGCATCTATCTTATCAAAAATTTGGAACCAAAGTAAATCGTATGTTAACTAGATTCCAGGTCTCTATAACAAGCGTTTGTAACACTACTTGACAAACTAAACAGACATTTTAACACTATTATCGATTAAACAAAAATATTCAAAAGTTTTGGAATATAACTGGGGTTTGGTTTGGTGTGGTGTGGTGTTACTTTTGTACATACTAGCTTTCAATTAATGTTATTTTTCTCATGGCCTTGTAAGGTTGTGCCAACTGCCAATACTCTCAATAGTGCTACGCAATAGCAATAGCGCTTCGATCGAATTAATATAATCTCAACTAAAGTGCGTTAAGCAATAATAACAATTGATAATTGTTAGTGTTACACCACTACTCACTAGGCGTGATGATCTCAAAGGCTTTTATCACAATGTGTTTGGACCCATAATTAGGCATATGATTAGAGTGTAGGAGACAATACAAAGTGGATAATCTTAGTGTATATCACATTTTTTTAGGTATATGATGATTAGAGTGTATGAAATCATACAAAGTGGCAACCTTAGTGCTAAATATCACACATTTTTTTAGGTAAATGATTACATTAGAGTGTATGAAATCATACAAAATGGCTTTTCTTTTTCTCAGTGTGAGAGAGAAGAGATGGGACTAAAGAATACTCTAAGTCGGTAGTGGTACAACATATACAACAACCAATGTTTTGAGTTTTCAGTTTTCACAGAAGAAACTGGTTTGAAAAAGTTAATGCTGACTATTTTATAAACATTTTTTGGGTAGAAAGACTATATTATAAACATGTACATGTGCACTCATCAATAACAGTTTTAGTAACTTTAAATGTAACCGGAAACTACCATCTACCAACAACAAACATATAATAGATTTAAAGGATGATACATTTTCTAAGCGCATGTTTCTCTACATCCTTTTTTTTTTGTAAAAGTTCTCGCCTTTTTTTTTATAAATAGTATCTTACCGACATGCATATACACATTTTTCAGTCGTCCAAATATAAGTTCTCTGTACCGAAAACTTACTATTTAGTGAAAAAAGGGAGGGGGTGGGAGGGGAGGGAAAGTATTGTAGATAAGTTTTATTTGGTGAATTTATTTTACTTTTTTTTTTGATAAAGAGAATTTATTTTACTTCGACTAATTATTAACCTAAACAAATATTTTAATCATCTGGCTTGATTAAAAAACCCGTCGAATCAGGGATTTTCTGTTAATGATGCTCACCTCATATTTTGGCCGGTTTTTGCAACATAAAATGATTTTGTACGAATTAAATTGAACCATAAATTGCAGTGCAAGTGTGTGTGTATGTAAATAAAGCCTGTGGGGTCAAATGACAATGCAAATATAAGGGGAAGAATAAGAGGTGAGTAACATTATCGAAATTGTCTAAATCATTCATATTTTGGTCCCTTGGTCATTATATTGATAGGATGCCATCCTACATAAGAAATGTAATAATCTTATAACTAAATAACATTTCATAGACATGACATTTGTTAGATGTATGTATTAACTGTAGTTCGTGACATGCTATAATATTAACGAAGAAAGAAAGCAAAATAATAGACGGAAAATAAGAGTTGGTGGCATGCTAATAAATATTTCGTTGTCTGTCTCTCTCTCTCTATGCCTTGCTCGAGCATCGAGCACGTCTCGCTTTGCACTTTTACGTGCCTTTGCCAGGCAACACCGAATTAGTTATATTCCAAATTCAGCATATATTGATGACGATATTCTGAAGTTACATGTTTCTCAGTGCTTGTAATATGCATAAATATCTTACTTTAAAACTCAAATATATATATATAGTTGAATGAAAGAAGATGGTTAAACTTAACAAACAAAGTAATAGCGAAACAAGAAGTGAATCCAACATAACTTTTTAATCGTGTTCAATAAACGCAAGGAAATTGATTAAACTATGAACTAACTCACGATGAAAGTGAACCCAAGTTTATCAATGAAAACAAAACTAATTAAAATAGAGTTAATCTAAAAAGAAGGAAAAAGAAAAAGCAAAAGAAAAAGAGAAAACTCTTCACATTTGCACCAAAAATAAAAAGAGAAAGCTTTATCACACTTTCCTTCGCTATAAATAGAAAGGGCTCTTAATAGATATAGGACATACTGAAATCAGAACCACAAATCACAAACACACACAGGGGATCAAAGAAGAAGAAATATGGTGAAGGTGATGTGGGTTTCCGTGATAGCTTTTGCGGCGGCGATTCTCCTAGTGACGGTGGCCAAAATCCCGGTGGCGGAAGGAGTGAATTGCTCGCCGACAGAGCTGACTCCATGTGCGGGGGCGATGATGTCATCTTCACCGCCGTCAGCTACCTGCTGCGCGAAGCTGAGAGAGCAGACGCCATGTTTTTGTGGGTACATGAGGAACCCTAGCCTCCGACCGTACGTTAGCTCCCCAAACGCGAAGAAAGTCGCCACCAGTTGCAAGATTGCTTCCCCAAGCTGTTAATCATTAAATTAGTGACAAGTTTCACTGATTACGAGTGGTTAATTACTAGCTTAAGTGTGTCTGGTCCTCGCCACTTCTACTGAAAATAATACTGGCTTGAATGTTATGCTATATCATGTATGTTTCTCTATAATATAAAGTATGAAATATACAATTTGGAAAAAGAAACAAATTATGTTCTTATAGATAAAAAAAAATTATTTCGTTTCTGTTCAAGAGACAAGGCAGAAAAACACTAGAGAAATCTTGGATCCAAATATGAAAAGTTGGAGTGTGGAATGATCCACTAGATCCCATGCTTGCTACTGCAACTAAAGACGCTACTGTGAGCTTCTAAATCATATAAAAAAGGGCCCATGCACGCCAAAGGTTAATATGCAATGATCAAGATAAGAAAAGATCCGAAATTAGACAATTTTGGACCATCCGATTTTTTTTTTTGTGATCTCGGTTCTTGTCAGTACTGAACTATACACTATTGCTTTGTCTTGTTTCCTTGATACGTCAAGAATAGGGATCAAGTCAGTTATTTGGTTTAATTCCTTATGGTTGGGCCAAAATCCTTTAAATAGAGGTCAATGTGTCCTTATCGAGCCATTGGAATGCTTTCGTGATAGTATTTGGCTTGTTTGGGCTTGTCTTCCTTACGTCTTCACTGGTATGGGATCTTGAGATGCAAGGTAAAGATATGCCAAAGGTGTCTTGGAGTTGATGCATCTTGGGCTTTTGGACTCTATACTTGCATGATTTGGGTGGATCCGAAGCATTATATATACTTTCTTTGAACTCCTCGTGAATAGGCTTGTATTTGTTGTCCACTTGTCCTCATCCACTTACTGATACTGATACGTTGCATCAATATCATCATCATAATTACTAGTTATAGTGGGACTGGTCCTCGCATTATATCAACATCATGCTTGAATGCTATGTATGGTTCTCTATCATATATAGATATATATGAAATCTTACTTTAGAAAACTAAATATCTGTTTCTTTTTTAGAAAATTGTTTCCACGAAGCTCTCTCTCACAAATTATAACAGAAACGAGTAACAAATACATAAAAATTGCTATACACAAAAAGAATTACACAACAGACTTTGTTTGGTTTCTGTGTAAGAAAACAGAAACAGATTCCAAACGAACACTTTTTTTCTACAACTAAAAACACAAATTGGTTTCTCTTCCGCTCACAAGAGAAAATCTGGGATTATAACTTGTTCTGTAGTAGCAGCTACTTCACTTTCCCGTCGCGATTTATCCTTACTGCTTCTCTCCCCATTCTTCTTCTTTTTCTTCTTCTTCTTCTTCATCTCTAAGCTCGTGTGATTTACTATTCTCGAGCTCTCTTCTCCTTCCTGTGCTTTCTCTTTTCCCTTATTCTTAACCACAAGAGCGGTCTGGATCGCCCGGGACAAAGATTCATCCTCATTTCCAGCCTCCGGATTTGTTTTTCCTTTACTTCTTGATTCATCTCCATCGTCTAGTTTCACCACTACAGGTCTCGGTTTAGACGGCTTTCTCTTGGGTTTAAACAAATCCACAGATATCTCGTTTGCTAATTCATTCGCCAGAGGATAATCATTCAGCGTAACGTTGCTATCGGGATCGTCTTTCTGAGAAGTAAGATAATACATGCCATGGCGTTTCCGGTGTTCAAGCAGAGATGCAGCACCAGCACCACCTTCATGTGGATGAGATGAAGATGACGAGGCCTCTTGTTCATCTCTGATTCTGAGTTTGGAGACAGAGAAGCTTATCTTGTCCGATTCCACAGGTTTTAAAAACTCCCCGCAAATCTCTTCCAGATCCATGAGAGTCTCTTTCAGCTCTAACCCATCAGGTACACAAACTTTTTCCTGTGCAGTGGCAGAAACAGGGCCGAGATCGTCAGAGAACACATCTTCCATGAACGCTGTGACTCTACAAGCTTCTGCTTCATTGTTTACTTTCTCAGATATTTCTTCCCTTATCATACCGATGAATCCCAAAACGTTCTTAGCTCTCTCCTGCACTTCCACATCATGCGTTCCAGATAACGGCCCCAAACCAAGCTCAATCACATTCACCAGATTCAATATAGATTCATATGCGAAAGCATTCACTGAACTAGACTCCTGAGCCAAGGACGAAGAAATGGGTTCCTCGGCTGAAAAGTAAGACCCAAGACAGAAGACGAGAACTTTGAAAACCGACTGTATGTAGATGGCTTTTATGGAGGGTGGCAAGAGATCAGTACGTGGTTGCAGAAGCGCCTCCACGGTTTCATATGGATTCTTCGAGAACTCAGCGTATTCCCCTGAAACCCACGCAGCTGCGGATAATATCGGGTGCAAGAACAAGTTACCTAGCAATGCAGGATCACTAAGAAGCGCCCAAGAAACACGAACTAGCTGCGGTCTAGCATCTCTGACCCTCATACCAATATCAACCAACTGATGCTCAATCTCTTCCCCTCGTTGACAATGCGGGATTCTCGCCATTTCACCAAGAAGTGACAGATACCAATCAAAGTCAACTACGATCTCATATGCATTCCTGGAGCAAGCCGATAACACGGAGTATATAATCTCGTTGCAGAAGAAAGGGTCTGATTTGAGTGCATAGTTCATAAGAATCCTGGAGATATCCGAAACGTTATCTTCATTCACCATTGCCATCAACAGATGCAACGCCTCGAGTTTAACATTCGGATCCTCGTCGCTCAAGGCCTTGACCACAACCTCTTTGTTCTCCAAAACTGCCCACAGATGCTTTGGAGCAACAATCGACAAGGCGTGTAAACCGAGATACTTGAGATTCGGATCATCCTCCACGAGAAACTCCCGGATCTTTGCAACCGCAAGTTTCAAAGCTGCTTCTTGATCGCTCAAGCTACTCACCACGGTTCTAACACACTCAAACACCAGAGACTTTGCCACACTCCTCCTCATATGCTCACAAATCGGCTCAGCCACTTTCTTACCTAACCTTGGCTCAATCGAAGCCAATTTCGCAAAGATTTTAAGAACCTTAATCAGAACCCAGTTGTTCCTCGAATCAACCAGTATCTTATAGAACTCAGGAGCTAAAGGAAGGCAAGAGCTGGGATCTTTAGTGGCGAGCTCACAGAAGACACCAACGACTGCAGAGAGAATCTGCGGATCAGAGCTTTCCAGATTCTCCACAAGACGCTTGAAACATACCTTAACAGCATCATGATACTTCTCGAAAACCCTCAAAACCACACCAATTGCTTTCTTCCTCACGAAAGTTTTACTACTACCCAAGAGTGTAAACACTTCCGGAGTCAAATCCCTAGCTAGGTCATGAGTTCCGATTCTAGATAAACATTCCAGAGCTAGACTTGCCTCGAATTCGTTAACACTGTTCAAATCCTTTCGCACCTGGTTTGTGATCAGAAGCATAACCGAAGTCTGATCGTTGAACGATTGAGTAATCGCTTGGTAACCGATCCTCTTGTGCTGGAACCGCGGAGAGGAAACGACCTCGACGGCGTGGAAAGCTGCCCACGACATGTCGACGCCGTGGAGCGCGGCGAGGTAAGTGAGCTTGTGCAGGGCTGTGGATTTGGTGGAGAGATCTGTCACTTTGATCTCGCGGCGGATTTCTTCTAAGGCTCTGGAAATGTAAGCGGATTCTCCGAGGAGCTGGAGTCGGAACCCTTTGATCAGATCCTCGAGGCTTCGCTGGAACAGGTTGTCCATCAGAGAATTGGAAGACGACATTGATCCGGTGAGCTTGCAGAGATCCTGGCTAGTCAATTAGTGTCGTAAGCTGTGATTAGAAGTCGGAAGGAGCCATGAAAATGGAGTTGCAGAAGATCAGATTCGATGGTGGGTTTCGTCAAGCTGACGACGTCGCGAAACTCGCGATCTCGGCGACGAATGGAAGAAGGAAAGGTGAAGAAGAAAGGCTTTTTATTGGGCTTTATGGTTTAATACAGTGGGCCTTAATAGTTTCAGTTTCATGAAACATTGTGGGAAAAAACATTAGCCGAAATTCAAAATAACATGCTACTTCACATGTTACTAATTAGTGTATTTATCTACAAAAAAATTGATATAAAATAAGAGATGTTTATAATTAGAGAGTCCTTTGTTTAGCTTCATTAGTACATAAATAAAAGCTTACCACAAACCGCACAACGTTACAGTCATTTATAATTCGGCATTAGGAGAGGAAAGAAAAAGAAAAAACAAATAATTCTGAGAATAAATACGAAAAAACTTTGAACTGCTCGAAGCTCAACAAAAGACAAAGACGAGAGAAGAAGAAGAAAAAAATCGAATCTTTAAAAAAGGCAAAAAGAGAGAAGAAGAAGGAGAAGAAGAAGACGCGAAGTTCTTCAATGGAGCCACCTCCGGGAAGATCGAAACGTCTCCATAACTTCACCTTACCTTATCTCCGTTGGGGTCAACAGAAATTCCTCAGATGCGTCAATCTACCACCATCAAATTCACAACAACACCACCGATCTCAACATTTCCCTTCTTCTTCTTCGTCTCCCGATCAAAACAGATCCGTCGCCATTGCTGGAGTTTCAAACGAGAAGCTTAGAAATGGAGCGAAGAGCGGTGAGGTAGTCGAGGCGGCTGCTCCGCCGTGGAATCTGAGGACGAGAAGAGCTTTGTGTAGTGAGCCCGGAGACGAATCGCCGACGAAGATCGCCGGAAATGAAATTGGCGTGAAGAATGACGAAATTGAGAAGAACGAGAAACTGAAATTCTCGGTTTCGTTGCTGAAAGAGGAAATTGAAGACGATTTCTCAATTATAATTGGGAAAAGACCTCCGAGGAGACCTAAGAAGAGACCGAGAATTGTTCAGAAGAAATTGAATGTAAGCTTCGTCGGAATCTTTTTTATTGCTCTGAGAATTTCAAATCGATGATGCTTACTTTGTCTTTCTTCTGGGAAATTTTGTTTGCAGACGATTTTTCCTGGAATGTGGTTGGCAGAAGAAGTAACAACAGATGCATATAATGTGCCTGAAGCTGTGGAAACGTGAAAAGGTGTTAACTTTGGTTCTCTTTAGCAAAAATGTATCAACTTTGTGTCCTCTGTTCTACTTTTGAGACATTCTCAAGTTTATATGCAGTTTTCATTGTAAACGTAAGGGTAGCAATGTCCCAGGTCCGTGAAGAAACCGAATTTCTGGTTTCATTTCACAATGTTTAGTTTAGAAGATTGTAGTAGTAATGGTATCATCACCAAGTCTAATTGTAATCTCCAGCTGTTTGTTTTTTTAATAATACAGTTGCTTCAGTGTGTCTTCTGTAACTTTTCTTGCATCCACAAAAATGTTACTTGAATCTTGTCCATATTCTCTACTCGTATTGTTGCCCATTGTTAGCATATTGATGGATAAGATTATGCCAGATTTCTCAACATTTCACATTTCTGAGGTTAAGATGATTTCTTAACTATGTTGCTGATTATAAAGCAAAATGACCTGACAAACCTTTAGAAGCTTCTTATGGCCATAAGTTTGAAAGAAATATTTGCTTACCAACAATATGTGTGCTAACAAATGTTGTTTGGTAGCTTCACAGGTTTCAGACAAGAATCCTCACATCATCTTCTAAGGTTCAAACAAGTCTTCTTCCTCTCTAATAAGTTGATTTTACAAAACCTCTAATTCCAATTCCAGATTCATAGATACCTAACCTGTGACCATGACTCTTAACTTGATACAATAACAGGACCTTGACCATTGATAGCATATACTTATTCAAACCCTGTGAATACACATTTTAGATATATATAAAAGCAATTGCTTCCTTTAGTAGTGAGTGGCTCACCACAATCTTTAGACAGATTACTCCTTCCTTTATTATATTCCAAACTTCAACTTCTTCCCACCAACTCTTATGAGTTTTTATCCCAAACATACAACTTCCAAACCAAAGTTTGACATTGAAAGAGATCATCTTTCACTTTTTTGTTTCGACTATGATCTGCACGGAGTCAAGTCACCAGAGGATCTCATTCTCTAGTGATCTTGGCCAATCCGATAAAGCCCCACCACCACCGGTTATAGAACCACTAGGACTTATCCGAAGAGACGAGACTCTTCTTGATTCGTCAAACTCATTCGAGTTCCATATCTCAAACAACTTTGATGCCGGAGACTCTTCACCGGCGGACGAGATCTTCGCTGACGGTATGATCCTTCCTTTCCACGTAACCGCAGCTTCCACCGCGCCAAAACGTCTCTACAAGTACGAGCTCCCTCCCATCACCTCCTCCTTATCTCAACCTCCTCTCCCGCCGCCACAACCTTTGCCAACAAAGCAACACAGCGAGAAAGAAACCAGCGGGAGAGCGAGCGGAGCAAACTCTGACTCGGAAGCAGAGAAGTCATCAAAGTCGTTTTGGAGTTTCAAGAGAAGCTCGAGCCTCAACTGTGACATAAAGAAGAGTCTCATCTGCTCGTTTCCTCGGCTCACGAGAAGCAACTCTACAGGTTCGGTTACTAACTCAAAGAGAGCAATGCTGAGAGATGTTAACAACCATAGGCCTTCTTCTACTTCTTCTTCCACTGTCTGTTGCAATGCGTATCAGTTTAGGCCGCAGAAGCAAGCAGGAAAGAAAGGTGAAGGAGGAGGAAGCTTTTCGGTTATTCCAGTTCTTAATGGTCCTTCTACGTTTGGTTTAGGATCGATCTTACGCCATTCGAAAGATAAGACGAAGAAGAAGAAGAACAAGAAGTAGAGATGATCACAGCAATAAAACACAGTTTCCATAAATTGTTAATCCTCTTTTTTATTGTGTCTACAAATTGTTTTGGTGTTTATTTTTGTTTGTACACACATTTGTAGTGTTACTGTTACCATATCAAACTTTTTAGGTTGATTCAATATTTCGAATTGAACACAACCTCAATGATAGATCATGAAAATCAGATCTAAAGTGTTCATATCTATCTTACAGAACCTATCTTCAACATATGTGAAATGTCCAATGCATCGCAACACAATACCAAGTAGTAAAGAGAATAAGATGTTTCACCACATTGTCAAAGTATTGATACAAGAGACTTTACTTTCAATAAAGAGATAAGATGTGGGTATCACCAATGTCATACACTGAGATAAGATGTTGAAAATCTCCACATATTTTTTCAAAATTCAGTTTTATATACAGGACAATATAAAGAAATGTATAAATGGAATAAGGTGTGACCAACATCAACATTAAACATCTGTGAAAGTCTTGTTGAAGAGCCAAGTCTAACTTGACCCATTCACTTATTTAAGTTATTTAACAATTAACTAACCTGATAAATCAATACAATTGTGTTTTTAGACTCTGTACATGTCCACCCATTTTATCATTCAAGAGAAAGCACAATCCTTTTTTTGGTGAATTTGCTAAATAATAGGTGGAGATTTATTTGAAAAAATAACGATGTAGCAATGTTATTTCGCGCGTAATTTTTGCTATTTGTTTTAAACACGATATTACACACCATTATTCACTATTTTGCCACTGTCAATATTGCAAATTAACCTTCAAGTCTCCCCAACCAACATTCTTTCCTTTAAAATAGATATCTAGTGCAAAAGATTTTAGACAAAAACTTGTTTAAATAAGAAGTTTTATAAAACATTTGCGCTATATATCCTGAGCTTACATTTAGTTTTACATGTAGAAACTTGTTTATTCAATTGTACATGAACTTACGTTGATATTCATATTAAGATCCGGATATAAACAAACACGGAATTGTTACAATCGTGAAGAACAAGATGGTTTTTACAGAACATTGTTTCACTTTCAAAGGCGCAAGTTAGTGCTATCGGAGATCAATGACATCGAACTTTAGATTAGGGTTCATGTAAACATCCGCACACGTATTGTAAATTGGTCCTCCGTCCGCCGGCGAACTATGCGCGTGAAACCCACGCCGGTCACAATTCCTTATCACCGTCATTCCTCCCGGAGTTGTCAGCCGGAATATTCCGTGATTCCTACAAGAAAAAAACACAAAAAGCTTCTTAGCGTTTCTCTCGTATCGTTTCATTTGAAAACAGAGAATATTTTGATCTTTTGATTGTTTATTACCTTGAAGAGTCTTGTGGCGCCATAACGATTGCCACAGCTTCCGGCAACATAATCTGAGAAACATTGTACAAGTTAAAGAGATATAAATCCACTGTTGATATCGGTTTATGCAAATTGTGTATGTTTTAGAAGGGATTTTTCAGTACCTGGTATGAATAGTGTGTGTGAACATCAATGGATGACATGAAACAAGATTGTGTCGGATGCGTCTGAAGAAATGGAGACAGCGATTAACAAGTCAGTGTAAGACACTAAACCGAGAAAAAATGAGATATGAACCAAGACTGATCTTCAAGCATAAAGCACAGTTAAATACTGAGATATAAAATCATAGTATATATATCTTTACTCACATGAATCCATCCAAGTGGGAAAAGGGATTGCTTGTCCTGTACTTCAAATATCTCCTCTTCGTTTGTCGCTTGACACTGTAGATAGAGAGAGAGGTGTGTTTAAGATTTGCCCATCTGATAAATTAATAAACTTAGTTGAAATACTAAAACAAGACTTGAGCTTACCGAGTCAGATGTTGATTCCTGCTTTGGTATGATGAGAGCTGTTATATAAAACTTCCTGTTTTTCTGCACACAAGTAGTTCACATCATATCATTATTACTGATCAATTTTCATGAAACAGGTCAATATTGCATTTTTCAAGTTTGAGATATAGATATTGATATAGGAATGTAAAATGACTCACTAGTGAGCCAGCAAGAATACCACAAGTCTCTAAATTCTTCTTAGTGTTTGACTTAGCAAGCCTCATAAAGGTGTCCATCATTGTTGTTGCCTGCAAATGAAGGTATTTATCAAAAATATGATGAAGACAACTGGGTAAGTCCGAAACGAACAATGATTTGTATGTTTGGACTCTAGAGTAACATAAAGCTTCACAACAAATCACCAATCGATTTACCCTAAATTCATTTTCTTCCCTTGATATTTGTATGAGCTTCGACATCAGAATAATAACAAAGAGGGGGGAAATATAGGAACTTACTATATGGAGTTCAAGGGGAGACTCTGCCCGCAGAGACTCATCTGGCAGAGAGTTCTCTATGTTACACTCCGCTTCTCTGGCTTCAGGACATAAAGCAGGAGCCAAGTCTTGAACTTCTGCAAGCACAGGAGGTGGTGAAGGTTGCCTAATGATTTTGTTTTCAGCAACGCTTTCTGGTTCTTCGAAAGAAATCATGGAAGAAAGCTCCTCCGTGTAATTTTTCTGGACATTTTCAGTTGTAGTGGCACTTGATTCCACAGTTGGCCTCTCAGGTTCGCTGTTACTGCCGTTTGTTATCATTGGTTTGTTATCCAAGAGTTTTTGAAAGCTGCTTCCGCAGAGAACATCAATAAGCAAGATTAATACATAGGCAAGAGATTGTTCAAGTAATGAAAGTAGGCAGAAAATGTAAGCAATAAAACAAAATCTCTTGATATGCAGGATGGATAAAAAGCTAGATGGTCTAACCTTGGGATTTCAACTGGCGAAAAATCTATATTGCTTGGGTATTGAACCTGTATATAATACAATAAAAGATCATCAGCTTAATATGAAGAAGTGGATAAAAAAGAAGCATGCTATAATACCCTTATATCATTCTTTGGGGGCTGCCACTGTGCACGGAGTCCATTTGGACCCAAGATAGAGTGCTTGGAAAGGGATTCATCTGTTGGTCGGACAAAGTTTACTGACCTAGATAAGCCATGCAATTAGACAGGACCATGAGAAATACAACGAGGATCTTTCACTGAGAAAAGCTTCAAGAAATGAAACTGAATACATACATCTTTCGGAAACGGTCTTCAAGCGGTGCAGCGTTCAAGTATTGCTGACCCCTGGAACCCATGTAGCCAAAATTCTGTCCACTAGGGTTTATTACCTAGAAAGGACCAGGGAATGTTTATCTACTGCAGCTTATAATATAGTATCATAAATGTCATATACTACTAACTGAAACCAAAAGTTACAGAATGGAACAATGCATAATGATTACAAATATGTATGCGTGGGACTAACAAGATTAAAGGCATTCAGCTTACCTTTGCTTGGTCATAGCTACCTAACGATGGTTTTGCGGCCATAGACCAGCGTTGGGAACCATTTGCTGGATGAGCTTGCACATTATATCGAGGTATGGGCTTGGGATTCAGTTCATCGATCCTTTGCTGTACAACTGGTTTCAACTTCTCAAGCTCACCCAAGACATCCAATAGTCTCTAGACGAGATATAAAAGCACACATCAGACTACTGATTGATAGGAAAAACGTTTGACAGGGGATCATAAGAACGTTTATCTATTACCATTCGCAAATACTCTTTGTTGCTTTTAAGAGATGTTCTATAATCTCGATGGGAGGGTATAGTCTCGAGAGCCAAGCTAGAGAAAAACAAAAAAAAAAACATAGTTGATTTTCAGAAAGAAATGAAGGTATTAAGATCTTGGTTCTTTCTACAAAGAGTGTCAAGGTTCTCACCTCGAAAAACGCAGAAGCATGACATATAAATCAATAACATTCTTCTCTGCCCGAAAAATGTTGGCCTACAAAAAAGATTAACCATAAAAGGATTTCAAACGAGTTTGATTTACCATAAAAGGAAACACTTTCAGAGCGACAACTGAATATCAACTTCAGAATCAAGAGCACCTCAAAATCAATGAGAATGTAAGTGTGTAAAATGGTGCAAATGGATAGGAGAGACTCAGCAACATAAAATGGCAGGTTTCACAAATTCAATTCCTTAATCTAGCTAGCGGAATGTAAACAATAATCAAATCAGAGAGATAAACAACAAGTTGTGGAGAGAATCAATCACAAGAATCTATGTATAGCAAAATGAAAGCAGGAAGCAAAGACACCTCGATGGAGTAACCGTAAATCAAAATCAAAATCAAAGTCGAGTATGAAGACGGAGAACCTGTTTGAGGATATTATCTGCGATCCTGAAGTAAAATTTGAGAGAAATACGATTGTCGACGCCTATTCTCCGAGCACTAGTAGAGATATCGATGATCTCAGAAGGCGATCCCATAGTTGCTCCGACCAGAGAAACAAAAGCAAATCAATTCTTCCTTCCCACTTTCCGTGTAAATTTGGGACTAAAGGAAGAGTTTGACCGTTGAGGAGCAGATCTCGGAGCTCTGGGGACAATCACTGACGGAATCGTCGCAGGGTGGAAAAGCTCCGGTCAAAACACACGGCGGAGAGGTCAGAGAGGCCGCGATAATGGCGATTGGCGAGGAACGAGAGACGACGCTGATAAGTAATTTAATTTGACTTTCTTTCGGGGGCAAATATGTAATTTGACATTTTCGGTGGGTGGGTTTGAGATTTGAGAGCACTTTTTAAGAGATTGATAATGTAGTTGAACCGACTCGGACCGGTCACCTGTCGGCCGGAAGATATCCCGATTTCGTTTTATGATTTTTGTCAACCAATCATCATTCCTGATCTTGGAGTATATAATATTTATTTATTGATGTTGATCTTACTTGCATGTAATTTTGGTACAAACTAGAAAATGACTATCCAATAAACATGAGTATTTGCAATATGACGATAAAAAGATGCCCTAACTTGTATGAAGCTCCTCACATGGGGACGACAACAAATTATATATTAGATTAAGCCTTGAGTTTCACACTGAGTAAGCTTGAAGTCGTTAGCTGGGACATGGGAAACTTGATCTAACTTGATCAAACAGATTGGTATTAGATCCTATTGTGATAAGGATTATATCAATATGTTAATGTTAAACCCTATACTATATGGGTCTAATTACGATCTTGTATTACAAAACTCAACATATATCTGATTTGACAATTCGTGAGCATGCACCTCCCTGCACTAACGTAACATACTTCGGGCCAAAATACTCACGTGTGAGGATTATGCTGAATAGTTTCTTCACTGTTCAAATAATTATAGATGATGTCGGCATGGAGAGCCCCCACTTTTGGCTCAACTCATCTGACAAAAATGTTCGAAACAGGCTTTTTACCATTAGCGACAAACTACTCGACGGAGGTCTCCAAGCTAGGTTTGGGTCTCCTTAAATTAGTAGGAAATGTGATCCCTGCTATAATAACTTAGTTAAACTCTCAAAAAACAAAGTCATAACTTTTGTAAAAGGGTTTTTGGTTTTTTGAATTAATTTTACATTCAATTAAAGAAAAAAAAACATAATCATAGATGATACATGCATGTGACAGATTAGATAAGTTCACATCTGGTGGAAGCCGCGCAGAGACGAAAAACAAATTTGCAAAACGACATGCATTGCAAAAATAGTTTTTCAAGGTTACTGCTTTCTTGTGATAACAAAATAAACGATTTCAGTCACGTGACAACTGACAACTAATTGGTAATCACATTGTGCGTTTGTGCCTATAAAATTGGTGGTGAAACATGGAGTCCGATATCATTGGTGGTGAACATGGAGGCTATACGAATTTTTGGACCGAAACTTGGATCTAAACTCTCTGTTCGTTCTCAGACCAATTTACTTCCGTCATGCAACCTCTCTCGCTTGCCACTGACGTCATTTCCCGGTAAGTATGCACATCGTGTTCCTTTGAAAGCCACTACTAATACTCTGGCTTGTGAAGATGAAGAAAATAATCGCAAGTTTAAAAAGTTGGAGCCTTCTGAATGGCGTCATCAGTTTCTCTCTGTTCATGTTGATTTCTCAGTAAGTCTCTCTCTCATCTCTATGTATATGTAGTAGAGAGTTTGAATTCATGTTTAAGTTTGGTTTTTTTCTAAGGAAATGGATGCGCTTGGGAGAGAGATAGAAGCACTAAAGCCAAAAGTGAGGGAAATGTTCATGTCTTCCATTGGAAGTAAGTCGAGCAAGAAGAACATCCTTTTTATCTATTTGCTTGTGAGCCTTGGTCTCGCGTATCACTTCGAAGATGAGATCGAGCAGAGACTAAAAGATAGCTTCCAGAAGATAGAGGAGATGATGGAGGGCGAAGATGATTTGTACACAGTTTCAGTCATCTTCTTTGTTTTTAGGAGATATGGTCACAACATTTCTTCTGGTAAGGATTTCTTAGCTAACTTTCTGATTAGATCGTCGTTTAGTGAGCATACAGTTTAAAGCGAAATGCATGCATAAGTTGCTAATTCTGTTGAAAAAAAAAAAAAAAAAAAAAATTATAAAAATGGCTTTTCTCCTAAGGAAACAAGATAGAGATAGTGTTTCAGTAGAAATGCCAAAAACAATTAAAGCCAAAATGTACGCATGAGACCAACATAACAAAATGTGGCTTAATTAGATAACAAAACTTAGTACACATAAGTCATAACACATGTACACCAACAGGTTATTCGTTCTTTTTGTCAATATATAGATGTTTTTACGAGATTCAAAGAAGACCATGGAAAATTTAAAGAATGTCTTGCCGGAGATGCCAAGGGTATCCTAAGCTTGTATGAAGCTGCTCACATGGGGACGACAACAGATCATATATTAGATGAAGCCTTGAGCTTCACATTGTGTTACTTGGAGTCGATAGCTGCAAGTGAGTCATGCAAACTTAATCTCTCAAGGCGTATACGACTTTCTTTGGATCAACCGCAGCATAAGAACATGGATATATTAGTCGCAAAGGAATATATATGGTTCTACGAACAAGAAGAAGATTGCGACAAGACGCTACTTAAGTTTTCCAAGCTTAACTTCAAATTCCTACAGCTACATTACCTTCAAGAGCTCCAAATCCTTTCAAAGTATATTTTTTGTCGTCAATATATATAGTATTTAGTACATCTGCCTAGGAACTTGACAAAATTCTTATGTTATGTTGCAAGATGGTACAAGGAAAACAACTTTGAATCTAAGTTGCCACCTTACTACAGAGACATACTCGTGGAAATGAGCTTCGCTACGCTAGCTTACATGGAGCCGAAATACTCACGTGTGAGGATTATGCTCACTAAGCTGTACGCGACTCAAGTAATGATAGATGATACGTGTGACATATATGCTTCTCTTAGTGAGGTCGAAATCCTCGCCAGTACCATCGAAAGGTACACTATTTATATGTAGCAGTCCTTACCTTAACTCCTCTCTACAGTAGATGAATAAGTTTTTTAGGTTGTGATTTGTGAATCATATATGATATAACTTTATATGAGACTGTTTTCATATTCCACATTATCCAAGTTTTTTTTAAGTTAATATTTCAATATCCACATTTCTGATTTTAAGGATTTTTCAGTCTCATATGGATTTATAACTCATTTAATATCCATGACCCAATAAATCCTAAAAATAAAACTATTTGATTATGTAATATATTAAAATATGTAATTGTATTTTTAGATTTTCTTAAATTAATATTGGGTATTTTAAAGAAAACAATGATGACGGCTAAACATATTGATAATGTAGGTGGGATCTCGATGATCATGCAATGGATGGACTACCAAATTATATGAAATATGTGGTTAAATTTGTATTTGATACATTCCAAGAGTTTGAAAGAGAATTGGGGTCAGAATTAGGAGGATCTTACGGCGTAAAAGCTACAATTGAAGAGGTGAGGAATCAAATGATTCAATAACCAATACTAAATTATTTTTAGAGAACATGATTTTAGTTCGAGTCTTTTACAGTTCAAGATTTTTGTGAGAGCCAACCTTCTACTCGCGAAATGGGCAGCAGTGGGTCACTTGCCTAGCTTTGATGAGTACCTAGATGCTACTGGAGACGAGTTCGCTATATATTTAACCTTGACAGGCATTTTGATGGCTATGGATCATAATATCTGCAAGAAAGAAGCTTATGAGTGGTTGAAATCTAGAGACAAACTCGTTAGAGCAATAACTATTAAATCACGAGTGGAGGATGATATGTTTGGCTATGAGGTAGGACGAACGATTCCCCGACTTTTAGTTATTCTTTTCAAATTTGCTTCTTGTTTGATAATCAAAATTGACACGTGGGCATGATTAGGACGACATGAGCAGAGGATATGTCACGGGCTCGATCAACTGTTACAAGAAACAATATGGAGTTACAGAAGAAGAAGCCTTTAGAAAGCTTCGTGAAATGATTGTAGACGGTGATAAGATGATGAACGGGGAGTTTTTGAAGCCGATCAATGTGCCAAAACAGGTTCTTAAGGTGGTCAACAACACTTTACGTGCGATCTATATTTGCTACGACAAGGATGATGGATTTACTCGTCCTGCTAAAATCAAGGACCATATCATGTCTATGTTCGTTGATATAATTTGATTGAGGGCTTTGGTTTTATCTTATTTTCTTTGTGGTTTTTAGTTTGTTACTGCGTCTTTTGTACTTTCCCTACAAAACTCTCTACCCGTGCATCATTATCCTTTTTGAGCATGTACTTTCCTTAAAAATGTGTCATGTAACTGGAAATGAGCAAGTATTAATTTAAGAAAAAGTAACTTGAATCATGGGTTGACCACTAAACAAAAGTATTTGCACTATCGTATTTAAGAAAATGCAACTTAAGATCATGATATGAAGACCTTTTAACAAAAAAAAAAAAAAAAAAAAAAAAAAACTTAAGATCATGAATGATCCACTATTGACGATCATGGGTTTGTCCACTAAACAAAAGTATTTGCATGGTCAAAATAATAAAAAATATAATGATAGAGCATTATTTTGTTTAAGTGAACAAGAGTGGATTCCGAGTACTACAGACGATTTTATCTATTTTATTTAAATATTAAAGAATGGATTACTTTTAGTTGTGTACAAATTTTAATATTTAACCACATTTTGATATATAAACCACGCATCCCAGTTATGGCGTAAGCTTGTCAACTAAATAATAGTTCATCACTGGTAAATATTTAATAATATTTACGAACTAATGAAAAATTGAGCATTTTGTTCTTTTCATTCTTAGTATATATATATATTGACAGCTTGACGAGTTCAGATTTGGCAGAAGCCGAAGGATAAGCAAAGTTATCTTATGAAGGATTCCAATATTAAATTTGCAGCTGGAAGTAAACAAATATAATGTTGACTAGTGCGTGCCATATCAGACGTCGACAGGCCATGAAAAACTAAAAACATGTTAGTTGATTCGAAAACCAAAAGAAGCACGAGCTTAAAGTTTGCTAACCTTACCAACTAAATAAAAAAAAAAACTTAAAAAAACTTGATTCTTCTAGGTTACTGCTTTCTTGTGACAGATTAAGAAACGATTTTTTAGTCACGTGAAAATTACTGGTTTCAAGTAAAAAACACTTTTTGGTCCAGTGGCAATCACAGTGTGCCTATAAATTTGGTGGTGAAACCATAAGAACTTGCACGTGAACATGGAAGCCTTAAGAACTTTTGGACCAAAACTTGGATCTAAAATCTCTATTCGTTCTCAGACCAATTTATTCCCAGCATGCAAACTCTCTCGCTTTCCAGTGACGTCATTTCCCGGTATAGTCTTTGAAGCTTGTTCCTTTGAAAGCCACTACTCATGATCTGGCTTCTGAAGATGAAGCAAATAATCGCAAGTTCAAAAAGGTGGAGCCTTCTGTATGGAGTCATCAGTTCCTCTCTGCTCATGTTGATTTCTCGGTAACTCTCTCTCTCTTATCTCTCTCTCTCTCTCTCTCTCTCTCTCTAGATATATATATATAGAGAGAGGGTATGAATTCATGTATACATTACTTCTTTGTTTTTAAGGAAATCGATGTGCTTGGGAGAGAGATAGAGGCACTAAAGCCAAAAGTGAGGGAAATGTTCATGTCTTTGATAGGAAGTAAGAAGAAAATCCTTTTTATATTTTTGCTCGTGAGCCTTGGTCTCGCCTATCATTTCGAAGATGAGATCGAGGAGTGTCTAAGAGATGGCTCCGAGAAGATAGAGGAGATGATGGAGGGTGAAGATGACTTGTACACAGTTTCAGTCATCTTCTGGGTTCTTAGGAGATATGGTCACAACATTTCTTCTGGTAAGGGTTCTGTCTGATTAAACCGTCTTTTAATAGACTGTCGGATTGGGAGTCACTAGCTTGTAAAATATATTAGGTGAGAAAAAATGATATCTTAAGAATAATAGTTAACATGAAACTAATTAGTCTTTCGTTTTTGAGATGCAAATGTTGCTTCCGATCCAAACTACATTTTTAAACATCTCAAATATTTAAAATTTTTGAGAGGCAATTGATTTTGCATCGAGATTTAAAATTATAAAGTTTTCAAAAGAACAACATTTGAGCATTTAGATCAACAAAATGTGGTTTATGTAACAAATAATTTGGTACACATGCTAGTCAATCGTTATTATTTGATCTGCATGGTATAAGTTTTATACAGTACTAGGGGGAGCCGCGGGCGAGAATTTATATTGTTGTATTCATTTTATTGTTTCGCAAATTTATATTGTGTTCGTCCTGTCCATCCCGTCTAGTCTCATCCTATCATATTATGTTGCTTTCCGCTTTGTCCTATCTATGTCTTGCTCTTAAATATAGTTAGAGGTATGCGAAAGTCCCATCATGTTATTTCTTGTCCCATTATGTCTCTTTTCATCATGTCCCATCTAATCCCGTCGCATTCAATTTCTTTTCATCATATCTTATCCAACATGTCCTTCTTATCCCGTCCAATCCCATTATATATCCGATTTTGTTCCTTTCGTTTCTTCCTGTTTTGTCCCTAAATATATTTAGGGATAGGCGAAATATGCATCTTGTCATGTCATATCCCTTTCTGTTCCTTTACATCCCGTCTTCTCGTTTAATATAAAAAGAAGTAGACAAAATTCTCCTCTTTTCGCTTTCTGTTTTTTTCGTCTCGTTCTGCCGGTCTCGTCTCATTTTGTGTCAAAATAGTTAAAACAATGTTCTTTCTATAATATCTTGAGAACTACTAAATAATAGTTTTTATAGATTTATATACAATCTTTTTTCTTTTTTAAATGACTTTTCATATTATTATTAAACATATTAAATGAATGAAAATTATTATGAAATTAAGAAAAAAAAAGAGAGAAAATATTATATATTAAATTGTTTGTGCTGAAGTGTCACCATTATAGCCTCCCTCTTTTGTTGATGTGTCAGCACCATAATAGAATTGCATGACAAAAGCTTATTCATTTTTTTGTCAATATATAGATGTTTTTACGAGATTCAAAGAAGACAATGGAGAATTTAAAGAATGTCTTGCCAAAGATGCCAAGGGTATCCTGAGCTTGTATGAAGTTGCTCACATGGGCACGACAACAGATCATATATTAGATGAAGCCTTGAGCTTCACATTGTGTTACTTGGAATCGATAGCTGCAAGTGAGTCATGCAAACTTAATCTCTCAAGGCGTATACGAAATGCTTTGGACGTACCACATAATAAGAAAATGGATATATTGGTCGCAAAGGAATATATCTGGTTCTACGAACAAGAAGATAATTGCGACGAGACACTACTAAAGTTTTCGAAGCTTAACTTCAAATTCCTACAGCTACATTACCTTCGAGAACTCAAAATCGTTTTAAAGTATCTAGTTTATACTCCTCAATATATAATTATTAATTTATTATATAGTATTTTACTATTTATTATTCATTTACCTCGGAGTTTGACATAACTCTAATGTCTGGTTGCAAGATGGTACAAGGAACAAGACTTTGAAACTAAGTTGCCACCTTACTACAGAGACATAGTCGTGGAACTCCACCTCGCTGCGCTAGCTTACATGGAGCCAAAACACTCACGTATGAGGATTATGGTCTCTAAGGTGTACGTGATTCAATTATTTATAGATGATACATGTGACAGATATGCTTCTCTTCGTGAGATCGAAGTCCTCGCCAGTTCCATTGAAAGGTACATTATTTATATGTATCAGTTCAGTTCTATAGTCCCTCTACAGCAGATGAATAAGTTCGTTAGGTTATGAATTGTATAAATTTGGATCAGACTGTTTTCAAATTCCATATTATCCAATTATATTGCCTAATTATGGTCGTGATAAAACTGTCTCCAAGAATGAACATATAAATCATTTAATATCCATGAACCAATTAGTCATATATGTAACCTATAAATAAATTGATTATTTATTAGATTTTCTCAATATAAAAATAGGGTGTTTTACACAAAATCCCATGAAAAATAATGACGGGCTACACACATATTGATAATACAGGTGGGATCTCGATGATCATGACATGGATTGACTACCAGATTATATGAAATATGTGGGTAAATTCATAGTTCGTACATTCCAAGAATTTGAAAGAGAATTGGGGTCAGAAGGATCTTACGGCGTGAAAGCTGCAATTGAAGAGGTGAGCAATCGAATTGTTCGATAACAAATAGTCTCTCTGTTTCAGTATATAAGTATAGTTAGAGCATGTCCAGCGGTGATCTGCACCAATCTCTTATAAATAAAAATAAATAAAAAATGTGAAAAAGGAAGAAAGAGAGTGTAAAAAAAAGTGAGACGTATCAGCAATAAGAGACGTTCGTGAGATTTAGAATACAAGTGTTATTGTTTGTATGGGTAACACAATTTAATATTTAATATTTAATTATAAATTTAAATTAAAGTAATATAATAATGTTATGATACTCATACGTCCGTCTTACTGCTGGACATGCTCTTAAAGTTTGTTGCACATGAATTAAGAAAACATATTTTGTTAATATACTAAATAATAAATAAAAATTAACACTGGAAATTTGCTCTAAATTTTACATTGAAATCCTAAAAGTAACAAAAAAAAAAGTTAAAAGTTAAAAGGACACTTATTTGTGGAAGTAATTATCTTTGGGAGAACATGTTTTGACTTGGAGTCTTTTACAGTGCAAAAGTATGGTGAGAGCCAACCTTGTACTCGCGAAATGGGAAGCAGTGGGTCACTTGCCTAGCTTTGACGAGTACCAAGATGCTACTTTAGACGAGTTCGGTATATATTTGACCTTGATAAGCCTTTTTATGGGTATGGATCATGATATCTGCAAAAAGGAAGCTTATGAGTGGTTGAAATCTAGAGACAAACTCGTTAGAGCAATAACTCTAATATCACGAGTGGCGAATGATATGTTTGGCTATCAGGTAGCATGAATAATTTCCCCCATTTTTTTTTTTTTCAAGAATAAACAACAATCAAATTTAACTCGTGACATGATTAGGATGACATGAGCAGAGGATATATGACGGGCTCGGTCAACTGTTACAAGAAGCAATATGGAGTTACGGAAGAAGAAGCCTTTACAAAGCTTAGTGAAATGATGGTAGATGCTTCTAAGATGTTGAACGATGAGTTTTTGAAGCCAATTAATGTGCCAAACCAGGTTCTCAAGGTAGTCAACGACCTTTCACGTACGATCTATGTTTTCTACAACAAGTATGATGGACTTACTCGTCCTGCTAAAGTCAAGAACCATATCACGTATATGTTCGTTGATATGATTTGATTCAGGGATTTGGCTTTATCTTATTTACTTTGTGGTTTTTAGCTGGTTACTTCGTCTTGTGTACTTGCCCCACAAAACTGTCCAAGTTTGTCCTGTCTATTGTTTTCTTAGACAAAAGTCTCCAAGCAAATGCAAAAGCAATGTGATGGTGCCACAACAGTATCGACTGCCAAAGACAAAACCAGCTATAACGCAAAACATAATAAAGGAGTAAAGATTTTGACTAATTTTGCCCAGAAAACTCAAAACTTGACGATTGTACACATTTTCAGAAAGAAAAAAACCATTGTCTTGACACATTGAAGTGAACAAAAAAAAAAGGTACTTAAATATCTGAGAGATCACAATAGATTCTCTAAGTTCCGTTTCATCTCTTAGGCCTCGGTTATGGGAAACTCAAAGACGACGTCTCTGCCGGTAAGCTTCTTGTAAACCGCGGTGAAAGCCTCAAGCTTGTACTCTGTGTTGTTCTTCTCCTTTGGGTCCAAGAACACCTTCAAAACACATTCCAGTTCCATTTATTAGATTAGCAGAAACTTAACAAGATATTAGTGAAATAGGAACATCAATAGGATCTTTTGGTTTTTCTTTACTCACCTTCATGATTTTGGTGCCATCGAGTCTGTACCTAGTTCGCTTCCCAACAATCTCAGCGGGCAAGACCACATCGTCAAGTATGGCTTCATGGACTGATGTCAGAGTACGGTTGCGTGGCCTCTTTGCAGCTGAGCCCTTCTTTGGTGGCCTCACAATCCTTCTTGTTGCAATGAGGATCACATCCTATGGGATACAAAGCCAGAGACAAAGACGAAGATAGATAACAAGAAGCTAATCAGTCCACTGAAAACTACACTGATCAATCCAATGAAAAATGCTAACCGCTACAACTAAGTACTAAGACAATCTAGACTTGCATGGATCATTCAATCAAACCATGACGAATCAAGAAACACTAACAGGCACAAGAAATGGTAAAAGAATCACCTTTCCGCTGAACTTCTTCTCAAGTTCACGAACAAGCCTCACATGGATCTTCCTGTAAGCTTTCCTCAGTCTGTAAGGAACATTGATCACAACTGCCTTGCGTCCTCCAGAAACATCAACTTGACTACAAAACGAAAAAAGAGATTGAAGTTCAGATGCTTATTATTTCTACAGTAACAATACCAGAATCATAAATACAAAAATGTTTCACTCACACGGCCGAGTTGACGTATAGATCCTTCAACTCACTCTTCAACTCTTGGTTTGAGTTCTCCAAATCAAAGAAAGCCTTCAAGAAAGTAAACAGAGAGATATACAAAAAAGTATGAGAAAACTCCAAAGTTTCAACATTTCTAAGGAAAGCTTAAATCTTTACAAGTCTAAAGATCAAACCTGAGCAACTTGCTCATCCAACTCAGAAAGCTCCACACCCTTTTCCTTGTGGATCTTATGCTGTGCCGAAAACATCTTTCCTCTCTAAACTTTTACTCTGACAAACAGCAACAACGAAACATTCAATCTTCAGTAAAAATGCCCTTGAATCTCAAACATAGAGAAAACACTTGATGAGGCATTGATCACAAACAAGTTCACACTTTTAAACAAGGGTTCGATAGCAAATCATCTCAAACTATCAGTAACACCATTAACAGAGAAGAACAATATCAAACACTAAACGCGACGAGAGAGACTTTGGTGCCCAATGAAACAAGAGAAATTCATCGTATATCTCCTACATCACTCAAATGCAACAGCTAAACAACACATTTACGGCGAGATTCAACGAATCAGAGAGCAAACAAACAAACCCGCCGAGTGTACAATACTGGATTTCACAGGGGAATCAATACTGAAACTGATAAGATCCAATAGAAAATATATAGAAGAAGAGATTCGAGATGAACGAAACGCACCGGAGGCAGATGCCAAAGGAGACTGAAGCTAATCCGCTAAAATAAAACCCTAGAGAGCTCGAGGAGGAGGGTAAAGAGGCTTTATAAAGGAAGATCTAACGGTGACGAGTTGCTAAGATGAAACGTGTACGGATAGGATTGTAAGTTGGTAAAATCTGCTTGATCAAATCTGAGCCGTAGAATGTAGATGACGTGGAACAATACTGATGAAGCCACGTAATTGCTGACGTGTTACTTGGTTGTATCTTATCATTTCCTGGTTTCCTCAATTAGACCAACAAAAGACAGTCACGACGACACCGGTTCGGATCCTTTAACCGTCTCACTTTCTCCGCTTCTCTGATGCGTGACACTTTTCGATAAACCTCAAATCAAGGCAGAATCTGGAGGAACAACAAGAAGCTCAAAAATCATTAATTTTGATTTGATCATTGGAGAAACGAAAGCGTTTTTTGGATTGTAGGAGAACAATCCAAAGTTTGAAGTTAGTTGATTTCGAGGTGGGTTCGTTGAGAAAAAAACATTGAGTCTTCAAGTAATTTTGGGAATCTGAGTCAGAAAAGTTTCGTTGAAACAGCTGAGAATGTTCACGAATTAGTCAATTATTTTAGCTGACTAATATCTGTCTTGGAATTTCGAATAAAGCTTAGTTTTTTCAGCTGAATAAAGCTTAGATTTTTGGTCTCTGTGGCTTGAGCTTAGAGAGTCAATTTGTGTTCCATTGTTGGTACAAATTTAGCTGTTTTACCTAATTGTTTCAATTTTCCGATTGTAGCTGTTTCGAGAGAAATCAGGTGACGAAAATTTCATTGAAATGTCGAGCAAAACTCGGGATGTTCTTGAAGGCCTGGTTAAAGACAGTTCGTTGAAATGGTTGCTTGGGAAGCAAAATTCTATCGATGAAGAAATCGAGGAGATTGAGAATTCTCCTTCTGCTGGAGCCAATTGGATACCTGAGCTTTCTCCAGTCGCAAATGTGGTCATTCGCAGGTGTTCAAAGTAAGAATCACTCATTTAGTCCTGTAACAAGGCTAAGTCTTGATCGAAATAAGCTACCTTGTGATATGCTAATGGAATCATTTGGTATGATTTGGATGTTGATAACCAGCTTTTGATTTGTTTTCTGTTTAGTAACGGGAAACGTTTTGATGCAGAATACTCGGTGTTTCAGTAAGCGATCTACAAGATAGTTTCAAACGAGAGGCCTCAGAATCTGTGAAGCAGCCTTCGATGTTTCCAAGGAACTTTCTAGAGTACTGCTGTTTCAGGGCACTTGCGCTCTCCATAGGAGTAACAGGTCATCTAAGCGATAAACAGTTTCGGCGTTTAACCTTTGACATGATGGTTGCTTGGGAGGTTCCTTCAGCTGCTAGCCAAGCATTACTCAGTGTAAGCACTTTCTTGATTTATGCGTTCTGTGGTCCTTAGAGTACTCAAGGCCTGATCCTCTTAGTTTCAAACATGGAACCAGGTTGATGAAGATCCAACCGTCAGTTTAGAAGCCTTCTCTCGGATTGCTCCAGCAGTTCCAATCATAGCTGATGTGATCATATGTGAAAACTTGTTTGGTGTGCTGACTTCTTCGTCTAATGGTGTTCGGCTTCATTTCTCTGTTTATGACAAGTATTTGTATGCACTTGAAAGGTAAAAAAGCTTCCATCTCTTAGATAACTGAGGAAAAAAACTTAGTGTGATCTGAAGTTTGTTTTTTTAATCTTGGATCATTGTGTAGAGCAATAAAGAAGATGAAGAGTCAATCTGAGTCATCTCTGCTTTCTGGTGTTCGATCAAAAGGAGAAAACATTCTTGAGATCGACGGGACCGTTACTACTCAACCAGTTCTTGAACATATTGGAATATCTGCATGGCCAGGTGTGTTTTTCTCTGCGGTGATTTGGTAAATCCCTCTCTTTTCGGTTGATTGAGCTAAGTATTGTTATATATATATCAATGCAGGTCGCTTGATTCTGACTGATCATTCCCTCTACTTTGAGGCTGTAAAGGTCGTCTCTTTCGACACACCAAAGCGTTATAGCCTATCTGAAGATCTGAAACAAGTCATTAAACCCGAGTTAACCGGTCCTTGGGGCACTCGGCTTTTCGATAAGGCTGTCTCTTACAAATCCATTTCTCTGTAAGGAATGGTTTTATTGCAAATCTTATCTAGTGCTTGTGTATAAACTTCTGAATTGGTTACATGTCCAAATGGCTTTCGTTTTGTAGACCAGAGCCAGTAGTAATGGAGTTCCCTGAGCTCAAGGGCCACACCCGTCGAGACTACTGGCTGGCGATAATCTTGGAAGTGTTATACGTTCACAAGTACATAAAGAAGTTCAAGATCACCACCACTGGTGTGGCGAAAGATGAAGCTATCTCGAAAGCAGTGCTAGGCATTTTACGCGTGCAAGCCATTCAAGAACTCGGTTTGACAAACCCAGTGCGTTACGAGAATCTTCTCCCGTTCAGTCTCTGTGATCAGCTTCCTGGTGGAGATCATATTCTTGAGACGCTTGCAGAGATGTCGAGCTCGAGAGTTCTTGACCGGACAAACAAAGCCAAAGAAGGTGAAATACAATTACTTACTATGCAAAACTGTATCTTCCTAATCCTACAGAATTGTATGCTGATGAATCTTCCTTATAACAGGGTCATTGTACTCCATCTCGGCCTCAGATATGGTTTCGCAGTTGGGTTTGGTGTTTGGATCAAGTCCAAGGAGTAGTAGTAGTAGTAGTAGTCTTGTGGTAGGTGAAGTAGTGGTTGGAGATGTGAATCCATTGGAAAGAGCGGTTAAGCAATCAAGAAAGAACTATGAGAAAGTGGTTCTTGCGCAAGAGACTGTTAATGGAGTTAAAGTTGATGGAATCGACACCAACTTAGCAGTGATGAAGGTAAAGAAAACAACTCTCAACAACTTCTAGCTTTTTGCATTTCCGCAATAACTTTTCTTTTGCAGGAACTGCTTCTTCCTGTAATGGAAACTGGGAACTGGCTTTTGTCGTTAGCGTATTGGGACGATCCACTGAAGTCTTTTGTATTCTGTCTCTTCTCCACTTTCATCATTTACAGGTGAAAGCATTAGTTAGGACTTTATGCATTCGTTTTGTTTGTTTGTTACACAATTCTCATATTGCTCCGGCTTTGAATCGGTTTTGGCAGGGGATGGATTGGCTATGTTTCTGCGATTGCGTCTCTCTTTTTAGCTGGTTTTATAGTTCTCACAAGATACTTCAGCAATAGAGACAAAGCAATGATCGAGCTGAGAGTGATTGCGCCGCCTCCTATGAACACAATGGAACAGCTTTTAGCTGTTCAAAACGCTATTTCGCAGCTGGAACAGCAAGTCCAAGACGCAAACATTGTTCTTCTAAAGTTCCGAGCTTTGTTACTCTCCCTTTTCCCACAGGTCTTTCTCTCTTCCCTCAAATTCTCCTCTCTTTTTTAGCGTCTTGCACCCGCTTTAATGTTAATTGATGGAAATAAACAGGCGACTGAGAAGTTTGCGGTTGGGATTGTGATTGCTGCGTTGATGTTAGTATTGTTGCCTTGGAACTTCTTCATCTTGGTGGTGTTTCTTGAGCTGTTCACGAGATACTCCCCGTTGCGTAGAGCAAGCACCGAGCGTCTGATGCGGCGGCTTAAAGAGTGGTGGTTCAGCATTCCGGCTGCTCCGGTGGTTCTTGAACAAAGCAAAGACGATAGCAAGAAAACCAAGTGAAAGGTGTAATGTGTAATTAGTTACGTGTGTTTGTACATTTACTGTATGTAGTAGAGAAGTTTTTCGATTAGAGTATCAAATCTAATACCATTATGATACTAAAAAAAATTATATAGAAAAACAGGTAAACGTTCCGTGGTAAAAATCACATTTAACTGAAGATAAACGGGGTACAGAAGCAGAATCATCTTACAAAAAATAATGTTACTTTTATCTCTTGAGGCACAAAATTTAACATCTTTTTATTCATAATAATCACACAACAATAGCAAAGCCTTCTCTCACTCTCTTTTTCTCTATCTTCTTGAGCTTAGCTTACAAAGCAGCAGCATTTTGCGGCTGCTCGAGCTCGACAGGAGAAGCAGTGTGAAGAGGTTCCTGCAAATCTGTATTTATTGGGAACAAATGGCACTGAGCGTACTGCGCCATCAGTTGATCCACAAGAACTAAAGCCACCATTGCTTCCACCATTGGCACAGCTACAACAACAAAAGCAAAATCACAATCCAGATTCATAAACAGCAAGTCAATTCAGTGGTTTCGTGTTTATTATAAGTTACCTCGTGGAACAACACAAGGATCATGACGACCACGCGCAATCATTTCGGTCTCTTTCTTATCTCTGGTTACGGTGTTCTGCTTCTTCTGCGCATTGGAAAGAGAGCATCAATGTTGTTAATTGATGATTGATCAAGCTTAACTTTTTTTATGTGTTCATATGGAAACTGCATGAGTTTTATTATCACAAAACTTACTCCAATTGTAGATGTTGGCTTGAAGGCTATTCTCATGTTTATTATCTCACCATTCGATATCCCTCCCTACGCAAAATTGACTAATATCAGCAATCTCTCAGGAAGAAAAGTGGTTTATTGACATAATGAGAAACAAGACTTAACTAACCTGAATGCCACCGGATCGGTTTGTTTTAGTTCTTATTCTTCCGTTTTCATCGGTATAGAACTCATCATTGTGTTCAAGACCAGTCAGAAAGGTACCTGCGGGTTTCAACACGTATGATTTTTACAGCTCAAGAAGGGTTTTTAATCAGCTAAAGATGAGAAATTCATAACTTTCTTTACCTGAGAAGCCACTTCCAAACTCAAATCCCTTTGTTGCAGGTAACGACATACAAGCTTTGGCCAGTTCTGCCTCAAGTTTATCGAAAACAGGTGTACCAAGCCCCTGAGTTCCATAGTAGTTTCAATAATCATTCACGTAAGGTCATGCAATCAAACTTCAGGACAACACAAAGCTTTAAACTATTCTAATGGTACAGTTAGAGTTCATACGCGTGGAGCATTCCGAACAATGCAGGTAACAACACCACCAACAGAGTTGCCTTTTGTCCTGACAGCATCAATCGCAGCTATCATCTTCTCCGCATACTCAGGATTAGGGCACCTGACAATGTTATCTTCTATCTGGAAAAATCGGCAACATGAGGCAAGAATGTAACTACAAGAACCTTAATAAGAAGTGGCAACGCTTAGATCATGAAGGGAAAAAATGATCCCACACCTGTTCGAGGGTCAAGTTCTCGTGGTCTACTAATTCCTCTGGAAGTATGACCTGGTGGACTTGAGAGACATAGGCAAGAATCTGGAGACGCAAATAAAAAAATCATAAGCAAGTCAATAAGCAAACATGACCGTGTTGTGTGAATCTGTAGAAGGTTGGGTTAACGAGTCAAAATGCTACGGCACACCTTCTTTCTAAGGATATACTAAGCATAACAGAGAGATGAAAAACAAACCAAACGTCATAAGAGTATAACGAGTTCTATGTAAATTGATCCTTTGAGAGCAATGCTATTTGCAAAACATTCGATATATATTCGAGAGTAAACACACCTCAGTTCCTGCAAATTGCTTCAAAATCTTCTTGGCCAAAGCTCCAGGAGCAACTCTTCCTATGGTCTCTCTTGCTGAAGATCTCCCACCACCCTTGAAAAACAGATGCACTTTAAAGTAAGTTGAGCCGAAAATAATGCCTTCAAATCATATAAAAACATTACCAAGAAAGTATCATATAAACAAGTTAAGCCAAAGAAAATAAGGTGTTACCTGTACTGATCTGACACCATACTTCATGTCATAGGTTGCATCTGCATGAGATGGCCTGTAGGCAACCGACATTTCACTGTAATCCTGAAAAATCCATAGAGTCTCTCAAAGGTTAGACTCTACAGAAAACCTGCAAGTTTTCTTCTCTAATGCCAATAGCAAAACATAATTATATGCATAGAGATGACAAAATAAAACTTACAAGTCCTCTCTGATCTGTGTTAGGCACAAACACATGGATAGGTGTTCCCGTCGTCATTCCTGCATTTCATTGACGCCAACAGTTAGAAACTAGAGTGTGAAACCAAACCAAACTCAAATCTGTGGAAGATAATGAAAAACTAGACCTTCGGAGACACCAGAAGATATCCGGCAAGTATCAGTCTCTTTCCTAGGAGTGGTGATCCGGCTCTGACCAGGTCTCCTGATAAAAGCAAATACATCATGTAAGGATCCGAGTTACAAATTTCTCAAAAAGAAAAGCTTTCTAGCTCAAAATCACCTCCTATCAAGATCGATTTGCAAATCAGATTCAGAGAGTGGAATCCGAGGAGGACATCCATCGATGATACAACCAACACCTCCTCCATGTGATTCTCCAAAAGTGGATACTCGGAAATGAGTCCCGTATGAGCTTCCAGTAGCTTGTATCTCTGCCAATTTAAACAACCGAAATTCCAAAAACTCTTAAGAAAGCTTTCTACTTTTCGTTCTCAACGAATGTGAAATCAAATTCAAATCAACTCAGTATCAATTTGAAATCGATATATCTATCAAAAGGAGGAGAAAACTCACGGAAATTCTTCCTTGATTGGGTTCGGATTGAGATCTGAACGGGGGGAGAGGAGAGACGACGGAGCTCCGACGGAAGAGAAGAAGAAGAACCGAGTTTGGTGGAGGATCCGAGAATGGAATTGGAAGTGAGAGAGGACGCCATGATCAGGATCGAAGCAAATGGAAAAAGAGGATTGAGGAAAGGTTTAAAAGGTGGGAGAAATGTAGAGTTGGTGGAAATTTTGGGGGTTGGTGGCTTTATATGTATGCGTCGTCGTCTCTCAAATGGCTTTGTGGTCGTCTCTTTCCCTCTGCAACTGGAGGCGCAATTGTACAAATCCTCCACCTACCCAGACGACAAGAACCAAACCAAACCAAACAGATTGTTTAAAGTAACCCAAAAAACTAACCGGAAATTGAATCATACCATTTTAAATTTTCAATCAAACCCAAAAAACTAACCGGAACTGAATCAAACCATTATGGCTTTTGGTTATCTACGGTTTTGGTTGATGATTACTCATGTGGGGAAAAATTGTTAACACAACAAATCACGTTTTAAGTGTAAACTTATACTATTGTAGTATATATTTCAACGAATCTGATGAAAAGGTAAATATATATTTTCAACAAAACCAGTAACAAGTTTTTAGAGACTAAACACGATAAATTCCAGATGAATCAATCAAAGTCCAAGCAGGGAACTGAATGCATGATTTGTGACATTGAAAACATATGAGGAAGAAGCTTATGATCGATAAATAATTAAATATACATATACAGTATGAGGAAACTGAAACTGAAGCAGAAGAGAATCTGATCGACGACGTTGAAGGAAAAAGAGGACAATAGAAGCTGCCTTGTGAAATATGATGGATAAATATACACATTAGATTGCATTATTCTACGTACGATCTCATCAATGCTCATCTTTTTATCTAAGAATCTCTAGGCATTGATGCGTTTAATTAACATGATTCTTAATTAGAAGATCATCTCCATAACCCTTAGGTTTTATAGGCTTTTAGCCTCGCATCTATAAAATTCTTTAGATCGTCTTCTTTACGTATGTTATTGTGTGTTGTTTATAAACTTGCTATATACTTCGATGGATATGCAATAAACTCTTCTAAAAGTAATAAAGACGGATGCTTATTATAAATCAAAAACTATTGCGTTAAGTATAAAGAAAGCAAAAACAATAAAACCTAATCATGAAGATTCACTAGTGATGGACATGATCATTCAAAAGCCCACTGGTTTTCTCTGCGAATCTCTGCTTCCTCCTCCGGTGTGAAATCGTTCTTGATGTTGAAAATAGTACGAATCTCCTCTGGAGTCTTTCCTTTGATGGTATCGGCTGACAAGTAAGATCAAGAAGGCCTTTGATGTTCAGAAAGTTAGCAGCGAGGATAAGGTGAAATAGCGTCGACTGATCGATCTCCTCTATAAACTTAGCGTCCCAAGTCTTGAGCTCCTCTTCGGAGGAAGAAGGCGAAGCACCATCACCGTCGGGGATGACAGGGACGTGCTTGCGGCAGTACTCAATCACTTTGACGAGGATGTTGCTCGTGACGTTAGCAAGAGGGACACCGTTTTCGACGCAGTCATCTTCAACCATGTGAGATATGGTCTGCGACTGGAGAGCCACCGCTTCTTCAACCTCAAAGGTCTCACCATCTGAGCTCTTCAAAACAATCTTCTTCGCTGGCGTCGACATCGTTCGTTCTTTGTGGAGACTTGATGAAAACTAGGAAAATACTTAATGTGGCGAATGATACAGAGGTGAGAAACCATGCATATCTATTTAAAAGATTTTGAGTCGGTGGTTTTATTCGATGTCATAACATGATTAGGAAATCTATTGTTTTACCAAAAAGGAAAAGGAAAAATGTGAGCACCTATTGTTTTACCAAAAAGGAAAAGGAAAAATGTGTGTGCTCTTATCTCTGAAATTGTGTTTTGTTTCTAATACTTTCGTCAATAGCCATACATGATTAGGATATGGAAGTACATATGTTTTTGCAAACGGAAAAAGGAAAGAAGAATATAGAAAGCTATATACTGTACGTGGTTATCGATGCAAAATCTGTCTGAGGTTAGAAAAAAACTCAACTATTTTGCATTATCATTGAAACGGCTCAAAACTAAAAATCATGTACTGAAAATCAAATCTTAAATTTTGACTTGAAATAAAAGAAAAATAGCCATTGTAGAGAGGTAAATTATAGAGAAAAAACTCTCTCAGGCACTATTCCCCAGATAATCTTTACCCTCCGGTTTGTCCAAAGCTTCAAATCTCAACCACCCTGTTTTTACCAAATAAGGAAAGTTTTTGAATTTTATCACTTCTGGTTTCTGAAATACCGTGGTTCAACCCCCGACTTGGGTCGGAGGGTCCGCCTGAAACAGCTCCGGTAAGCCGTCGCATCCATGGAAAACGTTCAAGACTCTACTGGTATGAACTTTCCTTCTCGAACTTACTCACTTTGTTGAGTTTTACCCTTGGTCCTGGTTGAATCCGTTTCAGGAAAAATTATCGGGTGATAAACATCCGAAGAATCTCTCACCCTAGGGGTGTTGAAACCTTATTCACATACTTTGTGATTTAAATCGTCGGAGGCTTGCAATGTCGCGAAGATTCACGCAAGCGGAAAAGGGAAAGGCTCTCGTTCCACCACCTGAACCCCCACGGCTGGGAAGAGTAAAAGTCCCAGCTTTTGACAACTCAGTTCTAGTGAAAAGGCATGCACTGACCCTTATCGGGAAAGTGACGAATCCAAAGATCCAAAGGATGTGGTCTCTGCTACCTTTCTTCACTGAACACTGGAAAACAAGCGCACCAGCCCTAGGAACAGATCTAGGCCATGGGAAATTTCAGTACCAGTTTGCGACGGAAGAAGATATGCAGTTGGTGTTGGATAACAGACCTTACCACTTCGCACACTGGATGCTCATCTTACAACGGTGGGAACAGACTGTCTCCACAACTTTCCCATCACAAATCCCCTTCTCGATAAAAGTACAGGATGTACCAGTTCACCTGTGGAGTGAAGCGATGCTACGAAGCATTGGAGAAGACTTGGGAACTTTTGAAACCTGGGAAATAACAAAAGCACATGCCAAGATGAGAGTTCAAGTAAATGGTCTCCTCCCGATCCTGAAAACCTACAACCTGGAGTTTGCTAATGGAGATGAAGTCCTAGCATCTCTAGTCTATGAGAAATTGGAAAAGCACTGTACAAAATGCGGTATGCTTGATCATGAAGAAGTAGAATGTCATGACCTTTTGGTGGAGCCTCTAGCATCTCAACTCCCACCTCCGCCGCTGAGAAGAGAAGTACCCTCTGCTAGAGGCAGCCATGATAGCTCTCGAACTCTGACGAAGAGCCAGAGAAATGAACCAAGAAGGGATGACACTTGGGGGCGGAACGCAAGAATGACCACCAGCAGTAGAAATTACTCTTACTATGGCAATAACCTACAAAGAAACATCTGGCCCAATGACTCAAGAAACTCTAATACATCCGGGGAAAGAGGAAGGCGCTCTACGTATAAGTCTGGTTTCCAACCAAATTCTATAAGGTATGAGAGTGGCAGACAAAGTGTACCTCGTTGGGTTGAAACGGGACGGCGAGTAGCAACCTCCGCGTTAGCAGACTCTACAAGCAGATTCAGAAGCAGTGAAGTGAGGACTGAATCGGCTAGAGATAGAAGGAGCGGAGAAAGGAGAAGTGAAGAAAGAGTAACCAAACAGAACATGGCACAAGGAAAGTCACCTGCAGGATCATCCCATTCTAGAAGCAGCCATCGCTCAGGCCACAGACCCTCCCAGGAGACAGAATTCCCAGCACGTGCTCTATTAGAAGCAAGAGGGGAAGTCCGAGATGTCATGACCCAATATACCATCTGTGCGGACCCAACGGAAAGTGCTGCTCGCAAAGAAAGACTGAGACAAGCTGAGGAAAGAGGAGAGATAGAACAAACAGCAGTTCAGATGGTTAGACACTCTCAAAGAGTTCAAAACCAAATCCCGGAGAGAGTGGAAGAGCAAAACCTGGAGCCTCTTATGCACGAACGAATTCCAGCATCCCAGCGACTTGGACCAATACTCACAGACATACCTATAGAAGAGGAATCAGTGAGAGTACCTGCCAAGAAGAGATTGGGAAGACCACCAAATAAGAAGAAAACTTTACCAAGCTCACCCCCAATGCCAAAGAAAAGGAGAATGACACAATTGGCAGGCTCACCAAAAAGAAGATTGATTATGGGGAGCACGTCAAGGCGAGCACCAAAGAAACCAACAAGCTCCAAGGGACAACCTTCAGGCTCCATAATTCCTGCTATCTCGAAGCAGAGGATGGATTTTCAGGATCCATCCACTCGTCTCCCTTAAAGATTGTAAGCTGGAACTGCCGAGGCTTGGGGAATCCCTCGTCAGTTCGTCGACTGCAGGAAATCAAAAAGAAAAATGATTTTCCTGAGATTTTATTCCTCATGGAGACGAAAAATTCAAATGCATTCGTCCTCAAAGAGCTTAACATTTTAAACTATGATCACATTACAATGGTACCACCTTATGCCAGAGGAGGAGGTGGTTTAGCACTACTATGGAAGAAGGAAGTTGAGCTAAAAATTCTATACCAATGTGACAATTTCATCGATACAGAAGTACGCTTTCAAGGGAAGATATTCATGGCTACCTTTGTGTATGGAGAGCCCGAAAAAGCGAATAGAAAGGAAATTTGGACAGCAATCACAGAGAGAACTGCAGGCAGAGATTTACCTTGGTTTTTAACCGGCGATTTTAATGAGATTCTCGACAACTCTGAGAAGAGAGGAGGTCCGCCACGAGCTGAGAGCTCCTTTGTAGATTTCAGATCATTCATGTCGGAGTGTGATCTATACGATCTGAGATACTCCGGCAATTTCCTATCCTGGAGGGGAATTAGATACAAATACAACGTAAAGTGTCGGCTAGATAGAGCAATGGCGATAGTGCGTGGATCGAGACTTACCCTTCCGGAAGAAGTGAGTATCTAGACTTTGAAGGGTCGGATCATAGACCTATTATATCCTTCTTCTACCCTACAAAGAAAAAGCGGAAAGGGCTATTTCACTATGATAGACGCCTAAGACACAATGAAGAAGTAAAGTTACTAGTGGAGGAGGCATGGAAGGCTTACCCCAATGCAAACATAGATCTGCGCATCTCAAACTGCAGAAGGGCAATCATTCAATGGCACAGGCAAAATCATCGGAACAGCCAACAACTGATAGAACGGAAAAGGAAGGAATTAGAAGAGGCTATGACTAATGACAATAGTAGCGAAACCCTAATCTCTCTGATAAACCTTGAATTGAAAGGAGCTTACCAAGCAGAAGAGAAGTATTGGAGACAGAGAAGTCGTCAAATGTGGCTCAGCTTGGGAGACAAGAACAGTGGTTATTTCCATGCAGCCACAAGGGGAAGAAGAGCAAGGAATAATATATCAGTCATTGAAGATGAGAAGGGAAATGCAGTCTATGATGAAGTGAATATCGAGAGGGTCATTACGCATTACTTCACAGAGATGTTTACCTCTCAAACTGGAGACAGAGCAGAAACGGTGAAACAAAGCATTTCTCGGAAGATAAGTGATGAAACCAACACAAAGCTTATCTCTATACCCTCTCCGAAAGAAATACGAGCGGCTATCTTCTCAATACATCCGGACAAAGCACCGGGTCCGGACGGTTTCTCCGCAAGCTTCTTCTACTCGAATTGGGGAACAATTGGTGAAGACATAACCCTTGAAATCCAGAAGTTCTTCACTTCCGGAAACCTCCCTCAAGGCATAAATGCGACCCACATCTGTCTAATACCTAAGAAAACAGCTCCAAAGTCAGTCGCCGATTACAGGCCAATCGCTTTGTGTAATGTGTACTACAAAATCATCTCAAAGATCCTTACCGCAAGATTGCATCCAATTCTAGATGGGCTAATATCCGAGAATCAGTCAGCCTTCGTTCCAGGAAGAGCTATCTCCGATAACGTGATGATAACCCACGAGATCCTTCATTTCCTGAAAATATCACAAGCAAAGAAAAGGACATCAATGGCAATCAAGACCGATATGACTAAAGCCTATGATCGGGTGGAATGGGATTTCATTAAACTAGTGCTGGAGAGAATGGGTTCTCATACCAGGTGGATAGGCTGGATAATGCAATGTGTGACGTCAGTCACGTTCCAATTCCTCATCAATGGAGCTGCCAAAGGTTTTGTGAAACCCTCCAGAGGAATACGCCAGGGAGATCCTCTATCTCCATACCTCTTTATTCTATGCAGTGAAGTTCTCTCGGGACTCTGCTATCAAGCACAAGAATCTGGTCAAATAGAAGGAGTGAAGATAGCTAATAAAGGACCAAAAGTGAATCACTTACTCTTTGCAGATGATACAATGTTCTTCTGCAAGTCCAATGAGAGAACATGTCAAGCTCTTAAGGAAATCCTGAGGAAATACGAGGAAGCATCAGGGCAGAAGATAAGCTGTCAAAAATCAGCAATCACGTTCTCCAAAAAAACTCTAGAGTACGTGAAAAGAAGAGTAAAGATTTTTCTGGGAATAAGTCAGGAAGGAGGAAACGGAAAATACCTCGGACTACCAGAAGCTTTTGGGCGGAAAAAGAAAGATCTCTTTAATGCAGTGGTAGATAGAATCAGACAGAGAGCAATCTCTTGGTCATCCAAACAACTCTCGGGTGCAGGGAAGCTAGTGATGCTCAAGTCCGTTCTCTCATCAATGCCAACCTATTCTATGTCATGCTTCAAACTCCCTGTGAACCTATGCCAAAGAATCCAGTCAGTGCTCACTCGGTTTTGGTGGGATGGAAATGATGGAAAACGGAAAATGTGCTGGATTGCTTGGGATAAGCTTACACTTGGGAAACGAGAGGGAGGTTTAGGCCTGCGAGACATCCAGTGCTTCAATGACGCCCTGCTGAGCAAACTAAGCTGGCGGTTGATCTCAAATCCAGAGTGTCTTTTAGCGAGGCTGCTAAAAGGAAAGTACTTCCCGGAGACAACTTTTCTTGATTGCGGCTCGTCAGCCGGAAGCTCACACGGTTGGAAAGGGATAGTCATCGGAAAAGACCTGTTAAAAGAAAAGATTGGAAATGTTATTGGAAATGGTAAAAGCACAAGCGTCTGGAACGATCCGTGGCTCTCAACTAAGGAACCATTAAGACCAATGGGTCCGGCTCCAGAACAGTTTAAAGACATGAAAGTAGCTGAGCTATTGCTACCTCTATCAAGACAATGGAATGAAGAGCTGATAAATGAGCTATTACCTCATCACAAAGAGGAAATTCTATGCATTGTCCCTGGATCGTTTGACCTGGATGATAAGCTCGCTTGGCTCCCGCATAAGTCCGGTGATTACACAGTCAAAACCGGCTATCACGTAGCACGAGCACGAAGACCCTCCACGCAGAGCCCTACAACAGTAGACGAATTCAATTGGATCACGGAGGTGTGGGATGGAAAATTTGCACCAAAGTTTAAAATTTTTCTATGGAAAGCAGTGCAAGGAGCTTTACCGGTGGGAGAAAATCTAGCCTCGAGGGGAATCGCACAGCAAGCAACCTGCATCCACTGTGGAGCCCCTGAGTCGACTCTCCATATGTTGTTTCACTGCAGTCTAGCCCAGGAGGTGTGGAGCTTAGCTCCGTTCCGAATCCAAATCACCTTCGGAAATCTCATGGATTTGAAAGCCGGAATCAAAGCGATGAACAAGACCATCAGCTTACCACCCACTGGAATTAGAGCAGGAACCTTGGCGCCATGGATTATGTGGAGCATCTGGATGACTAGAAATAACAAGATCTTCAACAGGAGAAGTTTCACCGCGAGAGAAACCCTAAATCTGGCTTTAATTCGGGCACGGGAATGGCAAGAGGCGCAGGAGAAAACCCCCCCCCCCCAGTCGTCTCGCAGAGTAGACCACTTAGAGACCCAATTCCCTCACGCTTTGTCCGCTGCAACACAGATGGAGCTTGGAATGAAGCGGAGAAGATAGGAGGAATGGGATGGACTTTCCATTCCAATCAGGAGTTTATAACGCAGAGATCTCTCGCCCAGAAGCACATCACATCGCCGCTGATAGCAGAGGCCCTCGCGATCCGTAACGCGCTCAGACACGCCCTAGATCTCGGCTTCCTTTTCCTGCATGTGGCATCCGATTCACAACAAGTCATCAGGGCGATCATTTCCGGAGCCCGAACCTCGGAGATCTTCGGAATCCTCCAAGATATCAGTCATCTGTCTTCGTTTTTCAACGTTGTAATCTTCGTTTCAATTCCTAGAGAGGCCAATTTTTTGGCTGATACTATTGCAAAACAATCAATCCGCAACCTTTTGGTGGTTGGGGAGAGAAGAAGAAGTTAATGAAAAGTATCACCGTTTGAACAAAACAAAAAAAAAAAAAAAAAATTGACTTGAATTTAACCAAACTTCTGAGATTTTTTTTTTTTTTAAACAAAATATCATAAACCTGGTATCTACAACAAACCTATCATCAACATATTGTAATTCGTAAATCTTAGAAAGCGAAGGAATTATTTAATCAGAAATTTATCACTGAGAACAAATTACAAAACATATATAACAACAGACCTAATTTCTTATGCTTTGAGTCCTTTTTATGTTGTGTTGTCATTTTTTTATTTAGCTTATGTCGTTCCTTTGTGATTTTTGTCACGCTGTTTTATAATTCGATGGATATGTAAACTCTTTTTAAAAATTAATACGAGACACTAGACAGATGTTTGAGAAGAAATTAAACACAACTACAAGACATTGTTTCCTCTCTTATTATGATGCAAAGGAAAGAAGCACAACTGTGCGAGAGAACTGACAAACATAATCATGAAACCAAAGTGATCTACATGATCATTCAAACGCCCACTGGTTAGCTCTGCGAACCTCTGCCTCTTCCTCGGCTGTGAAATCGTTCACGATGCGGAAAAATGCGCGCATCTCATCCGGAGTCTTGCCTCTGATCATTTCAGCAACGGCCTTACAAGTAAGATCGAGAAGTTTTGGGGTGCTCAGGTAATCAGCAGCCTGACAAACGTCCAAGAGCGTCGCTTGATCCATTTCGTTGATAAAGTCATCGTCCCACTCCTTGAGCTCCTCTACGGAGGAAGGAGACGGATCAGCAACAGCAACATCATCAGCATCAGCATCGGGGACGACGACGGGGACGTGTTTCTTGCAGAACTCGAGCACTTTGGCAAGGATCTTGCCGGTGACGTTAGGAAGAGGGACTCCGTTCTCGACGCAGTCATCTTCGATCATGTGACCTACGGTCTTACACTGGAGAGCCACGGCCTCGTCAACCTCGAAGATCTTGTCGTCGGAGCTCCTCAGCACAATCTTCTTCGCCGACGTCGACATATCGTTCTTTGTTTGGTGGAGATTTGATGTGGTGAAATGATACAAAGTGGTAAGCCTGTGCATCTCTCATTTATAGGGTCTTGAGTCGGTGGTTATCTTTAGTGACTCATAATAACATTATTAGGTAATATTTAGCAAAAAAACAAAAATTCTTTGGAAATATTGGAATAGATTTCATTTCCCCAAACAAAAGAAGGAAAGATATCTGGGGCTTATTAAAATTACTGTTTGGAATTTTGAGAAATTAAGACATTAAGCTATAGTGACAACATGATTAGTAGGATAAAGGCTGTCAATAGAATCTATATCAAAAGTTTCCCAAACAGAAAAAGGAAAGAAAAATATAGATGACGACGTCGTCGTTTATTCCAAATTTTTAGGAGGTTGAAACTGCTCACAGTTACATGATAGGTGTCACAACGGCTAGATTTATTCAGAGGCTAATAGTATTAGTTATAACTCATTTTGTTTAAATGAAAGGGTAAACATATAATTTCGAATCTCTTTACGAAGACGTGTTTTGTTTGATTATAAATTCTCTTTAAACAGAGATATCTTCGTTGTAGTGTGACTTATAGCTTCATCTCTTTGTATGGAGATATATGAACGTAATTGTGTTCAAAGGGTATGAATATACACTCATCTCTGGAGGTATATGAACACTGGAGACACTTCGAAAAAGTCCTAGATGGATTTGGATATGGAGGCCACTTTTAAGAAAGAAAAAAAAAAAGACCAAAGTGTTCTTGAAAAGGTTTCAATAGTTTTAGTCCTCGAGGAGATTCATTGGAAATTTCTTTCGGTAACAATGAACCACAATTTTTTGCTCTTATATAAACACGTAAAATATGTTCAAACAATGAACCATATCTAAACAATGTGTCTTAATTGTTTAGATTAAGACAATGAACCTACTTTTTATTATGACGTTTAGATTAATTGTGTCTAAACAATTTTAGATTTCGTCTTAATTATGTGTCTCTTCATTGTAAACGTCTTAATTGTTTAGATTACGTGTCTAAACAATGAACCTACTTTGAAAACAATTACGTCTCGGTTAACTAGTAAAAGGTAAAGTAGCTTATCATTAAATTTTGAGCTGGTTTTTTTACTCATGATAACATTATTAGGAAATCTTGAAATAAAAAAGAAATATATCTGAGCCTTTTTAATGCTTTTAGGAAACTAAGACATTACAGTCAGTAGCGACATGATTAGGATATGGAAGTATACTTTTTTGCAAACAGAAAAAGGAAATAGTATATTTGTTCAAAACAAATTTTTATGCAAAGATTGGTCTCTCTTTTTTCGGTCAAGCGTAACCATCACCCCAAAAATATTGTTTTAAGTAACCCAAAAACTAACCAGAATTTAATCAAACCATAATAAGTTTTGGTTCTCTACGGTTTTTGTTTATTACCCAAGTGGGTGAAAAAATTGCAACAAACACAGCCTATATAAGTTTCAAGTTTCATTGTATAACTCTTAAACTGTTACAAAAAAAAAAATATAGTAACAAATTTTGAAGTGTAAATGAAAATTCTATATTTTTTAAAGAATAAAATGAAAAGCTAATATATTTCAACAAATCAAATAAATAGTTTTTTTTGAAGCTAAATACGTTAAATCATAAATAAATTAAAACAAAACAAATTTGTTTTATGGTTTGGTTTGATAAGTTTTTTTTGTATTTTTAATTTTGAAAACTTATCATTTTTGAACCGAATGATTTTACACCTTTATATATATGAGAGTACATCTTGGGATTCATTTATTAATCCAAACTAAGTGCAAAATTCAGATTTCGAGTTTGATCTTTCGTCTTCGGTTTCTCCTGAACCATAAAGAGCAAGAAGATTCAAAGGAAACATGGCTTTAATTAGACAACCGCCGAAGTAATACATCTAGCTAAGGTCAAGATCATGGGTTTAGGTCTCTATATTATGAGTATCCTCTGCAAATCTACCAAGTACCGTGTGTCTCAAGAATCATGCCCAAGCAGGAACTGAATGTACTTACGTTATCTTGTTGTAAGTCTAATATATTTCGATGGATATATGTAAACTCTCTTCTTAAAATTAATAAAGACGGATGTGTTTATAAAGCAAAAACTACTAGTTTTATTAAAAATAATAAAGAAAAGCAACAACTAAGCGAGGAAAAACATAATCATGAAAACCAAGTGATCGACATGATCATTCAAAAGCCCACTGGTTTTCTCTGCGAACCTCTGCTTCTTCCTCCGGTGTGAAATCATTCTTGATGTTGAAAGTAGTACGAATCTCTTCCGGAGTCTTACCTTTGATCATATCAGCTACGGTTTGACAAGTAAGATCAAGAAGATCTTTGATGTTTAGATAATTCGCAGCCATGATAAGGCTAAAGAGAGTCGACTGATCGATATCCTTCATGAACTCAGCGTCCCAAGTCTTGAGCTCCTCTTTGGAGGAAGAAGACGAAGCATCATCACCGTCGGGGACGACGACAGGGACGTGTTTGCGGCAGTACTCGATCACTTTGACGACGATGTCGCTCGTGACGTTAGCAAGAGGGATTCCGTCACCGACGCATTCATCTTCAACCATGTGAGCTATGGTCTGTGACTGGAGAGCCACGGCTTCTTCAACCTCAAAGGTCTCACCATCTGAGCTCTTCAAAACAATCTTCTTCGCTGGAGTTGACATCGTTCGTTCTTTGTGGAGATTTGATGAAAACTAGGAAATTAGAATAATAATGTGCGAATGATACAAAGTTGAGAAACTATGCATCTCTATTTAAAGGGTTTTGAGTCGGTAGGGTTTATTCCATGGCATAACATGATTAGGAAATCTACAAATATATTATTTTAGCAAAAAGGAAAAGGAAAAAAGTATGTGCTTTTTTTCTCTCAAATTGTGTTTTGTTTTTAAGACTTTCGTCAATATAGTCATAACATGATTAGGATATGGAAGTATATGTTTTTGCAAACAGAAAAAAAAGGAAAGAAGAATATAGAAAGCTGTATACGTGGTTATCTATGCAGAGGTTGAAAAAAACTCAAACGATTTTGCCTTACCTTGTATCATTGAAACGGCTCAAAACTAAAAATCATGTACTGAAAATCAAATCTAAGTTAATCCTTAAATTAATCTTTTTTTTTTGTAAAATACTAAAATGTTAATCCTTAAATCTTGACTTGAATTTAACCAAACTTCTGAGTTTATTTTATTTTTATTTTTTTAAAACAAAATATCATAAACCTGTTATCTACAACAAATCCACTACAAAAAAAAGAGTGTGTTAAATCATTTATTCTATTTGTTTATATCAGTTATCATCAACATATCGTAAATCTTAGAAAGCGAAGGAATAATCAGAAATCTATCACTGAGAACAAATTACAAAACAAACTAACGACCTAATTTCTTATGTTTTGAGTCCTTTTTACAACGGCGGTTGGCAAATAGAGATGGTGTTTTGGTGGTGTGCAGTGCAGATGTGGTGTTGACAGTGTTGTCATTTTTTTTTGTATTTAGCTTATGTCATTCCTTGTGATTTTTGTCATGTTGTTTATAATTCGATGGAGATGTAAACTCTTTTTAAAAATTAATACGAGACAGATGGTTTGAGAAGAAACACAAGACATTGTTTTCTCTCTTATTACGATGCAAAGGAAAGAAGCACGACTGGTGCGAGAGAACTGATAAACATAATGCATGAAACCAAAGTGATCTACATGATCATTCAAATGCCCTCTTCCTCGGCTGTGAAATCGTTCACGGCCTTACAAGCAAGATCGAGAAGTTTTGGGACGTTCAGAAAATCAGCAGCCTGACAAACATCCATGAGCATCGATTGATCCATTTCGTTGATAAAGTCATCGTCCCACTCCCTGAGCTCCTCTACGGAGGAAGGAAACGGATCAGGGACAGCACCAGCATCAGCATCGGGGACGACGGCGGGGAGGTGTTTCTTGCAGAACTCGAGCACTTTGGCAAGGATCTTGCCGGTGACGTTAGCAAGAGGGACTGCGTCATCGACGCAAACCTCTTCGATCATGTGAGCTATGGTCTTACACTGGCGAGCCACGGCCTCGTCAACCTCGAAGATCTTGTTATCGGAGCTCTTAAACACAATCTTCTTCGCTGACGTCGACATATCGTTCTTTGTTTGGTGGAGATTTGATATGTGGTGAAATGATACAAAGTGGTAAGCCTGTGCATCTTCATTTATAGGATTCTTGAGTCGGTGGTGGTTTTCTTTAGTGACTCATCATAACATTATTAGGTACTAACATTTAGCTAAAAAACAAAAATTATTTGGAAATAAATAATGAAATAGATTTCATTTCCCCCAAACAAAAGAAGGAAAGATATCTATAGTGCTTATTAAAATTACTAAAAGGGTTTTTGAGAAATTAGGACATTAAGCTATAGTGACAACATATATGATTAGTAGGATAAAGGCTGTCAATAGCATCTACATCAAAAGTTTCCCAAACATAAAAGGGAAAGAAAAATATAGAGAACGACGTCGTCGTTTAATGCAAAATCTGCTCGGTTACATGATACGTGTCACAACGGCTAGATTTGTTCAGAAGCTTATAGTATTAGTTATAATTAATTTTGTTTAAATGAAAGGGTAATACATATAATTTCGAAGCTCTTTACAAAGACGTGTTTTGTTGTATTATAAATTCACTGTAAGCAGAGATATCTTCGTTGTAGTGTGTCTAAGTGTCTTCATCTCTTTGTATAGAGATATATGAACGTAATTGTGTTCAAAGGGTGTATATACACTCATCTCTGGAGGTACATGAACATTGGAGACACTTCGAAAAAGTCTTAAATAGATTTGGATATGGAGGCCACTTTTAAGAAAGAACAAAAAAAACAAAGGCGAAAGTTTTCTTGAAAAGGTTTCAATAGTTTTAGTAGTCCTCGAGGAGATTCATTGGAAATTTCTTTCGGTAACTAAAAAATTGTGGTTCACAATGAACCTACTTTGAAAACGATTGCGTCTCGGTTAACTAGTAAAAGGTAAAGTAAGAAAAACATCTTGTGATTTAGCTTATGTTCGTTCCTTATGATTATTTTTGTCAAATTTATTAAGTTCAATTTTTGCTATCGGGTTGTTTATACATTTTGTTATATTTCGATAAATATGTGATACTGTTTTCTTGCTTATCATTAATTTTTTGTTTTGTTTTTTAAACCATACTTTTTTATTCATTGAAACAGATTACAAACCATTGGCTTGGGGCCATACAGCTTTGTAGCTTACTATCTAAAGCAAAGAAGTATGACTTTGCGAGAACAAACTCACACACAGGCCAAAACGATCTACATGATCATTTAAAAGCCCATCGGTTTTCTTTGCGCAGATTTGCTCGTTCTTCGGGTGTGAAATCGTTCTAGGCGCCTAAAAAATCATGAATCTCTTCCACAGTTCTGCATGCCATGATCCTATCAGCAACGTTCTTGCAAGTAAGATCAAAAAGATCTTTGATGTTTAGATAATAAGCAGCGTTTATCATGCGAACGAGCGTTGATCGATCCATCTTGCTCACAAAGTCAGTGTCCCACTTCTTGAGCTTCTCTTCGGAGGAAGAAGAGGATGCGACGACGTGCTTCTTGCAGTACTTGATCACCATTTCAAGGATATCTCCGGTGACGTTGGGGATACGGATTTGGTGACTGACGGAATCATCTTTAACCATGTCAGCTATGGTCTGGGACTGGAGAGCCACCGTTTCTTCAACCTGAAAGATCATGCCGTCCGAGCTCCTTAAAAAAATCTTCTTCGCCAACGTCGACATTTCTTTGGAGATATTGATGATAAGGATAATCTGATATGTGGTGAATGATACAAAGTTGTAGGCCTATATGCATCTGTATTTATAGCATTTTGAGCTGGTTGTTATCTTCAGTGACTCATGATAACATTATTAGGAAATCTTGAAATATAAAAGAAAGATATCTTGGGGTTTTTAATGCTTTTAGGAAACTAAGACATTACAGTCAGTAGTGATAACATGATTAGGAAGTAAAGGCTGTAAAAAAAAAATTAAAAGTTTCCCAAACAGAAAAATATAGAGAACGACGTCGTCTAATGCACAATCTGTATGAGGTTGAAAAAAGTGTCAACGATGTCACAACGGCTAGATTTGTTCAAAGGCATCTTCGTTTAAGGGAAAGGTAATTAATTATGTGAACATCGTTAATATCTTTTTCAAATGGCTACATTAGACAGAACGTCTTAGTTAGAACTCATCTTTGTTTAAATGAAAATTCGAAGCTTTTTATAAATCTGTATTTTGTTTGATTTTAAATTCTCTCTAAACCTAGATATATCTACGTTGTAGTGTGAGCCCTTCATCACTCTCCTTGATCTTCAAATTTTAGTGTTTGTTCCAAAATCAAATCTTCGTCATGATTACTAAACCATCTCTAAAACAAGCCCAATTTATTGTCAAAGGCCATGTGTTTTAACAAGTAACACATTTATTTCTTGGTTAACAAGTAACAGGTTTAATTGTGACTTAACTTTAAGTCTTCCTTGTGATTTTAATTTGTCAACAAAAAACAAAAACAAAATCTACTTTGATGAATATGTAAACTCTTTTTATAATTAATAAATCAAAGCAAAGAGGCACGACTGTGCGAGGACAAGCATATCATGCACAAAGAAGTAACACACAGGCCAAAACGGTCTACATGTGATCATTCAAAAGCCCATTTGGTTTCTTCGCGAACCTTTGCTTCTTCTTCTGGTGTGAAATCGCTCTCGATGTTGAACGTTTCACGAATCTCTTCTACAGTGTTATCTTTGATCATGTCAGCAATGGTCTGACAAGTAAGATCAAGAAGATTTTTGATATTTAGATAGTTAGCAGCCAGAATTAAAGAAAAGAGTGTCGGTTTATCCAGCTTGCTTATGAAGTCATCGTCCCACTTCTTGAGCTCCTCTTCGGAGGAAGAAGAAGACGAATCACCATCACCATCCGGGACAACGACAACGACGTGTTTGTTGCAGTACTCGACCACTATGGCGAGGATATTGCCGGCGACGTTAGCAAGAGGGACTCCCTTTTCGACACAGTCATCTTCGATCATGTGAGCTATGGTCTGTGACTGGAGAGCCACTGCTTCTTCAACCTCAAAGATTTGGTCATCTGAGCTCCTTAAAACAATCTTCTTCGCCGATGTTGACATCGTTAGTTCTTTGTGGCGAATGACGATGAAAACTAGGAATTAGGGTACGTGATGTGGTGAGTGATACAAAGTTGTGAATCTATGCATCTGTATTTAAAGGGTTTTGAGTTGGTGATTTTTCTTCATTGTCACAACATGATTGTGGAAACAAATTTCTGCTAGTTTTGTTTTTTACATATCTTTATAATATAATATATATTAAGATTGAAGACATTAAATGTAAATATCAAAAATTAGTCCCCTTCTTATTATTGGTTTTATTTATTTATTTAAGATTTTACCACACATCCTTATCATATACTACACTCTTTCTTCTAAAATATTATTTTCAAAATAAATGTCCATTGAAGATTGATTTTGTAGATTTTCTATTCACTTTTTATTAAATAATATCAATAAATAATAAAATTTAAAAGATCATAACAAAAGATACTTAAGTTTGGTCATTTACTATTTATTTATATCTATGGAAAAGTATTTTTTAGTGCAAGAAAATAATGTATTTATGACTATATATTAATTATTTTATTAGAAATTGAGAGAAAGCATATATTTTCAACTAAATTTTACCAAGCAACATCCACGTCAAATATTGATCCCTAATATTAATTTAAGACTTTACACTCAAGATTTTGTATGTTTCAGAAAATTACACAACAAAACCAACTTTTCTAATTTCTAACTATTTTTTTCTTTTAAAAAAGAAATAAAATTAGCCTCTAATCTCTATAATCTACGTGGCAATCCATAATTATGGAATGTCCTAATAATCCCATCCAAACTCGCAGTCACGATCACCAGTCTCCACGCGCCGGCTAAATCGCACTCGCCGCCGATAGAGAAGCTATCACCGTAACTTCTACCACCGGAGGTAAGCTTCTCCTCCGGCCACGTGGCGGTAACACGAGAGGATCTAGACAATCTCCCGGAGCTACGTAGCTGTCTCAACGCTCTCAGTGATATTTCCTTTCCCGTCGGAGCCCAAGCCGCGGCGGCGGAAACACCCGGCGAGTGAAAATACTCGAAAGAACGCGACGATTTCGCGCCTTTCTCCCCCCGGAAACCGCCGTTGTCCCATAGATAGACCCCGTGACCTCGTCGGACTGATAAAATATGTTTTCCGGCGAAAGAAACAAACGACGCCGACGATTGTTTCCCAAATTTCGGTGAAACTGTAGAGAAATTTCCAAAATGTCAAAAACACAATATCGAAACGGTAAATTGTCAATCAAAGATTCAATTTTTATTCAAATTACCTTTGAATTTGTGAAGGATTCGAGATCTATCAATGATCCTGAGCTTCGAATCGTCGGAAGATACCATCACTTTCTCGGAGCTTCCAGGACAAAACTCAACGCCGGTGATTCTGTTTCGCCCTCTGATAAGAATCTGCTCCTCCATTATCACATCATTTCCTAAAAGAACAAAATTTAAAATTTATTTGAAGATAATTCAAATAGACAATTCCTTTGAGTTTTAAAAGTACCTGAGATTTGATAAAACCTGCAGTTTCCGGTGATGCAACCGACGACGAACCCCTGAAGATAAAAACAGAGCAAAGTTGAGATTTTTATTTTAGAATTCCAAAAAAACCAAATGATCTTTCGAGTAAAAGAGAGACACTGAAAAAAAATTACATTTCCGTTAGGTTGGTAACAGATTGCAGAAATGGAATCACGAACGTCGGTCCAAGCAACGACTCTCTCTTCTGACAAACCCCAAATCCGAGCTTTTCCATCAATAGATCCACTTACGAAGTTGTTCTTGTTCACCGGATTGAATTGAACACAAGTCACTGTTTTTCAAAAAGCAAGAAACAGTTAGTGAATTGCCCAAGATTTCAGACTAAAAAACTGTTTTACTATAAGATCAAAAAAAGTTACCGTAGTTGTTATGATGAAAGACATGAAGACACTCATCACAACCAATCCTCCATAACCGGACTGTCTTGTCCTTAGAAGCTGAAAGAAGCAACTGCAAAACCAAAAACACAAAGACAGATTCATAAGTAAATGGATCAACAAAGAAGTTTTAACACACACAAAAAAAGCCAAAACTAAACTCACATTTGAGTCTGACGACCAAGCCAAGTCCAAGACATCTCCGGTATGACCACAAAGTTCTTGAAGTGGTGTTTCTTCTAAATGAAAAGCCTTCTGTGGGAACATAACCAAAGCTTCTTCTTGTTGGCTCTCTTGTCTGATAAAAGAAGCGAACAGAGAATCTGATAGTGTGATTCGCCATACCTTCACAACACCATCTTCACCTCCGGTTGCTAAGAACTTACCATCAGGACTAAACTTCAACGACCAAATCTTCCCTTTGTGTCCGTTAATCTCCTGTACCTTGTAAGCTGCAGATAACTCTACATGACTCTTCTTGTTACTCTTCACTTTCACTTTCCTTATCATCGCTACTTCTTCCTTTGACTTGCATTCGAACTCTTTACCCGTTTCTCCAACGAAGCATCCGAGCAACCATTTCTTCGCACTCTTCTTCCTCCGCGATGGACTCGAAGAAGCATTTTCTGAACCATTATCTTCTTCTTCTTCTTCTTCTTCTTCAAGGTCCTCATCATCAGACATTGAAGTGCTTGATCCGTAATTATCCTCTCTAACACAACATTGCATTTCTTCGCTTTCACAAACAGACGATGACTCTGAAGAGCTACTAGTAGTAACCTCCTCATCGCTGTAATCGCTTATCCTCTCCAAACACATCGATTCCTTCTCTTCCAATAAACCCATTTTCTTGAGAAAACGCTCACGACGTTCCTCAACACTCACTGGCTCACCTGACCAAACTCCAAACTCTGTTTCTTCTACGGACAAAACATCAGATGAGTCGAAGAACACATCACCAACTTCACTTCCTTCTACACTCTTCATTTCAGATTCACAACTTCAAAAAAAAACTAAAAAGATCCTTCCTTTTGTTATATAAACCTTCTTTATGTACCATCCACGCGGTGCACGGACCGTAAATCCCTCAATGTTGGACCTAAACCAAAATGTGAAATCAATTCTTCCATTAGAAACGATAAAAAAACTAACCGGACTCAATACTCTGAACTAACATAAGTACGAGGTCTTCACAGAGATGAAAAAAAACTCAGACTTTCTTAAACTAATCGATTAAACAAAAAGACGGTTCCTGAAACTCAGGATGTGAAATAGAATAATCAAAAATTATGGGTTAAAGTGTGTACCTTTGTCTCCGTGAGAAGCAATGACGACCAACAAGAAGTCAAATTATGTTTAGCCGACGAGGATTTGGGTCGGGTTTGATTTGATTTCTTCAAAATCAAGCAAAAAGAGAAAAAAATTGGTACTTTCAAGTTTCTCCGTGTGACAACAAGAGTATTAAAAAAGGAGGTTGAAATAGGCAGAACATTCACGTTATGTCTGTGACTGACTGGGTTAGGTGTTCATCAATGGCGGCCCAATTAAAATCTCTGAGATCTTTTTGGCGGCGAAGTGGCCGTGATTTAGGAGACAGGAGACAATTAAATCCTCTTTCCCTCTCACCCGACCAATTTCTCAGACTCTTACTGTGTTTTTGTTTTTGTTTTCGTGCTTTTTTCGTCTGCAACAACGGCGAATAAAAAAAAGAAATAAAGAGTTAAAACTTTTGGATCAGAATCGTGTTTAGTGCGCAGAACAAAGGAGAAAGTACACGATTGGTCGACAAAATACAGTTTTAACTTTTAAGTAATTCGAAATTGTGAAAACGCGTGTATTAATTTGAAATTCTTATTTTTAACCTTTTTGTGGGGATTAATACTTTTGATGATTTCTTTGATTATTTTTCTGGATATGGGTTAAGGATGGATAGATGTGAATTAATTTATAGAAAACTTTCAAATATATTTTTGTGTTGTGACACTAGATTTTTAACATCTGTGATCCTATAAGAAAACTAGAAGATAGTGAATTGGGGGTCTGTTTGTGTATTATTACGCACCATATATAAGACATTTCATTTTCTTAGGTGTCACTATTATTTCTCCTGATGTGGCATTGTCCTATTTTTAAACAAATGAATTAATATGCTTTTTTCTTCTTCTTTTGTTTTTGTTTTTTCCTTTCTAAGTTATAAGCTTATATAAATATTTATCTACATATTTTCATAGAAAATTTCACGTAAATTTTATATAAAATAATGACTATGAACAAAAAAAGTTATTACAGATTATGATGATAAGAAAATACACGTGTGTACAAATTGTTTTCTTTTTGTAACATAACGAGGATAAAATTAGGGAGATAAAATGATAAATTGACCGAATTATCTTATAGTCCGAGACCATTAAACTTGCTACATTTGGGGCGGAATGTGATGCAGTGATATAATAAAAACTGGAAAGTTTTAAATTTAAAATTTTGGAAAATTGGGTTTGAGGTTTGTTTTACAGAGTGTCAAACTGATTGAATAACTATAAAATATACTATAAGCTTAAGTTCTGAACTTCTCAAATGTTCTCAAATGTTTATGATGAAAAATGACAGGAAACTGATTTCTAATCATTTCTTGTCACTATAGTTCTTACAAGAAATAGTAGTACTCCAAGCTGGTTCGTATTGGACTTGGGAGTCAATAGATAAGAATCAGAGGTGCATTATAGTTCTTCCAAGTTTCAACAAGCAATGAATTTAACATTACAATCATCACTTATTTTGATTCCCAATTTATACTGTGATTTTATTCATAATATTTTTATGTAGTTGCTATATTCAATGAGAACACGACGAATTATTAGCATTTATCTTTTCGCCAGAGGTCTATTTGTATAGGAAACGAAGTTTATTTTTCGACTTATTTTACATACTCACATTTTGATGGTGGGAATGGTTCATTTGGAAATATAATAAGCTTGAAATGAAGATAAGACGTTTAAGTAATATATGAAAAAGCAAGAATATGTATACCTAAAGGAATATAATTGAAATGAAGATAGGATGTTTAAGCAAGAACACGAACCAGTAATCTTGATTGCAGTTTTGGACTCGGGTGGAACTTCTTCTGCAGCAATATGGCTGAATCTTCAAATTTTGGTAGAGACAGAGAGAAAGAGAGAGCTCATGTTATAAAACATTAGTCGTCCACTATGTGTGCTTATATAGCTATAACTTATATGCATATGTCTGACCAATATTCCACATGATATTGTTGATATATAATACTAAAGTTAAAATAACCAGACAAATAATATGATTAGATTTTAAAATTGCTGAAAAAACTGTGGTTAAAAGAAAATGAAAGTTGTTATGATCAGTGATGACAATTATTTATTCCCCAGCTTGTAGGAACGCACATTCTTCTCTATTCGATGTTACAGGCATACACAACTTATTAAATGTACAATCTAAATCTAAATATGACAAAATGATTCACTGTATGCAAATTATAAATTAATGAGAAATTTACGAAAAACATAATGCGACCACTCGCTACCTTTTATTTTGTGATTTGGGAACTAATGGACGATATTGCTCAAATCAAATCTCTTCAGATTTGATTGGTCAGACTACGCACGTATAATTTGGTGATGAATTAGTTAAGTAACAGAAAATCTGCAACTTGTTTTGTTATACGGTACCAAACCTAACTCGTATCTTCGTCATGATAATGATTTATGCTAATAATTGAACCATGAAGCAAATGAGTATATCCAATTATAAAAATGAAATGCTGGTTATTAGTTTATTACAGACTAATGGTGGATAAATCTTGAACGTGGAATGTATCGAATTGGTGAACTTTTTTCTAATGGAACCCCGAACCCTATCTTCATAGTTTGTATTATCTTAAACCCAAAAGGAGAGAGTGCTGGGAAAGTTTTCACATTTCATTTGGTAATTAAGTGGAGTACTCTACACGAATGATTAGTTTAGAAAGCTTTGTTTTCTAACATTTAATAACAATATAACATCTAAAATAATTGCGTAGATATTAACAAAGCTATGTAGATGTAAGTAGTAAAGAAAGCAATGTAGATGTAAGTAGTAAAGAAAGCAATATACGGAACTCTTACAAAAAATGTTTTTGTTCTTTATGTGGTTGAGCTTAAATTTGTGATGGAAATTAATACTTTTCTATTTAATGATTGGTGGTTGAGTTTGAATTTTGGTATGGACATTAATATGTTTATACTTTATACTCAGTGATACGAAGCCTATATGTATAGTTGGAAGAAATTGTTTTATCGATGTACGTACGTAGTAATGTGAGTTCCTCTTTCCACGAAGCCTAATAGTAGGCTAACTAATATTTACGCCCCAAAAAAGTGCTACGAGTAATTGTACCATTAAAGCTAAATTAAAATATTAAGTTAAGAAATAAAATTAGTTTTAGCTACTGTCTCGAGTCCCATGCAATTGCTGCGTTCTGTTGACTTGTTGCTTGGACCAGTCAATTTGTGTAGATATGCGATAACAATATATCACAAAAACGAATTTAGTCAGAGAAATCATATAAATATAGTAACATCTACATGACTATTGTAGTAAAGTTTTGTTGACAAAAATATACCATGGCCTAAAAGGTATAGCCATATATATACGATTGTATGTACTGTATATAGTTCATGCTGAGATAAAATACCCAAAATCTATGGGTATGATTTGAAATATGTGGAATATCCATGTATTCAGTAAGTAAGTAGTACTCTTCTAATAAGCAAATTCCGTGATTAGCATCGAATTTACGGTTTCACGATTTCAAAATTTATAAACAGATAACAAAATACACAAATTTTCGGATATATATGCATCTCTTAATGGCCAAGTGTTTTTTTTTTTCCTTCTTTCCATGACATCCTTACTGGCCAAATTGTTTACTCGTGGATTTAGTTGTGATTAATGATTAGTACGTGATTAGAGATGGAGATACGAGTATCGATATCTTGTTAGTTGATTGATTAATTAATAAGATCTGGGTAATTAAGTACGGGTTATGATAAGATTCTTCTGCATGTGATCAATCCCTTAGTTTGGCTCAAATAATTCATATAAATATTTTGCGGCCAGGGTTGTATCTTTGTCATGGTATTCCCTACCTGATTATTTCTTTTGTTTGACATGGATTAGTAATATTGTATTAGTACAAATAATTCGGGGGACAATGTAAGAAATTAAAATGTAGAGTTGTACACACACGTCTTACAATCCAAATTAAGTACCGTACATAATTGTTTTTAACTGGCTGGACCGGTCCGGCATTTTGAGAGGCATGCATTGAACAGAAGAAGAAAAAATTATGGTCTTTAAGCGATCCAGTAGATATGTTTTTCACTATTTGTATGTTAAATGGCTTTATTTTCACCTTTACATAATTTAGTGAATAATTTGAGACGTAATAAAACAAGAATCAAAAGGCGAACAAAAAACATGTTTTACACTATTGCCTATTGGTTAGACTTAGACCTTAGAAGTTTACGAGTTTAAGTCTTAAGACATATATGAGTTTTGAAAGGGACTTAATTTGAGGAAGGTAGTACAATGTGGAGGTATAAAAATATCTATTCTAAATCAAATGGAATTGTTATTCATATCTTGAACAAGTACTGATAGGATCTATGACACAAGGAGCATAAGAATATTAGATTAAGCCTGCAAATTTGTTTAGGGAAGAAATATATGGATTTAGTTAAAAGAGGAGGATATTTTGTTAACATGATGCCCCGGATTCTAAACCATGAGGTGAAATAACAACCACATGAAAAAATGTTATAAAGATACATGTTGAAATTGGACTGTAAAAGTTCAAACGAAAATTAGAGAGATGTCAAAGTTCAAAGTAGCCCAAAACTTTGGAAGACTATTAATTAACTTAACTGAAATATTAACCATATCACAAAGACTTGTAATCTAGTGGATATATTAGTGTTACTGCCATGTCATCACCTAAATTCAAATTTGGTAGTGTATGAGTTGTTGTAGATAATCTTATGCTAGTATTAAATAGAGTCCAAGTAGGTTGATGGTATCAGTAGTCTTAGCCGTATATGTGACTATTCATTTCCGATATCTATAGTTTAATCGACGTATTAGGAGATCTTTTAATGTGAGCTAAGCTCAAACACAAGAGTTCGAGATTCAAAAATGGTTAGGAGATGAATTAACTTGTTTATATCCTTAACTTCGAGGAATTCGTAAGGCAAAAAGAGAAACAACTATAAGATTTACGGTTCTCGTCGTGACATGCACAGTCAAGATCGCTTCGATCAAGTTTCTCTTGTTCTCCACTCACTTTCACCACCAGTTCCATCTTCCATTTCACTATCTTCTCTCGATTGTTCCGGCAATTGGCGATGGGTAAGCAATTGGTTGGGCTTCAACATTCCCTTATTGGGGTTCTATTTTTTGTATGCGTTTGGGCTATTTAGCCAACTAATTCGAGATTCACTTAAGAGACTAAGTGAACATGTTTATATCCAAAACACTTGTAAGTTGTAAGCAAAATGCAAAAAAACAAAGAGAAACAAAAACAAATATTAAGGTAACTTAATCCCAAAAAAACTATACAAATTCCAGTGAAAGTAACTATGAAAATTACATGTTTAGCAAAAGAAAAACACTAGAACGATAGAATTTGTTTTTACTTTAAGCATTTAATTAACTTCAATTAGTTCGTCAAAAGAATAAAAAAAAAAAAAAGTAACTTCAACTAGTTCAGACTGAACATCATATTCATATGACATGAATCATGATGAGTGAAGCTGTTCGGTTCGTTCAACATATCCGCTTTTTTTTCTTGGGTCAAATATACACACATATCCAATGGCGGAGATCAAAAGCATGAAACTAAATCAACGGCCAAGATTGCCGACTTGAACATCAGGCAAAAAAAACCTATGAATGGGTCCCACCACGCGCAGAGCAAAAACTCGACCTAAGTGCTGAGAAACTCGAAGAAGAAGAGGAAGAAGAGGAAGAAGAAGAAAGTGTTACCAATTAAAAAGTACGAGTTAAAAAAGTCAGCATCGGTCTTCTCCTTCCTCATTCGACAAGTCGTAGTACTCTTCTCTGAAAAAAAAACCCTAGAAGCGATGAAGCCTCTTTAGATAGATACGCGTCGTCGATGGATAGTTAAATTACAGGAGAAGCACGCTGCTAGGGTTTCTCTCTCTGTCTCTCTCGATTTTCTCTCTGGGTAATGGCGTTATTCCTCTGAATTCATGTGAGTCTTCTTCTTCTTCTTCTCTCCCTGTCTCAGTTCTAATTGCCCTCTTGATTTTAGGGTTTCTAGACATTGGAAGAAGCTTCAATTTAGGATAGAGATTCCAGTTTAGCTCAATTAGTCGTGAGTAATGCTTGGGAAAGTTTTTCTAGCTGCCACCAGCTGTTTCACCGTTGATTCCATTCTGTTTCACACTAAGATCTTCTTCAACCTCACTCTTCCTCATTTGAAAGATTAGTTTTTTCTCTCGGATTCTGAGTTTGAGGCCTTTTGATCTCTTCTCTGTTGTAACAGATTCAGCAATTAGGTAGTCTAATTTAGTGTAGAATCTTACAGTTTGTCAAAAATTGAAACTTTCTGAGTATGTACACCAAGAACCTCAAAATTGAAACTTTGATGTTTCTGAGCTTTCTTTTACATCAATTATACTTGAGAGTGTTTCAAAATTGAAACTTTGATGTTTCTGAGCTTAGTTTACATCAGTGATACTTGAGAGTGTTTCAAAATTGAAACTTTGATGTTTCTGAGCTCTGTTTGCATCAATTATACTTGAGAGTGTTTCAAAATTGAAACTTTAAAGTTTATGAGCTCTGTTTGCATCAATTACACTTGAGAGTGTTTCAAAATTGAAACTTTAAAGTTTATGAGCTCTGTTTGCATCGTGTTTCCGTGTCCTTAATCTTGTTTTTATACAACAAATCTCTCTGCAGATTCTCCACATAATCAGTACTAGCCTGTGTGGCCATACGGTTGAAAAAATGAGCGGTTCAGGGAGAAAAAGCGTTTCGAAATGGGATTCAAAGGAAGAAGACAGTCAGCATCTTACCGGAAACGATTACACCTCGAAACCGGGTGCTTATTTCCGCGACAAAGATTCCGAGAATGCACGGTTCTATCCAGAAGGCAACGGAAGAAACGGAAGCAGAAGGTCTGCTCCTGATGATGACGAAGACGAGCATCATCTGAAATCTAGACAACAGCATTCAGGAGAAGCTTGGCCTCCCTCCAGAAGCAGAGTCTCACATGATAACGAAGGTGATGATGCCGCCATGATGGGTTACTATGATAATAGAAAGTCATCTGAACAAGACGAAACCAGGCAACCTTATTTCCGCCAGTCTTCTTCCAGGGAAAGGCCGAGAACTCGCAGGTTCGTCTCAGTTTAACAAACCGTTCTTGCTTCCTTTTGTACTTTGTGTTGGATTGCTCTGACTGTTGAGATTTTTTACAGGAGTGGGAGTAGAAGTAACAGTAGGAGCAGGAGCCGTAGCCGAAGCCCTTTGCAGAGAGTAAGGAGAGACGCAGGAGGATCATACGACAGACACAAGACGAGAGCACGAGTTTCGCCACAGTCAGCGAGATACAACAGAGCTGGTGATTATGATTGGGAAGCTAAGAACAGAAAGGCAAGAGATACCAAATACTATGCAGAAGAGTCCCGAGAACAGTATCCTGTGAGGATGAGTGGGAGGTCTGAGTACGGCTCTGGTTTTCAAGATGATAACAGTTCAAGAAGAGAAGCTTCAGATCCAAGAAGCCACAGAAACGAATCAGCGAGAGACAGAAGGGATGTTCCTGAAGGAGAATTCCACAGGAGCTCGAATGTTCCGTGCAGGTTTTTCGCTTCGGGTTCGGGTTACTGTCGTAATGGAAACAACTGTAGGTTCTCTCACCATGGTCCTGCTAGAGGAGGAAGTCCTGAGAGAAAGCAGCAGAACGAAGCGTTTAGTAGGCAGGACAGTAGTAACAATCATCATAGTGGTACAACAGAGAGGATGAGGAACAGTCATAGATGGAACGATGTGGAAAGATCAGATACAGGAAAGTCCAGTGAGGTCGAGGTTTCTCGTAAAGCAATGCCTGAAGCTAAGGGGAATAATAATGGTAGCTGGATTGATGATATGGAGATGTCACCAGATTGGAACTACGGAGTTAAGTCTCTAAAGAAACCTATGAACGATGCCATATCTCAGAGCTCACAACAATCACGAGTCGTTAAAGATGCTTTACCACCTGCTTATGAGGATGGAAATCAAAGAAGCATTGGTATGTTTCCATCTGTTGGAGAAAAGGCTGTAGTAGCTTCTTCGCATCACAGTTTCAGTAACAACCTCGCTCACTCGGCTCTTCCTCCTCCTCCTCCTCCTCCGGTGCAAGCATTCAGTCAGAACATTGAGAATCATAGTGCAGTGCCAGTGCCAGTGCCTTACCAAAACACTGTTGGAGGAAGTCAACAAGTGATGCTACCTGCTGCTACAAACCTTCCCGGTGGCTTGAACTCGGGCATTCCTGAGAATGGGAATGCTCAAAACAGTGTGAGTAGGGAAGAGCTCAATCATATTAGCAACATCTCAGCATCTCTAGCACAGTTTTTTGGAAACGGGCAGCCGATTCCGATTCCGCAACTTCATTCTACTTTGAATCCTAACCAGGCAATGCAGGTGCCTGAAGTATATGGAAAACAGGAGCAGTCTTTGCATACTCAGATTGATAACTCAGTAGGAGTTCCGGTGGTTACTGCGTCACAGATCAACAACGATTTGGTCTCATTAGCTGAAATTCCAAATGCTTCAGTTGAGGAAGAGAGGGTCAAGACGACAGAGGAAGAAGCTAGGAAAGAGCCAGAAGGGATTAAGGCTGGAGAAGAAGAAGAAGAAGAGGATATCGCCGAGGATGCTGAGAACGTACCAGAGGAAGAAGATGATGATGTTGGGGCTGGTGATGAGAACAACAAGAAAGGAGGAAAAGATCCAAAGGGAATGAGAGCGTTTAAGTTTGCTCTTGTGGAGATTGTTAAGGAGCTTCTGAAACCTGCTTGGAAAGAAGGTGGGATGAACAAAGATGCTTACAAGAACATTGTCAAGAAAGTAGTTGACAAAGTCACCGGCGCAATCCAAACCGGTAACGTTCCTCAGACACAAGAGAAGATCGACCATTATCTTTCAGCTTCAAAACCAAAGCTTACCAAGCTTGTTCAGGTCTGTTTGTTTGTTCATTACACACTTATCTAGCTTAAAACAGTCACTTGAGGCTTCTTTATAACGATAAGTCTTTGTCCTCATCTTTCAGGCATATGTTAGCAAAGTCAAGAAGAGCTAATTTGAGTGGAACTCAATTGTTTCTTTAATACAAAGGCACCGTTGAAGCTGGAGCTGCTGAGAAATGTTAAACAAAAAAATTTGCTGCTTCTCTTTGAGGCTAGGCAAGGATAAGGCAAGCTTTATGTTTGCTTTCCTGTCTTCTGTTGTGTGTAGATATATCAGAGATTTTGTCAGGAATTTTTTTTTTCTTCTTTTTTTTTTTTTCTGGTTGATTTAATAATTTACTGGAAATTAGCAGACCAGATATTTCGTTTGTCGTTCTTGTCTTGTCAGAATATAGAAAGAGGAGGTAGATTAAGTTTCATGCTTTTCAAATCTCTGTTCTTGACATTGATTTTTTTTTTGTCTTGTAATGCTTTTGTTCTTTTACTAGATTCGATTGTTCTTTATCTGAACTACTCTGCTTCAGCTTATGCAATCTTCTTCTATGGTTACTTATTATATGATCTGTAATGCTCTAATTTATATAGTTGACAAAATTAATGAATCTGCGTCCCATCATTACAGTACATTAGATGCGCAAATTAAGTAACAGCATTAACTATACTACCTACCTTACTTTGTCTCTATCTAGTAACAGAAGATAGTACATTATCCGATTAACGATAATTAATTATATGGTTGATGTTTAAACTTCACAATCAAAAGTCAAAATGAAAAGCAAAATAATTTTTAACCATAAACAATGCCCTTGTAAATGGATGCAACAAACGGAGACAATGATCAAAGACCAGAACATTCTTAAAAGACAAATTTCCAATATTTTTCTTTTTGCCATTTCTCAATTTACCAAACTGGCCTTTCTCGCTAATTTTCCAAATCTTTGACGCATCGAATTCATATAAATTAAATTACTCTGAGCAGACATCGGAATCGGACAGTGTCCTCTTTCCTCGCCAATCTCTCTCTGTTCCTCTTCTCCGATCTCATTCAGACACGTCTTGATTCCTACAAATTACAAGAACCTCCCAAGTCCTCTGCTTTACCTTTCTCAAATTCTAAATCTTTCGCGGTATTGATTCTGGATTTTTCATTCCTTCTTCTATTTCGGTTGATTTGAATAATACCCATCTGGTGATTTGATCTTTGCATCTCTAAGATTGCGTCAAAATGCCATCTTTCCCTCGAAATTCACAGCAACTGTTAGGTTACAGCTAGAGATTTCAATTGGATAATCTCTCTGTTACAACATTGATCTTGCAGTTTTTCTGAGCAATGCGTTGGTTATCAAAAGCTTCTTCTTTTGCATGATGGGTTTAAGTTTCTTATTAGACAGATTTAGAAACAGATTTATTAAGATTGCTCTGAATCCTTAAAAGAAGACAATGAGTAGTTTCACAAAGAGCACATCTTTCAATAGAAGGGCATTGAGTTCTCTAGCTATAGAAAGCCCTAGGAGCACATCTTCAACCGCCTTCAACAGCCCCATCGGCTCAGCCTTCGCTAGCCCTAGATTACAACAGAGCTTCGGAGGAAGTCCACGTCCGTCTTCCTCTGTTAACCGGTTAAAAGAGATCTCGTATCTCTTCCAGGTGCTTATCATCGCCGGAACAATCGTTTCCTTTCTCGTCATCATCGCCGGAGGTTACCTCTACGTTGTTCCTAGCCTCGGTCAAACGTTCTTGGGATACAATGGAGCTTTGCAGTTCAACACCTTTAACACCTCTGTTACGGATAATGATGCTAAGGAATGTGACATCTTCGATGGGAATTGGGTTGTTGATGATGATAACTACCCGTTGTACAACGCTTCTGAGTGTCCGTTTGTGGAGAAAGGATTCAACTGTTTAGCCAACGGTCGTGGTCACGACGAGTATTTGAAGTGGAGGTGGAAGCCTAAGCGTTGCGATGTCCCGAGGTTTGAAGTTGGTGATGTGTTGGAGAGGCTGAGAGGGAAAAGGATAGTCTTTGTTGGGGATTCGATGAGCAGGACGCAGTGGGAGTCTTTGATATGTATGTTGATGAGTGGTTTGGAAGATAAGAGTAGTGTTTATGAAGTGAATGGGAACAATATAACGAAGAGGATAAGGTTCTTGGGAGTGAGGTTTGGTTCTTTCAACTTCACGGTTGAGTTTTATAGATCGGTTTTCTTGGTACAGCCTGGGAGGCTGCTGATGCGTTGGCACGCGCCGAAGCGTGTTAGGTCGACGTTGAAGTTGGATGTTTTGGATGTGATTAACCATGAATGGAGCTCGGCGGATTTTCTCGTGTTTAATACTGGTCAGTGGTGGGTTCCTGGGAAGCTTTTCGAAACGTAAGGTTTCTTGATGATTTTCTTGAATGTTTTTTTTTTTGAACGGTTTTGTTTTGGTTCTTATTGTGTTGTTGGAAATGTGTACAGTGGTTGTTACTTTCAGGTTGGGAACTCGTTGAGGCTCGGGATGTCGATTCCTGCAGCGTATAGAGTAGCGTTAGAGACATGGGCGTCGTGGATAGAGACTACGATTGATCCAAACAAGACTCGTGTTCTGTTTCGTACTTTTGAGCCATCTCATTGGAGGTACAAACTGAGATTTCCCTCAGCTTATAAACTGTTGTTGTTCTGCTTTTTGTTTAGATTCGTTGTTTAATCGAAGTTTGGTGTTGTTTAGTGATCATAGATCATGCAATGTGACAAAGTTTCCAGCACCAGACACAGAAGGAAGAGACAGAAGCATATTCTCTGAAATGATCAAAGAAGTAGTCAAGAACATGACAGTTCCGGTATCGGTTTTGGATGTAACTTCGATGTCAGCGTTTAGAAGCGATGGTCATGTTGGTTTATGGAGCGATAATCCATTGGTACCTGATTGTAGTCATTGGTGTTTACCTGGAGTTCCTGATATCTGGAATGAAATCTTGCTCTTCTTCCTCTTTAGACAACAAGTAAGAACACAAACTTTCTCTCTTTTCGTCTTCTTTTCTAAAACAACAGTGTGCTAAACTTTGTTTTCACTTGATTTGCAGGTTCATTAAAATGGAGCTTTTTTTGCAACATAACAATAGAAAAAGGTAAAAGATTAACGACCCTCGAAGACTGAATCTCGCAGAGCTAATTGTTCATGTTTCTTCTGGGAGATCAAAGACAGAGAAAGGGGTCACAAATTTTGGTTAAAGTTAAAAAAGCTGATTCCTAATTCATTCTTTTATTGTTTCTTCTTCTACGTTCTTCTTTTATTGTATCATCATCCATTATCCATTCAAAGAGAGTGAGAGGATCTCTTTAAAGCTGAAACAGTTTTGTTCCCCAAACTCTTTTCGGTATAAAATGATTTGATTACTATTCAACACGTACAGTTTCGAAACACATTGATTTTCGTTCAAATTGGAAGAAGAAAAATAGAAACTTTGACATGTATCTCATAAAAACTGTTGTATATATTCAAATTACAAGAAGAAAGAAAACTAATAATGACAACAAGGAGCAAAAGTGTAGTGTTTTAGAGTGTGCGTGCAAGAAAGAAAGAAAGGAAAGAAAACTACTTGTCTTTGCCACCGCCGAACATACCCATCATGTCCTTGCCTGATCCCATCTGCTTCATGAGACTCTGAAGACCGCCCATGCCGCCGATCTGCTTGAGCATCTGAGGCGGTAGGACCTTGCTCATGTGCTGCGCGTTCATGTTCCTCGAGAGCGCGCTCATGTCTCCGTTCTTTGGCATTTTGACTCCTTTCATGCCTCCCCACATCTTTGCTAGCTTCTTGTACTCTTCCATCATGTCCATCACTTCTCTCACTCGCCTCCCTGACCCTCTCGCTATCCTCATCATCCTTGACTCGTTAAACAACTTCGTGCTCGAGCTGTCCAGTTCTGCACCATTTTAAACACACATAAGCAAAAACTGTTACCACCTCGATTACTCTAAACTGTTTCTCCACATATAAGATTATATTCTTCTTCTTCTCACCTTCGTTTGTCATAGAATCCATCATTGTCATGTATCGCTTTATTTTCGCCTGGCTTTCTTTCTCGTGTCCTTTCGGCATCATTTCAGCATTCATTCCAGGCAGCATTTGCATAACCTACATACACCAACATCTCATGTTGTTATATCATCACGCACCTCGCTCTCTTAAAGCCTAATGAACATCTGACAAGAGATTCACACCTCATTAAGTGGGCCCATGTTCAGTATGTTCTGGAACTGGTCGTACATAATTCTCAGTGTAAAGTTACCCTGAGAGAGCTTTTCCAGAAGTTCAGGCTGTTGCTCTTTTGGTACCACCTCTTGTAGTTTATCCACGAATCCAGACCAATCACCCATTCCTGTTGTACATGAAAAGATTTTGAGTAAGCAAACAACCAATTGGGAGATTTTGATTACTCCTCACAATGCTACTAATCTTCAATAATTGCCATGAAAGTTTACCTAAGAGACGGCTGACAAATGGTTTGACGTCAAACACTTCAAACTCATCCATATGTTCTCCTGTTCCAATGAATATCACAGGACTCTTTGTTGCTGCAACACTAACAAGATGAAAACGGATCACATTCAGTTGTCCAACTCAAAAAGCCCGCAAGATTTTTACATTGACCATTTTGACTAGATAGAACGAGACTCAGCAGCTAAAAGATACTTACGCGCTAAGAGCACCACCACCCTTTGCATGGCCGTCCATCTTAGTGATGATTACAGCTCCCACAGCAACACTTTGCTTAAATGCTTGAGCTTGGTCAAATGCAGCTTGACCAATACTGCTGTCCATAACAAAAATAACGAGATCTGGTTTCTGCAAAATGAAAAGATCATGGTTAGAGCCTGTAACATCAACCAGGAATAAACATAAGACTTCAAGACACAGAACCATACCGTTGCTTCAGCAACTTGACGCATTTCTTCAAAGAGAGTAGCTTCTTGTTTATGGCGACCACTAGTGTCAACAATTATAAGATCACAGTTTTCCTTCTTGAACCTATCAACTCCCTCAACAGCAATTTTCACAGGATCGGATTCTGTGTAGCTGCAAAAAGTCATAACTCAGCATTAGCACACTCTGCGATCACCGTACGCCCTAAAGAATAGTTCTAATCCAGAATATATTTCGCTATTTTTTTCATCTTTCTGTTACTGTCATTGAAGTAAATCCAAAACTACAAATAGCACAGTCGCAGTAATCATAAATAGAAACATACACCACACAAGACCTCTGAAAGATCCATTTATTTGGAACTCTTTGACAGAGATGTGAGATAGTTTGTAGAGTGGCACTCTGTAACGATTAGCGAATTCCGAAAAAAAAAGAGCAAAAAGGGCTTAAAGAAATTCCTAAAATGGTAAGTGTCACACAGAGAAGGGTTAAAGTATAACAGAACCTACTAATTAATGGAAAAAAAAAAGATATTTAAGTAAGCGTAATTATTTTCAAAGCAGATGTTTGCAGCTACTGATCTAAACCAAACCTCAGAAGTCTAAATCAAACAATTCCATAAACTCTGTGCCTTGCCTCTACCGTCACAAAGAAAATTCACACGCTAAGATATAAATCTTCAAACAAAGAATAAGATGTCTAAAAGGGTTTTGCTTTGAGTACCTTCCATAAAATGGGATCCTAGCCTTGGTGGCATTTTGTTTCAGCTGATCGAAAGCACCCGCCCTGAAAGTATCAGCACACACTAGAGCTGGTTTGTACCCTTTCTTCTGGTGATAATAAGCATACTTGGTACACGTTGTGGTTTTACCAGCACCTGACCATAGTCAAACAAAAGCCGGGAGTGAAATTACGCCTACCATCTATCTACACATTAGAAACAAACTCAATCATCCACGAATAGCATCTTGCAGAGTCCTCACCTTGTAATCCGACGAACATAACTACACTAGGCTTAGCCTTTTTGGGGGCAAATGCAGGCTTTCCTGGATCTAACATCTTACAGAGTTCACTAAAGATAGCCTGAGAGAAACAATACGAGAATCAGGAGCAATTCAATCACAGAAACTGAATTCAATCAAAGAATTAACCCAATTTCATCGAATTCCAAAAACCTGCTCAATGATCCGCCGCTTGTTGTGGCCAGCTGCTAGTTCTTCGAGGTTGACGATCTTCTTAATGTTGCTCTGCATCTCTCTAACAAGGGGAAACGAAACATCGGATTGGAGCAGAGCACGAGTGATCTCGTTCAAGCATTCGTTCAGAGCCTTCTCATCGATAATTGTCACATTGCTCATTTGCTGTAACGCGCGGGTAATCCGCCCGCCGAGCTCCGCCAACACCATCTTCGCCGATGTGTGGATTCAACAGAGATCAAGCAATCAAAATGGGAAAGAATCGGATTTGAGGAATTTAGGGGCTAGGGTTTTTATCAGAGATCTTTCGTCGGAGATTGGTACGATTGTGACGGAGAAGTTTTGGGTGCTTGATCCGAGAATCTCAATTTTGGTAATTCCTTAATTATTGAAACCGGTTTGGTGACGCAATAAAATGAAACTAATGGGCCTAAAGAGGCTCAAGTGGCACAACATATGCTGGTCTGAATAGGCCCAATAGTAAAGTCAAGCAACGAGTTTGACTGCAAGTAACCTGGTCAGCATAGTTTAGGATTTTCCAAAAACAACGTCGCTGGTATTTTATTTTGCCAACTCAAGCAAGTAAACCCTTTCGCAGATTCTATTTGCTTATTAGCAATTAGGAGTGAAAATTTAAATTGTTAAAAACCGGCACAATTTTTCTCTGTCACCAGATTTCAGGCCAAAGTTACTGTTTTATTATTTAGGTGTTAAATACAGTCAATCTTCATTCATTTTGGTTTATAAATTAGCATTTTATAATTTGGAATTGTTCTGGTTTCTAATATATCATTAACTACAAACGACAAATCTAATCTTAGCGCCGCCACGACCGCAAACAACAAACCCTCAATTTGGTACTTTAAACCGTCCTCATCTAAAATATAACTTTTTGTAAAAGTTGACACAAATATTTTATTGTCACCTGATTTTAAGTTGCCTGCCATCTAAAATCTAATTTTCGCAAAAACCGAAAAAAATCTTTGTCATTGGATTTGAAACCAAAGTTATCTCATTTTGTTATTTGGTTGCAAACAACAAACGACAAAAATCGAATCTTTATTCATTCTAATTTATTAAAAAAAAATTACTTTCAGCTTTTTGATAATTAAGATAGATAAGAATAAAAAAACTAATAATTAATAAACGAATATAAAAATAACACTCAACCAAATTAGATGATAAAATCATCATCCTATTATTTTAAATTGCTGTAATTTGAAATTTAACTTCTCGGAAAAACTAAAACAAAAACAGAAATTTGTCATTGAATTTAGGCTAAAAGTTAGCATTTTATAATTTGAAATTAAATGGATGTGCAAAACTATTATAGAGATTATCAAACTATTATAGAGATTTTATATTTTTATTAATTTTTGTATTAATGTTATTTTTTACCGTACGTTTGTATTTTTTCTGATATAGGCCATTAGTGACACTAATGACTTTGTGTCATTCCTACTCACAGAGTTGCATATATCTCTGATGAAAATACAGCTTGACCATTAATACATTAAACTATCGGATAATGCAAAACTTTGGCAAATGTCTATCCATGGCTATGATTCCATTTCCACTTTCACTCTAATTCCTAAACAAAATTCTGATTTTGTACAACCTCCCTCAGTCATCTGTTTATTTATCTAGTTTAACATTTATCCATCCTTTATTTTTTATGATTTTAATTTCCAACGGATAAATTGTAGAGGGATTAAGAATCCATTTCGTGTAAATCAAAACTAGAAAGTAAGAAAAAAAAGAAACATTTTCCAGGACTTGTCTGTTAAATACAGATACTATATATGCTTAGTCTTGATTTTCTTTTGACATACGATAAATTCAAAAATTTGGATAAATGCAAAATAAATAGATCCAATAGTGACATGTACACGTACATGTACCGTATATAGCAATCAAATATGTGTCACCTTTCTTTGTTAGTTAAAAAAAGTATGTGTCACTTAATTTGATATGAAATATTTTATAATTTTTCTTAAATAATACGAGAATGAATGCAATAAAAAGAAAGTAGCCATAAAAGTTGAATAAAAATCTGGAGTCAGATAGAAAGATATGACCATACCTCCTCTCTGCCAATTTACCATTCAAAGAAGCCACGTAGACCACAATTTAGGCAGTGTTGTGTATGATGATGACTTGTATTAGTAAGCTTAACATAAGTTACTTACTTAAATAGTTTTAAATTAGTCACAGAATCCAGCACTCTTAAATACAATCTTTTATTGGGCTTACAAGTGGTGAAAGGTGTACAAGATTCCATAACTTGTGTTACATTTTGGAATTTATAGAAACGTCACATTTTCAAGAATCTCAACATTGATCCACTCATACATCCCAAATTCATAATCCTCTATATAACCACGACATCGAAACGAAGAGCTCGCAGCAATCATTGAACTGAACACACCAGAGATAATCTATCAATCAAACACAAGAAATGGAGACCGTAGTAGTGATTGTGGGAGCTGGACCGGCTGGTTTAGCTACATCGGTTTGTCTCAACCAACACTCAATCCCAAATGTGATCCTCGAGAGAGAAGACATCTATGCATCACTTTGGAAGAAACGAGCCTACGATCGTCTCAAACTTCACTTAGCCAAAAGTTTCTGCCAGCTACCTTTCATGCCACACGGTCCCGATGTTCCAACCTTTATGCCCAAAGATCTTTTCATCGACTACCTTGATGCCTACGTTACCCGTTTCAACATAAACCCTAGATACAACCGCACGGTGAAATTCTCAACGTTCGATGTGTCCACTAACAAATGGAGGGTCGAGGCGGAAAACACGGCGACCGGAGAAACCGAGGTGTATTGGTCGGAGTTCCTGGTGGTTGCAACTGGAGAGAACGGAGATGGGAACATTCCTGCGGTGAAAGGGATTGACACTTTCCCCGGAGAGATTGTGCATTCGAGTCACTATAAGTCCGGTCATGATTTTACAGGTAAAAATGTTCTTGTGGTCGGTGGTGGAAATTCCGGTATGGAGATTAGTTTTGATCTTTGCAACTACGAAGCTAATACAACCATTCTCCTTCGAAGTCCGGTAAGTAATTAATTAAAGTTTCTCGTCTTTTAATTGATTTTTTACTCTATGCATGAACGTTAAACACTTTTGCATGTAATTAATTAAAGTTTCTCGTCTTTTAAAACTCGTTTGGATTATTGACTTTTGAGCTTTGACGTATTAGTGTACAATATAACGGGTTTTCGACATTTGTTTTTCATTTTTTTGGATTAAACTTGATTAGACTTATACGGATTTGAGTTTATTGAGCTCTAATTCAATGTGTACATCTTTATATTTTTACTGTAAATCTGTGTAGAGACACGTGTTGACGAAAGAAGCGGTGCACTGGGGGATGTCAATGCTAAAGTATGTTCCGGTGACGATGGTCGACGCATTGATGAAGATTATGACAGCATATTCGTATGGCGATCTCACCAAGTACGGACTTTCCCGGCCAAAGCAAGGTCCCTTCGCCAGTAAACTCTATACCGGAAAAGCTCCTGTCATCGATGTTGGAACTGTCCAAAAGATATGCGATGGGGAGATTCAGGTACGTACCTTCTCTTGTCTATCAAATTTTATCTTCTTCTTGTTAAATCGATTACTTATGATATTTTAATATTAAAAGTATAAACGTACAATAGAAAATTAATATATATAAAAAGTATAAGTATATGAAATGAGATATTTCTGTATAAGATTTTCAAAAAGAAAGTTTGACTTAACAAGACGATTTTATTTCATTTCATCTTATAAAATTGGAAAAATATCTTTATTTCTGGAAAATTGGTGAAATATACTTTTCCATATTAATCAAAATAATATTTTAGAAGCTTTTTTTCTAAAACATTATATTCTTTATCAAAGCGTGATAAAAGCGTCAGCAATACTTAATTTTACAAAGAAGTGGTAAATTCAATGAAATGAGAACATTATCAACTAACTAACATTGCAATCTTAGGTTATTAATGGTGGCATAAGAAGCATCCAAGGCAAGACTTTGACGTTCGAAAATGGGTCGAAACGAGATTTCGATGCGATTGTGTTTGCTACTGGTTACAAAAGCTCCGTCTGCAATTGGTTAAAGGTAAACATAAGTCACCCCAACAATCTTCTACTCAAAACAATTTAAAACCATTTTCCTTTCAAACTGGTTTTAGCTTAACCGAATGAACAAATATGATAATGCTTATACGTGTTGTGAAATGATCCAACAGAACTACGAGTATGTTATGAAGAAAGATGGTTTCCCCAAAGCACCAATGCCTATGCATTGGAAAGGAGAGAAAAATCTTTACTGTGCTGGATTTGCGAGGAAAGGAATCGCCGGAGCTTCCCAAGATGCTGTGTCCGTGGCCGACGATATCAAATCGATCTTGGCAGCTATAAAACATTGAAGTTGTATGTATCTTTATGAATAGTAGAAATAATAAAACATTTGAGAAGAAGAAAAATGAAGCATTATGTATCGTTTTGGTGTGGTTTAGTCTTTCACCTTATTATGATATATCTATACATAATCATCATATATCATAAGATGTTTAATATATTGTTCATCAAAAATTTTAAATAAAAATGTTCGATCCAGACAAGTAAGTAAGTAACTATGTGTTTTGTACAATTGTCGGGAAGAACAATAATTTTCCTGTCATTTTTTCTTGTCATTGTCACAATTAAAAGGGACCAGATTATTTTGAGAGGCCCAATATACATTAACGGTACCTAAAGCCCATCTAACTTAAAGCTCCTAAGCCCATTTAAGAGAGGGATCTGCTTTGACCTACCTATTTCCAGCCGTTGCCTCTGATAAAAAAAAATCTGCTAACCATAAAAGAAAGAAATCAAAATTCTGCAACGTGGACGGCGCAGATCAAATATCACGCGCGAAGAGACAGCCATTAGATGCATAAAGAGAAAGGACCATTATACCCCAAACCAAAATCAAACTGATTATAAATACATCTCCTAAAACCCTAAACTGAAAAATATCTTCCGCAGCTGTCTAGGGTTTATTCTGCCTCTCTCCCTCCACTCTAACCTAGCAGTCGCTTCTTCTTTTTCAAATCCGCCATGGGTAACAAGAAAGCCACCAAAGTAAGCTTCTTCTCCTTCTGGGTTTTCTAATTTGCTCTCCTTCGTACTCTGTCTCGAGGTTCTGTAGCTGTTTGCTCTGTAAATTTACTGAAACTCTGTTTGTTTCTCTCGTGTCTTCAGGTTGAAGCCGCACCTGTTGCAATTAAGGCCACCAAACCTTTGAAGAAAGGTAAGAGCTTTACGTTTCTTATGGCTCTACCTTAATCATGTTAAAAGTTCACGTTTTTACACTCGTATATAGCTCGTTCTGTATATCTGATAGAGAAAGTTCTTCAATTTCATTTACCAATCCTGTTCACTTGTTTTGGAATCAGTCAATTTGTTTTTCTCTACCAATTGAAGTAGATTCATTGCTGAACCTTTGACTATTGAATCCCCGTTTGTTGATATCTATCGATTTGTGTTGAAGGGGTTGTTTGAATTTGATTATAACTCTGTATGCTCTTGTTTTTCAGGAAAGAGAGAGCCTGAGGATGATGTGGATACCAAAGTGAGCAAGAAGCAAAAGAAGGATGTGATTGCCGCTGTCCAGAAGGAAAAGGCTGAGAAGAAGGTGCCTAAGAAGGTGGAGAGCTCTGACTCAGACTCTTCCGATTCTGAGGAAGAGGAGAAGGCCAAGAAGGTGCCTGCCAAGAAAGTTGCTGCTAAGGCTGCTTCTAGCAGTGACGACTCATCTGACGAATCTTCAGATGATGTAAGATCTTTGTTTCTGTTTTTTCATTTTTTGTGTTATCGAATTTAGTACCTGTTGTAGCATGTTGTTGAAACTTTCAATTCGTTTGATATGTAGGAGCCTGCACCAAAGAAGGCCGTTGCTGCTACTAACGGAACTGTTGCCAAGAAGGCCAAGGATGACTCTTCGTCTGAGGAGGACTCTTCTGACGAGGAAGAAGTTGTTGCTGCTACCAAGAAGCCTGCTGCAGCTGCTGTGAAGGCCAAGGCAGAGAGCTCCTCGTCTGAGGAAGACTCTTCTGATGATGTAAGCACCAACCTCATTAGTTCTTCTTACTCTTTTCCTCAAAAGTTTTGGATTAAGTTTGCTTATTTTTGGGTGTTTGATGGATGTATAGGAGCCCGCGGCTAAACCTGCTGCAGCTAAGCCGGCTGCTAAGGCCGCTGCCAAAGATTCATCATCCTCTGACGAAGAATCAGAAGATGAATCTGAGGATGAGAAGCCTGCCGCTAAGAAGGCCGCCCCTGCTGCTAAGAAGGCTGCAAGCAGCTCATCTGATGAAGAATCTGATGAGGTTAGATTTCTACACATTGATGAGGTTTTAAAGCAGCTCCTGGTTTTCTTAGATTTGTTTCACTGACCATGTGTTTTGTTTGGTTGATTTTGCAGGAAAGTGAAGATGAAAAGCCTGCATCAAAGAAGGCTAAAGCTGCTAAGAAGGAGAGCAGCAGCGATGAGTCTGAATCTGAGAGTGAGGATGAGAAGGAAACCCCTAAGAAGAGCACTGATGTCGAGATGGTTGATGCTGAGCAGAAACAGGTGAGAATACCTTCTCTTAACATTGTAGTTCCTCTTATTTCTTTCTCTGTCATGCTTTGAAGATAACTTATTGTGTATCATGCTTTGTCTTTCAGCCTAAGACTCCAGCAACTCCTTCTACAGGAGGATGCAAGACTCTCTTCGTTGGTAACCTCTCATTCCAAGTTGAGCAAAAGGATGTGTAAGTAGCACTTTTCACTCTATCTCTCTTTCTTTTGTGCAAGTTGTTCATGTTTCCTGACCTTAATAAGTTTTACCTTCTCTATATACAGTGAGGAGTTCTTCAAAGGAGCTGGAGAAGTTGTTGACGTCAGATTTGCCATGTCGAAAGAGGATGGCAGGTTCAGAGGCTTTGGCCACGTTGAGTTTGCCACTGCTGAACAAGCATCGAAGGCAATGGAGTTGAATGGTCAAGCTTTGCTCGGTCGTGATATTCGTCTTGATGTTGCTAACGAGAGGGGTGACAGACCCGCATACACTCCCCAGAGCGGGTAAAATTGACTTCTTGGTTTAAATTTCCATGTTTCTGTATGAATGATGGTTCTTTGTATTGATGATAGATTTCTCTTTGGTTTATGTTATTGCAGTGCTACCAACTTCAGAAGCGGTGGTGGTGGAGGTGGTGTTTCAGTTTTCGTGAAGGGTTTTGACTCATCTCTTCCTGAGGACGACATCAAGAGCGCCTTGAGTGAGCACTTTGCCTCATGTGGAGAGATCTCAAGGATTTCTGTTCCCTGTGACCGTGAAACCGGTGCTTCCAAAGGGTATGTGACTGAATCGAAACCGGTGTTTCGTGACAAGTGTTGTTAAATTTCACAGATGCTAACATTGTTTGCTATTTTGTTATTTCAGAATTGCTTACCTTGACTTCAAAGACGGCGCAGACAAGGCGTATGAGCTCAATGGTAGTGACATGGGAGGATGGAATCTTGTCGTTGACGAGGCTAAACCAAGGGAGAGCAGTGGCGGATTCAGTGGTGGTAGAGGGGGCAGTGGTGGCCGCTTTAACAGCAGCGGAAGGGGTGGTAGAGGAGGAAGAGACGGTGGTCGTCGTGGTGGTGGTCGTTTCAGTAGTGGTGGCAGAGGAGGAAGAGACGGTGGTGGTCGTGGATACAACAAACCTCATTTCACTCCTCAAGGTAGATTCATTTGTTATTGATTTTGTTTCTTTAATCTTGATTGTGGTAAAGTAACAAACTTTCTCACTAATTTATTGCTTTTTTATTTTGGCAGGCAAGAAAACTACCTTCGGCGACGAGTAGAAGCTTATGTAGAAGAAATGCTCTTAAGTCTTAAACTTGTGTTACTTGTTGCTCTTTTTATTGTTTCAGTTTTTTTTTCTTTTGTTCAAGTTTCTTTTTTGTCTGAACCCTTAAATTTTTGTCGGAATGTTAAATTATGCTCGATTTTGAGTGCTTTTGCTCCCTACTATTATATCATATGTTATTTACCTACAAGCCCTTTATGTATCGGTTGATTTGGTAGACAAGAAAACAGTATCTCCCCATGGGACACAAATTTACATTTCTCAGATTTAGTCTCAACTTTGTTGGCTAATTTAGTACAAGTCTGTAACATGAATAAACAAAAAGAGGAAAGTGAACAGGAATCAATAGTAACTCAAAACTGTTACTTTAGCTTGAGGACCACCTTGTACATAGACAAAATCATAAGCTTGTCCTGCTCTCAAAGTCTTCTGCCACTGAGGAAGCTGGTAAGTATTCTTTTGCCCTGTTGGGATTAGGCCGTATATAGGTCCTGAGAGATCTTCAATCTTAAGCTTGAGGTCCGTTATCGGTTTCTGAGAGTTGTTCTTGATGATCACCTTGTGTCTGTAGTACCTAGTGTTCCCGGCCATCCAATTAGTAGTTATTGAATGAAGAAACTCGATTGGTGCACCTGATTGCTTTGGAGTGTATGTTGTTGCTGATGTTGCTTTGTAAGATGAATAAGCTGCGAGAGAGAGAAAATGAAGAATCAAAAACTTGCAAAGGAAGAAGCTGTAAGTAAAGAAAAAAGACCAACCTGGTGGTTTTGTTGTTTGGTAAGGTTTATAATATCCTCCTCCTCCTCCATTTGATCCTGCAAAATTTCATTTCATTACTTGATGACTCATGGAGTAGAAGCTTAAGTATCTCTGGTTTAAAGTTTAGTATAGTTTACCTGATTTTCCAAAGAGTTTAGCGAATAGACCAACGAGTGGAGCTGTTCCAGACAAAGTTGGTTCTGATTGTTCATAGTTTTCCCGGTTATCGGAATAGTAATCATTCTTGTCTGGTCCACCAACAAGAGCACCATGTATGACATTAGGATCAGCTTGAGACCTTCTGTACCAAGAATCAAATCCTTGAACACAGTTTACAGAAGAGCGTTGAACAAAGATTGAAGCGATTGAAGCGCCTCTATGATGAACATGGATTGGATATTTTGTTCCATATCCAACTAAGTAACTCATCCCTTGACGATTCTTGCCAAGAATGTAATCAGCCTGAAAGCAAAAAAAACATTCGGTTTAGGGATCTAAATCAACAAGAAAATGGCTTTCTTGGGAGGATTTGGTTATTACCTGTGATCTAGCAAAGTCAAGAAGTGCTTGAGGTGGAACAGAACCATCAGGACAGTTGAGTTTAGCGTTTGCTGCAGAGAGATAGTCAGAATAAACAGCGAGAAGAAACGCAGCCGCGGATGCATATTGCAGATTGTTCCACTCTCGAACATACATCAAACCACCTATTTTCCATCATTAGAAACATAACATTAACTCACCGAGTGTTCTAGTAATTAGACTGGTTTAGACTTTAGATGTTATAATTAACTTACCAGGAGTTGTTTGAATGTTGTAGCCACCATTCTTCTTGAGACAAGCACAAGCGAAGTAATCACCTTTCATTTGATACTGCTTCAAAGTGGAACTATACGCTCCGCCTTTACCTTCTAACAAGATCTATATACACACAAAAATATCAAACAAGAATCAAGATTGGTGTTCTTGAAACATTCTTGAACAAAACCAAATTTGTGTAAGTTTTAATATTTACCTTGGAGAGAAGGATTTGAACACCGGCGTATTTGTTATCCCAAGAGAACTCTTTCACTCCCCAGCCTGTTCCTCCCATGTAACCGGCGTTGTCTACAACGTATTTCAAGTAATACTGATCACCACTTGCGCGGTGTAGCCAAGCCGCAGCCCAAAGAAGCTCATCCTTCAAGAAAGTTATACAATAGAGACATTATTGAAACAAGAAAGATTAGAGAGATTTCAGAGAATGAAAAATGTTGAGAGAGAGATCAGATCGATGAGGCTATACCGAGTAGCCAGATGACATGTAGAAAGGTTTTGCATTTGGGATTGAATCAGTGTATAATCCTCTGTACTTATCAGCAAATGAGAAGAGCTGCAAACACACAACAACAAAGTTTCAAAATGTTCAGAACACAAGCCTTACTCTAAAGGCCAAAAAGCAGTGACCCTTAAAATGTGTAAAACATAACAGAGGAAGGAAGAAAAACGAACCTCTTTGGCATGACTTAGGAGGATAGCAGAGTAAGAGGAGTTAAACGGCTTGAAAGCCAAAGAAGCAGCGGCTAAAGCAGCAGCGGTTTCACCGGCTAAGTCTGAGCCAGGATGGTATTGGTCAAGCTTATATGCTGTTCTTGAAGTGGTCATGTCCTCTGCTCGCTCCCAACAGTAATGGTCTGATTCTCCATCTCCAACTTGACCCCATAGAACATTAGGCTGAGGATGAGCCTTGATGAAGTAATCAGTACCCCATCTGATTGACCACAATGTCTGTTGCATCTGGTTCGAACCGGAAAGCTCTTTCCGGTTATCTACAGCGGCCCATGATAGCATTGTCACTGCGAAAGCCATTGGTAAACCAAATTTCACATGGTCTCCTGCATCATAATATCCTCCCTCCAAGCTCACCTGTTCATTCATATTTACACAAACCTCAATATGCATTTCTATGAAATGATAAAATGATAAAAAAAAAATGAGAGTTCCACAAAATCTAGCCAACCTTTGTGATTATGTATGACAATATGTCCTTCTTTTTACATTTTTTTTTTTAATTAGTCAGTAAGCTTAATCCTTTTTTTTTTTTTAACAAGTGCTATCTTTTTTGTCCATAATATGTATTTTACCGGGTTTGAATCCAAGTAGTGACACAATGACAACACGAATATAAACCACTAGGCTACATATCTTGAACAGGTGCTGATTTTGATATTTAGTTTTGCAACTGATAATCTCAATGATATTTAATAAAAATGTAAATTCGACTATAAGATAAGCATTAATGTGTGTGTGTATATATGGACTTACGCCTTGAGCAAGACCATCCTTGAGACCAGAGTTGCTACGCCATTTGACACGCTGACCAGCCGGCAACTTCCCTGACCGTTGAGCCTCAAAGAACAAGAATGTCTTGTCAAGGGCATTTCCGTAATTATAATACTCCGCTGCAGTGGTTGCGGCCGCGAGAAGAACGGTCAGTAATAGGCTTACGCCGAACAAAGAGCCACCAATCTTGCTCATTTCTCTCGATCAATATTTTTAAGTGATCTTCTCTACAAAAAAGTTGAATTTGTTCAGAATTGTGATGTGAGTTAGTACATATATATAGAGAAAGAGAGATATTGTGTTTGTGAGTTTGGTGTGAGAGAGGTATGTAGAGAATCAAATAGGTGCAAAAATTGTCTGAACAATCATTGTCTTTGTCTTTATTTGTGTTCGTGTGTGTTTTGTGTTGTTTGATAATGGCATTCACGTTTTGTTAGAGCTTCTCACGTTGTACATTGAGACTTTTGTGTAAACAAACTAAACCAATATTGACGTACCACGTGTATCTCTTATTAGCCGTTGGATGACCATCAATTTCAAATACACACATAGATGAATGTATCTTGTCAATTATAAAAGGTTTTAAAATGTTAAGAATAATATTTTAGTTAAGGTGTCAACGGACAAGTTTTTCCATTCGTGGTACTCACATCTTGCAATCCTTTCCCTTATGTTTTTATATTGATTTATCATTTTTTGGGCGTTTTTATATGCGTTGCTGCTACACTTAGCCGTTTAGCATGTTTGTTTTACTATGCCCAACGAGTAACGTCTTCGTTTGCATCATCATGTTTTGTCCGATTTATTTCATCGACTAGCAACTAAATTTTTTAATAGAATTATAAATTGACGGTAAAACAACTGAAAAGAAAACACATGACATGAGTTCAGTTATTTTAAAATTTAGAGTAAGAAAAAACCAAACCAAACCAAACCAATCAAAATGGAATGAAAACCCACAGCTGAACCCCCATAACCAAGTTCTAACCAAGACTACACTAGACTAAACGTCAGAACTAGAACTGAAACTGCAACTAAACCGGCACCAATGAACTGAGTCGTTTCTCTCACGGCGTGGTTGCTCTTCTTGGCCTTGGGAGTGGAAGCCGCTAGAGACGAAGAAGGTGGAGGAGACTGCGGCGTAGATTCGACCTCCATGACTTTGATGATCATTTTCTGACCCTTCTCACAGTGGCCTGTGACGCCGCTTATGAAATAGAACAAACCGGGACGGTCCAATTTGAAAACCGTGTCATCGTGGTTCGAGTACAGTTCCGGTTTGGTCGTTTGGCATTTCTTGTACTCATCTTCTGATACCACAAGAACAGAGTCTTTCTTGTACTTGAAACCTTCCATCAAATGAAAAAAAAAATTCAAAATCTGCATTACGATGATCAGAATGATTGAATAATAATGTAAATAAAAAATTCTTACGGATACTGTCGCCAACTTTAAACCGGTTCTTAGCAGCCCATTGGTTAAATATATCTCCCTGGTCACTAGATTGTGGTACGATCCAACCATTATCTCCTCCAGCTTCAAACTCAGTACATGACACACATGAGAACACAAAAAACAATACGAAGATCGAAAGCGGAACAAACTTTGGTGCACCCATTTGTTATACGTCAAGAAAAAGAGAAGTGTTGTGGCTTTTTTTTGGTTCTGCCTTGTGGTGCTTTAGGTTTTTGAGTTTTTAAGGAGTGTGAGAGTGCAGCGAGGTTTGTTAGTTTGGCTTGCCCATAACTTGAGGGATATATAGTAGATATGGCTTTGACTTATTATTCGCTAACTTTTCAAAATTATTTGAATAAGAAATACTTCGTCAAACTCAAAGAAAATATGACTTGAACTTGAAAAGTAGTTGAGGAATATCTGTTTCTGTGAGGATTTTTCGTATTATTATTACTGAATTTTTATAAATCAAGTCTAAAATAAATCGACCAGCTTTTTTTCTTTCTTTTGTAATTTTGGCTTTTATGGCATTTGAAAGTGTTTGGTATTATTTAGACTAACGTATGAATATAGGGGCCTATTTGTAAAACAGATAAAATATTTTAGAAATTTTGGATTTGCCAACCTGAAGGAGGACTAAACGACACGAGCTCCCGTCGTTTTCAGCGTCGTTCCTTCACCGCCATCTAAGCCCACCCTCGTTCACCTGAGCCGCGACGAAGAAGACGGAGGCGAATCTGTAAAGAGTAGGGTTTATCGAGTTGTAGGAGGACGAAATTGAAAAAAAGAGCTAGAGGAAGCTGCGATTTTCCGGAAGATAAGTTATGGCGCAAGACTCGGAGAAGAGGTTCCACCAGATCATGGACAAACTCTTCACCCCATCGAAATCTCAGCTTCCTTCTTCCTCCACCAGGTCAGTCTCTTCTTCCTCTGGATCGATTTCCTCTTCCGTATCTTAATTCAGATTGCTTAATCCCATTGGTGATTATGTCTTCCTTTCAATCCACATTGCACTTTGGATAAACTGACTTTGTGAGACTTTGAAATTAGTGACTGTGAATTTTCCTTCAGGTTATGATACTAATTCGATATTATTTTCTTTACTGTAGTTCACCTTTAGAGCAACAATCAAGAGGCAAGAAGCGTCCAAATCCTTCCTCTGCATTAGCTCTAGTTGAGCCAAAGACCGTAGTAGCTTCCATTGATAGGTCTTCAGCTTTGAAAGTTTCCGCCAAGTCATCGCCTTCTGGTCTTTGTAGGCCATGGGATAGAGGAGACCTTATGAGGAGGCTGGCTACTTTCAAGTCCATGACATGGTTTGCCAAGCCCCAGGTCTGCTCCTTGTGAACTTTGAACCACAAAGTTCTTGAATTTTCTGTAGAACTCAAGTCAGATTTATCTGTTAGTCGCTATGAGATTCTTAGCTGAGTTTTTGTTTGTGTGTGGTGGTAGGTTATTAGTGCTGTGAATTGCGCGAGGAGAGGGTGGGTGAATGCTGACACAGATACTATAGCTTGTGAGTCTTGTGGAGCTCATCTTTACTTTGCAGCTCCGGCTTCTTGGTCAAAGCAGCAAGGTACTGTTAAGATGTGTTTTCTTTGGTAGAATCATCTCTGTGTAAGTAAGAATCTGATAAAACGGTTTCACTGAAATTGAATATTTTCTGTGTTGATTTCATACAGTGGAGAAAGCGGCATCAGTGTTCAGCTTAAAGCTAGATGGTGGACACAAACTACTTTGTCCATGGATAGAGAATTCATGCGAAGAAACGCTCTCTGAGTTTCCTCTAATGACACCGCAGGATTTAGTCGATAGGCATGAAGAACGGTCAGAAGCTTTACTTCAACTTTTAGCCCTGCCTGTTATCTCACCATCTGCCATTGAGTACATGAGGAGCTCTGATCTGGAGGAATTTCTCAAACGTCCTATTGCATCTGCCTCTCGCCACACCGAATGTTCTCAAACAGAGTCCCTTATCAATCATGTTGGTTCGAGTCCGGCTCAGCTTTTCTACCAGGTTTGACCTGCGCTCAATGAATCTCAATTATTCTACCATTTTGCAATCTTATTATTGTTTCGGGCCTTTGGCATAGCATTTCTATGTTCTGGTTTGCGTGTAAGCTAGTTACATGATTTTTGTAGAACAGGATGATCCTTAGTTTATTGTGCTCCTATCAGTATAGTTCACTTTGGTCCCTCCACAGAAAAAAAATATGGCAAATCATTTTCTCTAATTCTCGTATGATAAATTAGTTCACGGACTGTCATTTGGTTTATTTCTTAGTCATATATAATACTAGCTCTGATGCATTGATGTTGCAGGCACAAAAACTTATCAGTTTATGCGGCTGGGAACCACGTGCACTTCCTTATATTGTGGACTGCAAAGATAAATCGGGTGAGACTGCTAAGGTTACAGACACCATTGATTTACTTCCAGAAACTGCTACGCGCGAGCTTCTAAGCCCAAATCCAAATGGATCACCAGGGATTACTGAAAACTCAACACTGCCAGACACATTAAACTCTGATCCCAGTTCTGTTGTGCTGGACTGTAAGCTCTGCGGAGCCTGTGTTGGACTCTGGGTTTTCTCAACTGTTCCGAGACCACTAGAATTGTGTAGACTCACTGGTGACACCGAAGTTAACACAGAGAGACAGTCCAGTGGTGGTGCTCTTCTAAATCGAACTTCAATCTTGAAGTTTACCATAGCCGGAGGACCCCCAGCAACAAAGCAAAACTTCAAAGCAACAATATCGGTTCCTATCATCGGCAGGAACTTGAGGTCGAGGTTTGCTTCTTACTCTAGACATCAAGAGACTCTCAGTTCTATTCAGGATCAGCAGTATACAACTGCAGAGAACAATGGTGTTGTTACAGAAAATAGCGATCAAGCAATGATTGATATAGGAGAGAAGGCTGATGGAGAAAGAAACACAACTGATTTAGACAGTCCTTCTACACCACAAAGCAAAGACAAACAGTTGATGGTAGTAGTAAGCTCAAATCCTCCTGAAAACAACAAAACCAAGGATTCAACACCAGGTAAATTACTATGATCATAGTTAATTGTTTGATAGCTCTCATTAGATGAATATTGAGCTAAATACATCTTTGTTTGTGAAGATACAGGTAAATCAGGAAACTCAAACAAACAGATGGAGTTTGATCCAATCAAGCAACATAGGCATTTCTGTCCTTGGATCTGGTCAACGGGAAGAAGAGGCCCTGGATGGCGACAGACTCTATCTGCATTACAGCGCAGTAAAGGATCATGTCAGACTCCACCATCACCCTCTTCCGTCTTCAAGGTAACACATTCTCTTTCATATATTCTTAGGCAAATAACTTATTCTCTTAGTGTAAGGATCGAAGGAAAGCTAAATACTCACATCTGACATCTGACATAAATCCTGATGGTTGTTTATGTGATGTTGTCAGGTTGATGATCCGTTAACATCTGTTCGGAACCTGTTCAAGTCACCAACCCCAAAAAAACGAAAGCCGAACAGTGGATCCTCAAGCTGAGACTCTGACGATTTGTAATTATTGGCACTAAAAGTATGTTCTTAGCATTTCCTGCTTTGAGTTGAAGACTTGTGGATGATTTAGCAAGTTTGGACATCAATGTGAGAGCCTCTCTTGGTCTATACTGTATCCGGAAATTTGAAACTTGACAAACTGTATCATTATTCATGTGTCCTGTTTTTTGTTTTTTGTTGAATTTTGAGAAAACTATCTCTATTGTTTAACCCATTTGACATTGCTAGAGCCTGTCAAGTTTGAATAGTGATAGTGTTAGTGACTTGAACAATAGAGAACTATGGCTTAAACTATCTCTATTTCTTCTTATTCACCGGACACATGAACAGAGAACTGTGTCATATTCACCGAAAACTATCAAAATTCAAAAATACTTGGTAACACTGTATACTTGACATTTGTCATGGACTGTGTTACTAAGTATTTTAGTACATGTTGGAAGTTCCAGAATTTAGCTCTACAGTTTTCCCAATAGTATAGAGTTTTACTCTGCTACTTATTTCCCGAGTCACAAAGCTAGGCTCTTATGATAAGAAGAAATCTTTTCAAGGAAAAGTAACGATTCAAGTGGCATATTTGGATCTTGTTTCTGGTAACGTTGTTGGTTCATCACTCGATGCTGTTGGTTGTTTGGTTCTTTTCCCAAAATTGTCTTTGGCATTGAGCTTAGTAATTGTGTCTTATGCGCAACATGATGCTTTGCAAATTTATTAATGTTATTAAAAAGATTATTAATGTTTTAGTACTACATAAATGCATAAATTTATTTTCAACCCAAAAATAAAAAGAAGTCTGCGACTCTGCGTTGCTTTAATACAAAATACCCAAATCCCAAAAAAGACAAATCCCAGATAACGCAAAAACCAAAAACTTCATCGGAAAAATGGATGTGCCGCCAAGAGGCATCAATGTTCCTGCCGCTAATTTACAGCATCTGCAAACAGCAATACCAGGTGAGTCAAAAGAGAATCTGATTATTAATGTATAGTTGGTATTCTTCCTACCAGTTTAAAGAATTTTGAAAACGATACTCAAAATGTACTATTTTTGCCCAGAGTTAAGATAGAAAAAGACAAGCACAAGTAGATCTCCTAGATACAACCATTTTTCTGACATCATATTCCACTACTATCTTTATTTTATTTTCTTTCAATATTTTTAAGGTCAGATCCTTTTCTAAACTATACTTTTATATCTAGATAAAATAGTTATGTGGACCTTCTCCAGTTTCATGGCTCATTTTCATGGATTCTGTTACACATTTGTGTGATTTTTAAAAGTTCTTAATGTTTTCGAGTTTAACGAGCTGTTTAATTTCTTTTTGTTTATGACATTATGTGTTAAATTACATGTGGAAGTTATATGCTTTTGTCAGCTGCTGACGCGGACTTTTGTGGGCCCTATCGTGGTTTTCCTTTCCGAGTTTACAATGTTTCTTACTTGCCACGTGGTTGGATCATACCGCGTTGTTCATATTAGACTTAATCTTTTCTATTTACGTTTTGACCCCTTGATTTTGTTGAAACTCGTTATATTTCCAAAATATTTTATTATTGATACCGAATCATGTATTTCATGGTTTTTTTCTCTCTAATCTGCCACACTGTTTTATCACAAGTCCTGCCAAATACGTTAATACGCCAGACAAAGATAAAAACATTATGTTGATATATTTAATGTATCAATCTATAGATCATGGTTTCGACTTTCGATGAATAATAACATAAAAGTCTGGAATCATAGAAAATAAAAAATCAGAAAATTAAAATATGCAAAATGAAATGGCAAAACCTTTTTTTGGGAAAAAGGGGTAATTTTTGTTTGTTTGCTTTGCTATTTTCTCAATCACGAAATGATTGAACATTAGTTGTGATTGTTCAAATCTTTTGATTGGTAAAATTTTACAAAGATTGCAAACACAATTATGTCACTAAGCAAATTATTTAGCAGAATTAAGATTTCTAAGATCGTAGTCCCATGTTGAATGTGTGTATATATGGTAAACGACTAATATCAAGTTTTTGCCCCAAAAGTGTAAAAACAAATGTAGCACATTCACTATATCCCAATAACAGAAACACGGTCCATGGTTTCATCATACTCAGTCACATTTGACCCACTTTAATTTACTTCCACAAACATAAATTCCAAATTTTATTCAATACATTAACACTGATCACATCTATACATACAAACATATTAAGACGCAGAGGAGAGAGAGTGTGAGTCACAAGAATTAACACACAAACCGAACACAAATCAATTCTCTCTTTTCAGACCAAACACGAAGACAGAGAGAGAGAAGAGTAGTAAATGGGAGAAGTACGGAGGATCGTGGTGGTTGTAGAGGATAAAGAAGCGGCGAGGACAGCGTTGCAATGGGCACTTCACAACCTCTTCCGTCACGGTGACGTCATAGTCCTTCTCCACGTATTCTCTCCTCCGCCGCGCAAGAAAAAATCTACGGCGGCGCGTCTCCTCCGCCTCCGCGGATATCATCTCGCACTCTCTTTCCGTGAAATATGCGACACCTTCTTCAACGTGAGTGTGACTGATCTCAAAATTTATCCATTTTTGATGAAATTTGATTACTTTATTTGCAATACCCGATTTCCTCGTGATCGTGGTCACAGACGAATACAGAGATCATTGTGAGAGAAGGAGACGAAGATGGAAGAACGATCGCTGAAGTCGTGAAAGAGACCCGTGCGTCAACGCTCCTCGTCGGTCTCCATCAGCACAGCTTTCTTTACAGGTACTATTTTGATCGATTCAAAAGTTACAGGTCATAATTAAATTTTTAGTCCCACAGTTACGAATTATTAGTAATTAGTCGGCTCTACTGGTTTATGAAAGTGTAGATGGGCGCTGAGTGGAATTGATGTAGCGAGAAATTTTGACTGCAAAGTGATGGCTATAAAACAGCCTTCACCGGAACAGTCTCCGCCGGGTAAAGTTAAAGGACACAAGACTTCACCGGCGACGGCGACATCAGATAGCTTAACTAATTTTGACTTTTCCCAAATCGAAATATCTGGATTACAGTAAGATTCCTAACCTCTTTGTTTTCAATTCATTTTTTTTTTTCATCACTACCTAAACAAAACTACCGTGATTTGGTGAGATATCTTTACCAAATTTTGATAACAAAATGGAACTTTGTTTTGTACGAAACAGGGTTCCTGAGATTCCGACACCTAAAGAGCCGTACAGATTGTGTCCGAGTCCTCATGCGATACTCTGGAGAACGAAACCTCGGAGATCAAAAGACCGATACGGTGTCGCTTCATAGTTATATTCCAGACAGAGAGGAAAAAAAACACTCTCATTTTTTTTTGGTGTCAAAGAAAACAAAATTTACTCCATACAAAAAAATTCATTCGAATCATATTATTCGTCCAACCAACAAATGGATTATAGTGATTAAAGTAAAAATGATAAACAATTTCCCCATGAGAGCCAAAAACCCAAAAATTAACACTCATAATTAGAGATATAAAGAATGTTAACGACTCGATTTTCTCTCCTCTGTAAACTGTATCTGTATGCTAAGTTAAAAACATTACCTTTACAGCAACAAGTGTTCTCTCCTGTATTCACGAACGATCACTGGTATGCTCGTCGGAGGAATCTATATATTAACATTACCAACACACACACAGAAATGTATCAGAACCTGTATTGACATTGCTTTTGCATAATATATATTTAAAACACAACAATATGCGTGAAAACGTACCATTCCATAATCCGTTACGATCATAGATATATACTCTGACGGTGTTGAATCGTACCTGGAGAACAAAAAAAAAGAGAAATTAAAAATAAATCTCTGTGATGAATATTTCAAAACCACTCAGAAAGAAAGGCTTTACATTAGATTCAGAAACTGGAGGTTTTTGTTGTTCTCCATTGTCTTCGAACGCTTCATATTGGCTCTAGACGGTATGTTGGCTATGGCATCAGGATCGCCTGCAAAAATTCAACATACAAAAGCTCTGATTCTGAGAAAACGAATCAACCACAAAAAAAGAATAGAGCAAGAGAAGAACCATTACCAAGTTCGTTGGAGCAGATTGAATCAAGCAAGACTCTTTCATGGAACTTGTAAGCTTCACAACACACAATGACAGGGACACTAAACGCGTTCGCAACCATCGCAACGCAGGCTGTGCCAACTCTCGAGTACAGAGTTCCATTAGAGAAGATCGATGAAGCCCCGAGGAAAACCCTTGTAGCATCACGCATGATGTAGGAGATGGCGTTTATATGAGTGTAGGTACAGTCAAGGCCACGGGACACAAGTCTACGGAGTAGCCTTTGGCCTTCGAGATTAGGGCGTGAGTCCACAATCACCACACGGAATTTCCTCCCAATCTCATGAGCGTACAAGAGAATCATCTCAACCACACAAGAGAATCCGTACGTCAGAACAACTTCTCCGTCTCTGATTTTTGTCACCGCGTGTTTCACGATCACCTTGTCTGCAGTAACTATCTTCTCCTCTATGAACCGGCCGATGTCAGAACAAAGAGAAGCTTTTGCCTCTGACACTGACAGCTCTACAGGTAGTTTTCTGATTTGGTTCTTCAGAAACCTGATTGCATTTCCCATGCTCATGGAGAGCGGACGACATTCTATCAAGAACGAAACGTAACCGTTTATTTTGGCTGTCAAGTCCATTGTCAGGTCTTTCATTGGAGGTGTGGTGTAATCTTTTATAGCTTCTTGAAATGCTTGGAGCATAGCAATACATCGCGCATTGTCCCCAGATATATCTCCAGCCAAATGTTGCAAACCCACCTAAATTTAACAAAATACATGTATATGTTCAAACCAATCCTTGACGTTTCACACATATAAACAAGTAGGTTGTACCTTATAGACCGCATGGTGTATGGTATCGAGTGTGAAGATATTGGAGCTTAAATTGGGTAGCTGATTGCCACGTTCGTATTGAGGGAGATGGAGAAATAATTCGACTTTGTTCTTGCTCTCCGTCTGCTCAACAACTGCGCGCTTCTTTGCCTTCTCCACTCGGCTTTTATCATCATACTGCATTTGCGTCTGAGGAACATCCATCCTCTTCTCTTTTTCCACTACTACAGTTTTTTTCTCAGAAACGGATGATGTGACTGGAAGTCCCTCTTTCTTCACTTGAGGCTGTTTGGTAGCCTTCCCCGGTTTGGCTCTACCAGAATCATCCACACGTCTGCTTCCTTCGCCTAGAAATTAGTAAGTATTCAGGTGAGTTTACGCTTCATTTTATGAAAACGGAAAACGAAGGAGATATTGAACAAAGCAAGAACCTTTTGCAGCAGCCTTTGCTGCTCGTTGTGCCTCTTGGATGGCACGCCTTTCTGCTTTTGTGGTTTTCTCTTTCAGCGATTTTTGTTCCTTTTCCTTCTGCGCTTTTGTGGTCACTGCAGATTCACTCTTTCCTGCATAAACATTCTTTCTGTAAGTAATGAAATGCAGAACTAGAAGAAAACATCTGTGCATGTAAATCACAGAACGACTCAAATCCATATCAATTCCACAGCAGCAAATCCATAATGTCAGAGTTCAATAGAAGAAGAGCTATACACAAAATTGTTCTATAGATGCTTAATTGGTTTATTGATTGATATGTATACATACCAGAAACTTCGGCGGTCTTCTTTCTCCCTTCGGAAGCCGGCACCGTCGCAATTTTGGATTCGAACTCCTGAGGAGCTCTAACTGCCATAGTCAAATCGAAGCCTCCGTTGGGAAAGCTCGACGATAACTTGGCCGAATCGCTCCGCTGGAACCCAAACAACGAACCAGAATCCTCAGAAAGCTCTCCGTTGCTCGACGGTGGCGATGTCCCGAGGAGCGAGTCCGCAGGGTTGTAACTTCCGACGTGGAGGCTCCGATCATGGGCTAGGTGACGGCGGAAGGCGGCAGGACCAGGGACGGGGACAGGAGCAGCGCGGGAGGTCAGGTTATCGGAATGGTGACGCGACGGTGGTATCTGGACCGGAGAAATGAAATTTCCGGAGGGTGAATCGGAGAGAGGAGACGAAGACGTTGCTGCCTCTACCGGACCGGATTGGCTTCGATTCGGTCGCTGCGGCTCCGGTGTCGGTTCGATTGATGTGAAGAATCCTACTCGGCGGACTTTAGGGACCGCGAGAGGGACGCGACGAGGATCCATGGAGGACTTGACTCGAGTTTTGATTCGATGGAAGAAGACAATTTAGGGTTTTATGAGAAGATTCAAAGGGATTGAGCAGAACGTGAACAGTTTGGCTAAACCTTCGTTTCAAGTGGGAAATTAATAGTTTTTTCTTATAACGTGTCGAGAAAATAATTAATGACACGTATAATCAAGAATTAATTGGTTTATCGATTTTTTTTCGAATGTTGACTTTTATTAAGGTCGTAAATAAAGAAAGACGAGGTAGTAATTTGTAAATACTTTTCACTCAGGTACAGTATACGTAGAAAGTTTGTTTTATTGCATTATATTACCTTATTTTTGAATTAAATTGTGCTTGTATCTAGATCTATATTTTTCTCTTTTTTGGATTTTGGTAATTGAAATGGAAAGTGTATTTATGGTTATTCATTAATTATAGAAACTTAAATGAAGTTTTCTGAAGAACCGAGTCATGGATGAATGACTTGGTCAGAAGTCAGAACACATTTGTCCAATGAGATGCGATAGATTATTCGCATACAACTACTACAGAAAACTTCATCTTTCTTGCAATGGTTCTGACTTCGACGACCTAGCAAAAGTCAAGATTCCTATAGTTCGTTGACCATAAAAGGCCCGACAAAACTCATTTTATGTTCGTACATGATATTCGATAATAATCAAATGGATATCCGGAAACTCGAGATCCCTTCACAAGTCAACCTTCTCTCCGATCGAATCCGCTCCCGAGAACAAGGTAAGGATTTAACCATTATTTCGGCGGGAAACCTTTCTTGGTATTTTGGAATTCTATAGAGAAAATAGAGATATTCTTTAATATTTCTCTTATCACACCGTTTTTGGCTAATAGGTTTTGATGATTTGAAGGCGAACTGTTGTTAAGAATCTACTGTTCGACCACAATCAGGACCACAATTTTGTGGAACTAATATTTAGATTTATGACCGTTTTTTGCATGTGGATTTAGATTATTTACCGTTGGATCTGAGTTTTGCTTTTGACAAATCGTAACATAGTAATAGTAGCACTAAATCAGTTAGATATAGAGGAACAATTATGGTGGTTATTACTGAATCAGAAGAAACTAGTAGTAATTAACAATATAATTTGATGATTATGCTGGAAACGGCACATTTTATGATGCTGACTAATATTACATTTGGATCCTTTTAACATAAGTTTCACTAGATGCTGATGATATGGCACTGGAGGATGATGAATTAGATGACGAGGAGGATCAGAAAGAATCAGGTTTAGAGGCTTCTGATGGAAGTTTTGAGAAGCAGAAGTTCTCTAGGGAGCAAAGAGAGCATAACCGGGCGATGAATGTGAAGAGAAAGAGAGACTTTGTCTGTTTAGAGAAAGTTAATGGAGAGATGGTTAACATATTGGAGGGACTCGAATTACATACCGAAGTTTTAAACGCAGCGGAACAACAAAAGATAGTCGATAAAGTGTATGAGCTACAAGAAAAGGGACGAAAAGGAGAGCTAAGTACGTAGATATGGTATAGTTAAAAGCTTTCTTGTTTTTTTCAGTATGCAAAAAAGAAACTTAAAAAGTCTCAATCTTTGTTTAGAGCGTGCATTTACTCCTCAAGGCAAAGGACGTTCCGCTATTCAATTCGGCTGTTGTTTCAATTACCGTACAGTAAGTCAAAACTCGGTCTTTTTCTTCATTTACACTAGTTCTAGTGAGTGACAAAGATTGTGATGAATGAGTTTTCTTTTGGTTGTTACATTGACAGAGCAAAGATGGAAAGCCGTCGGGGATACTTAGAGATGAAACTGTGGATCCGTTACCTTTTCTTTTCAAGGAGATCATTAGAAGATTGGTTAAATGGCATGTCTTGCCTCCAGCTTGTGTACCTGATTGTTGTGTTGTCAACATTTATGATGAAGGTGATTGCATACCTCCTCATGTCGATAATCGCGATTTTCTTCGCCCGTTTTGTACCGTTTCTTTCCTTAGTGAATGCAATATCCTCTTCGGATCAAACTTGAAAGTTGAGGAAACCGGTGAATATTCGGGTGGTTCATACTCGTTACCGCTTCCTGTTGGGTAAGTTCTTGCAAACGTTTTATGTCATCTTCCTTGTTGTAGTTGAAACTCAGCTGTTATATAACAAAAACATTTTCCACAACATTTTTAACCTTTTTTCAGATCAGTGCTTGTGTTAAACGGGAATGGAGCTGATGTAGCTAAACATTGTATCCCTGAAGTTCCCACGAAAAGGTACCTTTGATTCGTTTCTTAATTTGCTTGTACATCATAGTAAACATTGTTTTCTTGTTTATGTATTTTTTTTTGTTACTGGTTTTTCAATAGAATATCAATCACATTTAGGAAAATGGATGAGTCAAAACGTCCACTCTGGTTCACACCTGAACCTGATTTGCATGGGCTTCAGCCATTGCCATACGAGCCGATCATCTGGCTCCTCTGACCATGTCTATTAGTGTCTGAAAGTGTGTAACTTTAAACTGTGGGTACTATATTTAAAACTAATTACAGATTTTAAGACTATGGACCACTTTTTCCCTAGATTTAAAAGGACTTTTTTCCCTAAAGATGTTAACAAAAAAACAAAAGAAAAGCATTGATTATTCTAAATTTTCTATAACCATGAACGTCTCTCATGGCATGCAACGCAATTCATGGGTATCGAGTAGATGTGAGCGTTTGAGTTTATTTACGAACCCAAAATAGTAGATTTTTTTCTCTTTTCAACACAAAACCACAACCAATAATATTGACCAGGGAAGAAAATATTAAATTTAGCTACTGAAAATGGCAGAGACGCAGAACAAGTCGATAAAAATAAGACCCATCCTCCACGTGTTTGCATGCATGTGCCTCCACTTCTGGAACCTGTCTCCATTTCTTTCACCTTCTCTCTCGAACCTCACACGTCTCTCCTCTCTCATCCTCTCCGATATGGCTGACCGAACAAACCCTAGCCACAGGCCCACCTACGGCTCCACCACCGTCCCACGCAGTAGCCATCCAATCGCATCTCTCATCCGTCAGCTACAATCACACGCTCCTAATAGTTACTCCGGCCAGCGCTTCGGCTTCCTCGCATTCTTCATCTCCGGTGGAGTCCTCCTCTTACTTACCGGTATCACCTTCACAGCTTCCGTCCTTGGATTCATCGCTTTCCTTCCAATCATCATCATCTCAAGCCCTATATGGATCCCTTTGTTCCTCATCGCTACCGGATTCTTGTCTCTCGCTGGTTTCCTCTTTGCTACTGGGGCTGTCGTCTCGTGGACGTACAAGTATTTTAAAGGCATGCATCCACTCGGGTCGAATCAGGTGGATTATGCTCGGAGTCGGATCTATGACACGGCGGCTCATGTCAAAGATTATGCTGGTGGGTACCTTCACGGTAAGCTGAAAGATGCGGCGCCTGGTGCATGAAAAGCTTCACCGGTACGGTTTAGTTTCATGTACAAATTACTCTTTTCTTTATTTTTTTTCATTGTGAATGTTGTTGTTATTTTGTCTCTTTTGGTATGATCAGTGATGTGTGATGAGATCAATTCAATATTTCAAATTTAGTATGTGTTTGTATGAAATGTTATTTTATAAATACAAATTGGAAATTTTCTTCTTGTGCAATGATTTTGATACATTCAAAAGAATCATTTTTCGACAAATAGCTCAAAAGAATGTTCATGAGCATATTTAATTGTTTTTGTCCTAATTAACCCTTGTAAATTTTGCCATGTTTTGTATCATAGCCTATTTCAATTTAGAAAAAAAAAAATGAGTGGAATGGGACTTTTTCTTTTGGTTCTTTTTTTTTCTTTGGATATGGTCATAAGATGCTTTAGAGGTTAACTTACCCGCTGACTTGTTCTTGATAAGCAAACACGATTAATTATTATTACATTTGCAAACATGTCCATTGAGGCAATGGTATATGTTTTTGAATTCTTTCTCAACAACTAACCGAATAAAATGAAATTAACAAATCGGATCGAGTCAATGTTCTAATGAAACTCAAAAACTAAATCGAGTCAATATAGCTCTAGTTACTCTTATTGAAAATAAACAAATATGAAAAGTTGTTAGTTCCGTTATTGGCTCTATGGCTCTATGGCTCTATGCATGCCTCTATGCTATCATCGAGAGGTTAACATACGCATGGTCTAGTGATAGTTTTTAGGTTTTTGAAATAAGTTTAGCATGTATTTAAATCATTTTCAGAATCATTCTCTAGTAGTCTTAAAAGAGTAAAGGTATCACTAAGTAGAATATTCGGATTTTCTGATTTACTGTAATAACTTAGGTGTAAGCTGGTTTCCTTTGAAATAGTATATGGAAAATACTAACATGAAAATGAAATTATTTTCGATTACAAATAGCTATTTTGATCCCATTTTGATATCTAGATTATCAAATGCCATGATGATTTGGACTTTGGACTTGCAATTTTGATGACGATCCATATGTAACAAAACAACTTAGAATAAAAAGGATACACGACAACATACTTATGTACATAACTTTGACGAAGCTGTATAAACATCCTTCGTTACCATCAGGTTTAACGGTGACCCGACTTAAGAACGGGTCGGATAGTTGGGTAACGGAGTGCCACGTGGAGACCTCGGAGGCCCCTCTCTTAACTGCCGTCCGTTGCAGTCGTAATAAATCACACCCGAGAAATCCAACGGCTCACATTTGCCTCCCATCAAAATCTCTCTCTGCCAAACGCCGTGCTCCTCCTCCATCGCCGCCGTCTTTTTCTTCTCACGCTTAAACCCTCCGCCGTATCCGGTGTCTTTCCGGCCGACCATCATCATCGCCTTGTTGCTCAAAGCCGTGAGCAACTCTTTAGGCCGATGGAATCTTTCTCTGCCGCCGGAGTTTTCGTTTTGAGTTCTCTTTTTCGACTTTAGCTTTAGCTTCTTTGAGAGCCGGTTCGCTTGCTTGGCACATAGAACCATTAGAGAGACGAGAAAGCTGACACTTAGACGCTTGTGAGAAGAGGAGGTGTTATGATCCGGCGTCGATCGGTCCATGTCTTCGCCGGCAAAAGAAATCAAAAGTATATATAAACCCTTCGTTATTATTATTTTGTTTTTGAAGGGGTCAAGGTCAAAAACTCGATTTTGAGGCGATTTAAGCTCTAGTGTCTGAAATGTATGTGGAATATATAAACAGAGACGCGTCGATAGGATTTAAGAAAAGGGTGTTAGGTTACCGGTGGAACCGGTCTCCTTTGCGTTGATTTTTATTTATATAATATGGTGTCATATATGTGGACAGTGAGTTTTTGAATATAAGAGATTTGAAACATTCATTTTCTTTGGATTTTATGTTGAATATTTGAAACTCCAAAGAAGCATGCGAGGGATATGCGTAAACGATCTTTGACATAAAAATATTTAAAAAATCTAAGCTATGAAATCTGCCTGAAATTAATGGTAAAAAGTGTCTAAAGTCATAAGACCAATAGCATTAGCTCTTGAAAATGTATATTTGGTGACTATTAATAGCTATAAAGTGAGAAATACTAACTTTTTCGAGATTTGGAGTTAGTGTGATTCACAAATTTGTAAATAACCAAACGAAAACAGTGAAAGATAGATCGTTAACGAAAAAGATAGATGGTGATTTACATACTATGACCATCTACTAATTGGAGATAAACGTCATTTGGACGGTCATGTATGGTTTATATTGGCATAAAACGATATTCAGTGTCATATTTGATTGGATTTTTCGATAGAGGAAATTGTGGTTTGTTTTTTTGTGCAAGTAGGAAATTGTCGTTAATAGCATTAACTATTACATTAAACTTTTATTTTGTAATTATGTGGGTCGAGTCGGGTTAATAGTCATTCCTCTAACAACTCGATCTTTGACTACGGAGTTGCCGAGCTGGGATCCTCACGCGTTGACTTGAGTCTTTCGTTATTACTCAGACTCAGTCACTATATCAGTTCGTCATTCATTTGACGTTTTGGTGTTTTAATTTTTTCACTTGAATAAAAATAAGATTGAAATTAGCATCCATATATGTGCTAATATTCAACGTGACAATTCTAATTATAATTGCTATGAAGAAAATATCAACCATCTTCTTAGACCGCAATCTAAATTAACTATATCACATTTTTTTATTGAGATATGATGAATGGGAAAGAAATGGGATAGATTTTTTTAACAATCATAGTTGGACTATAAAATAAATATATATGACGAAAACATGTAATTTAGTGATTTGTGCTAATAACCTCATTACATCATCGTATCGAATTAATTCCACAGTAATAATGTTGTTTATTGAAAAAAAATGTAACTTAGCAGTCATTTCTTGGTGGTTGAATATAAAACTATCTTTTTACGATACATAGTTTTAAAATTCATAAATCAATTTAATTCTTAATCCAAATTACTTTAGTTTGAAAAAATTATTATCAACACGATAAAAATATGTAATCTAATGGTTTGTGGTGTAGTGTCTTTGTTGTGGTATAACTCAACTAGTCGACCACTCATATTATACACAAACTCATATTAATGGCGATATATTTTAATAGAATGCCTAATGAACAAATTGTGCACGAAAAAAAGAGGGCTAGTGAACAAACACCATCTCTTTTTGTTGACATTTGGAAAGATCCATTAGGTGGCATTAATTTTGTATATTTTACAAATGTTGCATTAATTTTGCTGCAGATGAATTGTCAATACCAACTATATGGTTTTTCAATGAAATTTTGTTAATATCATTTTTGAAAAAAACATATGAAAACACACATTAACTTATGCTTAGCTATATTAATGATGAAAATATTTGATATTTGAAGAACATGAATTTCAATACGAATTATCATATGGGTTAATCGATCAAATGTTAGATTTCTATACTTTTGACATCATATATATGGACTTACATTAAAAATACAATAATTAATAGAATATTTCAAATATATTGTATTACGTGTGTATGAAAGATATTTTCTTACATAATATCAGAAATATTTTCAATCAGAACAAGTAACATCTTTATTAATTAAGCTCATTTCCAATTTGACAACAAGATAAATAAACATGATATAAGTACTCTGAAAATCATAGAAAACTATTGGTTTATTTACCACCAAATTTTACAATTAGTCAAAAGCAAAATTTATAATTTTTTTTTTTTGTTTTAGCGCAATTGACCTCATCTCAATCGATTCAGGTTAGTCAATAAATTAATTGAATGTCTTAAAGGATACTGAAGAGTATAAAGATACAAAAAATGAAGCTATCGATAAATTTAACGAACCCCATTTTTCAAATCAAGAAACCATAAACTAATATGATGGCTAGAGAAATTTAATACACTTCACAATATGTAATCATGATCCATGATCGCGTATGTAGTCATAACAGTATATGAATCCAAAAAGCAACACAAATCTATTGAATCAAATCAAAAACCTTTTAGCTAGTGATGCAAAGGGTTTGGACCGCTAGGTACGATCCGTTCCTCATCATCATACCAAGAACCGGTTTCTTCTCCGGTAAGGCCTTGACTTCGACGTTGACGTTGTGTCTGATCTCTGTTCTTGAGAAACGGTGTAAAATCAAAATTACTTGCTAGAATTCTCTTATGGCCGAGACCAATGCCGGAGTTGCGCTTATAAGAAGTCGTACATACAAAAGGAATAAGAAGAAAGACGAACAACACATAGAGCAGAGAGATGTGGAAGAGGAAACTACAAGGCCTAGGGTGTTTCTTCATGGCCTTGTAAACAAATTATTGTTGAGGATGAAGAAGCAAAAGAGATCATGGAGACAGAGAGAAATAGAGAGACAAGAGAAATGGTTAGAGCAAAAAGATATAAGCTTTTTTGTTGTTGTTAATATCCATAATAGTATAATTAACTTTATAGTTATGATATGGAGTAATATTTGACATATATGTGTGGGGTGTGTATGAAAATGAGGGGAAGTGAAGCGTAAAAAGGTTACTTTACGTTCAAGTAAGAATGAGGGATGGAGTAGTGCCATTAAAAGAGGCCAAATAGTCAAAGTTTTCAATTTAACCCAATTTATTACACTGTGTTTTGGTATGACTTATTTTTATTGGAGGTTGAGTAATTTATTTTAGCTTTAGATCTTCAATTAATATGTTAGTATTTTTTTTTTATCATTCGTTGTAGTTTCGATATATGGGTTTAGTTAAGCCGAGAAACACCCAAATTGAGTTTTGTGCTAAGAATTAATTGAGCTGGATAAATATGTTTGAGCAGTTCGACGTTTTGAATATCACACATTCGTCCATAATGCACGGTGGTAGTTGACTTGATGATGACTTTACCATTACATTTTTTTCCTTCTCTACGGTTTTAAGTTTTAACGACGAAAATTCTATAAATTTGATTTGAAACTGTAGTAAATTATTTCTTCTAAGACTAATTTATTTTCGGAATAAGTTGGACACTACGATACAATCATGGTTGATTTGCCCTTTTCTTTATATGATCTCTAGTTTTTTTTTTTTGGGTGCAAATGTGAAGATTTATACCATTTTCAAGAGTTTTTCAAATGTTGCAGAGGCAACTTATTACAAAAAAAGAAAAAACAGGAGATAGGGAAAAGAAAGAACACCAATGAGACTAGCCATGATCTCTAGTTCTCTAAAGTAACTCATACTCCTAAAAAAAGCAAATGAATCAAAGATAGCTAAAGCCTAAAACCTCTTCTCAACATTTAATATTTTCCAACATTCAATTACATGACATACACTCAAAATGTTTAAATAAGATTTGTTGGCGTAAATGTAGTACGCATGCATGAATGTGAAAACACGCAAATGTCGCGTTCCGGCGGACATTTTCTTAAATTGTACTCTAGTATTCTCATCTTCTCATTATCCCAAACTTTAGGCCTCTTTTTGATATCAATTAGATTATGCATTTAATTACTTCATTATTTTTCATAATTGAAATTTGAAAAAATCACAAAAACAATGCTTCTATAGTTCTTCTTCCGTACATTACGTTAAACGTGATTCATTTCCCAGCTAAGCCAATGATATTTTCGAGACTATATAATTGATATTCCGTACAGTATTGGTCAAATGTTAATGTAATCAAGGGCCTATAATGGGACTCAGCTAAAATATCCAAGCAATTTATTCAACAAAGGCCCAAACTGTCTGCATAACGAAAACTACTCCAGCAAATGCAAACAGCAAGTGTTTTCTCACTCGATAAATATTGGTTTATAGGTGAAGGCATTACGAGCATATAATTTGATTTTCATAAATATTAGACAATAACTAAAAAGATAACATATTTAAAACTAGGGGCCTATTGGTTGTGGCTGTAGCTTTGATTTTTTTGCTTTAGAATTTATGCTGTAGAATTTTTTGCTGTGATTGTAGATTTTAGTGCTGTAAGATTTTTTATTGTAGATTGTGGCATTAAATATAGCATTAAAACAAAAAGATAAGTTATAAAAACAATAGATTAAAAAATAAATGTTGAAAAAATAATAAGGAAAGAGAAAAGAGAAAGTTCTAAGAGCACTTAATTTTGTGCTCTAGAAAAATTGCATTCCAAAGCCACGGAATTTCCATAAACAAAAAAAATTGCTCTGCGTTTCAAAAATGGAAAGAGATAAAATGAGAGTTTGATTGGTAATTTTGGATTGCTGTACAGAGATTTAGTGCTCTGGAGAGCAACCACACCTCTTACCAATCATCCCCTAGATGTTTTTCTGCGCTGTATACTGATCGACATTTTTTTTTCCTTTTTTTGTGTGTTGAAAAAACACTAAATTTAAAAATAAATCATTTATTACAAATAAATGAGGATTGACAACTTTAAATCTTATTTGATTTATTGAAAAAAACACTAAATCTTAATGCAGATGTTTCTTAACGTATACACGACGACAAATAAATGATTGATCAATTTATTGGAAAAAAAACAAAACATTAAATATTAATGAAGATGTTTTCTCCAGTTATACACAACAAATAAATGATTGATCTACAACTTTAATTTGTATTTAATTTATTGGAAAAAACAAAACACTAAATTTAAATGCAGATGTTTTCTCGCGTTATACACGACAAATAGATGACTGATGGACAACTTTAATTTTATATGATTAATTTAGATATAACAGAACCGTAAATCTAAATGCATATGTTTTCTCGTGTTATATACGACAAATAGATTGATCAATCGACAATTAAATTTTATAGAATTTATTTGAAAAAACTCTAAATCTAAATGCAAATGTTTTATTGCGCTAAATATGACAAATAGATCAAACAATAAATTTAATTTTTATTTGATTTATTTGAAAATAATAAACAAAATACAAAATCTAAATGCAGATATTTTCTCGCGGTATATACGACAAATATACAATCCATCGAAAAATTTAACTTATTTATTTATCTGAAAAATAGTAATCGCTAAATTAAAATTCAGTTTTTTTTAGATGATTGCAATTTTTATTTTTGTAAACGAACAATTAAAACTTGTGTATTGTATATATTCAACTAGATTGTTTACAATCATATCTAAACCGCTTGAGTAAATGTTTAAAACCGAAATAACCATACAGATCAACTTTCAAAAGAAGAAAAAAAATGTGAGACTGGTCTTCAACTACAAGAATCTTATCTTGTGCCACTCCTCCTCTTTCCTTATGAGTGACACAATAGAAAACGAACCAAACAACTCATTGATGCTTGATTATAAGATAAAGTCCAAAATCCAAATAAAACCCCCCTCTTATCCTGCGCATATGTCCACTCTTACAGTGCGCACACTAATTAAGCAGAGAGCAGTTACATTCACAAAACTCCAAAAGCAGAGAATCTGACCCATTCATATACGTTTCTCAAACACTGTCATGCCCACCACACGATTTACCCGAAGAAGAGCAATAAAGAGAAGAGAGAAACAGAGAGCGAGAGAGAGAGAGAGGAGACAGAGATTGAAGCAATCGAATGGAGAGTGTGGCGGTGACTTGGAGCAGAGAAGAAGAGAAAGCCTTCGAGAACGCAATTGCGATACATTGCGTTGACGACGATGTAACAGAGGATCAATGGATGAAAATGGCGTCAATGGTTCCAACCAAATCCTTGGAAGAAGTCAAGCACCATTACCAGCTCCTCTTCGAAGATATCATGGCGATCGAGAGTGGACATGTTCCTCTACCTCATTATAATGACATCATCGACGAAGCAGCAGCAAATTCTCAGGCTAGAAAAGACTGTCCTGCCTCCGGATCATCGGAGAAGAAACCAATTCATGGAGGTAGCTCCAATGGAGGAAGAAGTGGTGCCTCCAAAGCTGAGCAAGAGAGGAGAAAAGGGATTCCATGGACTGAAGAAGAGCATCGGTTTCTTCTCCTTCCTTATTCCTTCTTCCTTGTTTCTTTCATCTGTCTTAAAAATCTCACCTTTACTCAAAATCTCTCTGTTTTTGTTTTTTGCAAAGGTTGTTCCTTTTGGGTTTGGACAAGTTTGGGAAAGGAGATTGGAGAAGCATTTCAAGGAACTTTGTCATCTCAAGAACACCAACTCAAGTGGCAAGTCATGCTCAAAAGTACTTCATCAGGCTTAACTCGATGAACCGAGATCGGAGAAGGTCTAGCATTCATGACATCACCACTGTGAACAATCAAGCTCCTGCTGTTACAGGAGGAGGAGGAGGAGGACAGCAGCAAGTGGTCAAACATAGACCACCAGCTCTGCCACTGCCACAGGCTCTGCCGCAGCAGCAGCAGCAACCACAGCATCCTGGTGTAACGATGGGGATGTATGGTGGTGCGCCAATGGGACAACCGATCATCGCACCACCTGATCATATGGGATCAGCTGTTGGAACACCTGTGATGCTTCCACCTCCAATGGGAAGTCATCATCATCATCCTCACCCTCACCATCATCTTGGAGTTGGTCCTTATGCTGTTCCTGCTTATCCTGTGCCACCGTTACCGCAACAACATCCAGCTCCATAGACTATGGCACTGACAAGGCAACACAGTTTGGTAAAAGAGTGACCAAACTTGCTGTGTAGATTCTTAAATTGAATAGCCGAGAAAGAGAAAAACAACTGGGGACGGAGATGAGAAAATCATGTACAGAGAGGAATCTGTCTTTTTTCCATTTCAAAAATCATATTTTTTTTTTAATTTTAATTTCCCTAAATGTCATTCTTGAAACAAAAAAAGTTGATAGGATTCTATATTCAGAAGGGTACATAGAAAGGTTTCAAGAGTTATCTTCCTTATTGTGAAAAGGAAATGTGTGCAGAAGATATACAACAACCAAAACAAATTAAGAAGTAACTGATGACTAGAAAAGAGAAGATAGCTGCCAAAAATTGAAACAAACAAGTGATATAAATGAGGAAATGGTGTCAGTTTTATACCTATTAGAGAAGCTCTCTTGTTGTAACTTCACAATGTGCCATAGTAATATGGACCTGAAAATTGGCATAATAAATACCACTTGAGCACACAAACTAAATCACTTCTTTACAAGGAAAAAACAAAAACCAAATCCAAAAATATGGTTAGAAGAGAATTAGAATAATAAGCCACACTTATATAACAATTAACAAATGGAGAAAGGCAGATTTAATCAATGCTAAAAGTCTTGTGCATCATCATCAAGAAATCAACATGTCTAATTCAAAGAAGTCAAAACGTACTAAACAATGGAATAGCATTCAAATTCATATTAACAAAAAAACAATTCGTGCCTTACATATGGGCTTATCCAGGCCTTATACTCAACCAATTCGGGTCCAGAATTATTTTGTCTGTTTCTGAAAATTCAATAAACAAAAAGACGCCGTTGCCGGAGATCGAACCCGGGTCACCCGCGTGACAGGCGGGAATACTTACCACTATACTACAACGACTTGATATTCACATCCCATTGTTTACAAATGTTTTCCAAAAGTATTTTTCCTAACCAAGGCAAGTTGATTGTCCCTTGGCGTCATTAGTCAATCATTTACTCATTAGCACAAGTCAAAGTCTTTTATGCCAAAGAAAAAGAAAAGAAAGAAAGAAATCCATGTGCTCGCACAATCATGTTTACCATTATCACCTAACAATAATCTTCCCAAGTCATTAGCAATTTAAGTTTTCATATTTTCCATTTATAGATTATATTCGATATTAAAAAAGTTTTCACCGTTTAGATTGTTATAAATGTTCAATTTTGTTTCGGATTGATAATTTTAGTTCGGTTTGGTCTCTTTGCCCATCCTACTTTTGTCTTATTGGCCGCTCTCCATTACATAAATATTTTGTTTGACGTCTTTGTTGTGTTTTCGAATCAGCTCTCATCACATGTTGCTTCCCTTTCATCACGTTCGGACAGATCGCAGAGGTTATTGACGAAGGCGCAACCAGTAAGTATTAACATTTATATCAATGTAGTGTGCATTAGTATATATATTAATATTATGATACAAAATCTACGGTTGCAAATTGGACTGTTCTAAGTTTACCTAATGACCTTATCCTTTTATTTCATTTCTTTTCTCTCACGATTCTGCGATATTGTAACATTATCAATTCATAATTCAATACGTGCAGGTTGTGGGACGGGTGGAATATTGTATGGATTGATATGTTGTCTATTTGCGATACCGTGTGTTTACTCATGCACATTCCGGGCCAAGCTCCGAAACAAGTACGGGTTACCGGATGCTCCAGCTCCAGATTGGATCACTCATTGCTTCTGTGAATATTGTGCACTTTGTCAAGAGTATCGCGAATTCAAGAACCGTGGCCTTGATCCGGCTATTGGTACATTATCAAACGGCTCTTCTCTTTGGATTAATTTAACTGAAAAACATTATTATTATTATTTTTAACTAGATAGTAATTTATTTTTGTTCGTTAATGTTTAATTGACTTGGTTAATTATCTTGGTGTATGTAGGATGGATTGGGAATGTGCAGAAGCAGCGAATGGGTCAGCAACAAGAGATGATGGCTCCAATGGGTCAACGAATGATGGGTTGACTTCGTTGAATTTTTATATGCAACAGGAATAATGCTATTTATTTGTTTTTTCCTGTTTTTTTTTGTTTGAATTTATCTATGGGTTCATGATCAAATTAAGATAAATGTCAACAAGGCTTGGTTTTCAACTTTTCGTGGGTAGGCATGATTTAATCTTTGCTGTATTTGCTACCATTTCTTAGAATTAACCTTATTAATTAGTGTGATGCATGTGAACCCACTTCGTATTCTTTCGAAAATCCAAAGACGATCAAATGTATCTTTTTCACTTGTATAATATTGTACTTGTAGATAAACTCATCAAAAGACAAATTCATCAGCTCTGATACAAAAATAGTTACACTTTTAAAAAAACAAAAAAAGAAAATATTGTTCATTCATCATAAAAATGCAAAATGCAATTCAGGCTTTCAGGAGATCCAAAAAGTTACAATTCTATCTGTTTTATAAATGCTTGTCTGAATCTTAATTTTCTTGTTGATCCTCAATGTTAGACTGATGCAATCTCTTCCTTTTTATTGTATATGTGATGCAATTCAGGCTTCTTGATTCAGATCCTATCCGAGATCCAAAGAGTTAAGCAATTCACATTTCTTGATATATGAATTGATCTTACTCTTCTTGTTTTTACCGATGTATATTTGTTTTTCTTTATTGTTTTTTGTGATGCAATTCAGGCTTCTTTGTTTAGACATGTGGGCTCGCTCCATTATCAAAACCAAATTGGCAATTTGTATAACAATTTGCTCCATTATCGCACATTCCAATATAACATTTCTACAAAAAAACATGGGCAGATTGCCAATTTGGTTTTGATAATGGAGCGAGCCCACATGTCTACCTGACTGTTTTGGACTTTCTGAGTTATTGTTTTGGACTTTCTGAGTTAGTGTCAAACCCATAACGGGGACCTTACTGGATTGATAGCTGATTTTGATTTTAGATTATTGATGAGATCCTGTGAGACCCTAAATCTCAATGTCTTGATGAGACCCTAAATCTCGATGTATTGATGAAACTCCCATCTATAGGAAGAGAAATTAGTATAGCCTAAAATTATGTTAGTCTGAATTGAGTGGATCTATAGGATGTATAAGAGAAATTCATATAGCCTAAAATTATGTTACTCTGAAATTGAGTGGATCTATAGGATGTATAAGAGAAATTCGTATAGCCTAAAATTATGTTACTCTGAATTGAGTGGATCTATAGGATGTATAAGAGAAATTCGTATAGCCTAAAATTATGTTACTCTGAAATTGAATGGATCTATAGGATTGAGAGTGAGCTATTGCTGATCCAGAGAACACTTTACATTCATGATTGCAGAGGTAGAGCTCGCACTGGAGGCAGTCACAACTTGAGTAGTTAACACACGCTCAATGGGTAACCATGTTTGAAAATAGGGAGCTTTTTCAAATGCATAACGCCCTACTGATTGAACCACAACCACAACCACAACGCCCTACGGTAACCATGTTAGATTTCGTTAATATTTCTAGTATTTGTGTTTCATTTGTCAAGTTTGACAGAATGTTGAGTATCATGAGAGACTAAGTAAATATCACCACATGATAACATTTTTATTCTCTCAAGTTGGGTACTCTTAAGCTCACAAAATTCCCAATAGACAAGACCATTCAGAAGGAGATGCAAACAAATTTCATTCAATTCAGAACCTTGCAAAGTGGAATCTTTTAAATCACAAACAAGAAGAATACACTATCCACGCAGTTTACCATACAGATTGGAGCAATAACGAGTAAACATGTTGAGTTATCAATGCAGCAACTGTAAATACATGCCTTAACAATGAAAGAGATAAGCTTACCATTGGTGGATCGTGACCGTCTCCTAAGAAATGCATCAGTGCTAAAAACTTTGTTTTCCTGACAAAAGAAGTTATATAGGTAAGAAAAGGGGTGCAGAAGAGTTGATAATAATATAAGTAAAGAGAAAAGATCACATACTATGAAATTGCGGTAGCCACCCAAGATAGATGCAAAAAACTTTGAGAATATAACCCTGCCAGAGGAAATGGATTTTGTATAACAAAACAAGAGAACATGAGTACAAAAAGTAAAAAATTCCAAGGAAAAAGATAAACCAAATTCAGGGTAACTTATGACGAAAGTTCCCTAAAGTCATCACCTGAGTTGAAGATCATGTGACTGTTAAGACTTTTAGGGCATTGCTCAACAGAATTAGCAAAGCCCTTTAACTGATCGATCGCCACAGCATTAGGGTGCAATATAGTGATTTGGTTAGATTCAAGATCCACCACTACAACTTAAAAGAGAGAATGTTGTGAGACCAATATCAGGTTGTCTAAATACTAAAGAGGATAAGGGTGAGTTAGAATTAAACTCACGCCATCCATAGCAAGATAGGATGTACCGACTTCAGATTGGAGACCCATCATATAAGTTGTTGGTGCATCAACTGGGATTTCTAAGACATACCTTCCATCGGAAAGGATAAATCAAGTGGCAATATGGCTTCAGACACCAGCGTCAAAAGCGAGCACCTGGATCTTCGTATCTATACAAACATGCAATTAACTTTCATCATGAAGACAATGATAAGATATCCGAGAAACGAAAGCATCACATAACTTTACTTGAAACACAAGTCAGACATCTGCCTGAGGAGATAACCTACTCAAAAGGTCCTCTGTAGGTGCTTCCGCCGAGAGCAAGCAATTTTCGACAGCAACAAGACTCGTTGGCAATGTCACATTAGCTACCATGTAGGAGATAATATCCCACAACGGTTTACTGAAAAGGTTAAAAAAAGTATACCATTCAGATCAAGTTTAAACATAAGAATGGGGTTCGTTCTTTGACTCCTTGTTTCTATATAAAAAATAACTTTCATGTTATCTCTTCTTCCTATCATATATAATTAATTCAACTTAATACTATCGAAGAAATTGAGGATTTCTTTGTTGAGGTACTATGAGTCTAATTCAAGATTCATTAAATTTTGATTTTTTTTTTTCCTGTAATTGAACCTTCTCGAATAGTTTATTTTCCAGGACCAAAAAATCTTGTTTGTGTGCAAACAAAAGGTTTTAGATACGTAATGGATCATGCATGTTCTTTATTTACTGGATTTTCCAAAATTACTAGTTTTGGCAAAATTTGTTGCGTATGTATATAACTATATATCATCCAATATTCTCGTTGAATTCCGTTTTTCTTGTATACTGTATATATATGTGCTAATAGTAGACAATATATATATCTTTACTTCTTAAAACAAATTTCTCGCATGCACCAATCTATTAATAATATATCGTGTTTTCCATGATTAATCGGTCTTATTACAGGGAGATCAAGCTTCGATAATCGGAGGAGTGATAGAGTTCATCAAAGAGCTGCAGCAATTGATGCAAGTTCTCGAGTCCAAGAAACGTCGAAAGACACTATACCAACCTTATCCTTACAATCAACAAACATTGGAGCCATCCGAGTTCATCAAAGAGCTGCAGCAATTAGTAGCCCACGCGGCCACCAATGCAACCACCAGAGTGCGGTTTAATCGAATCGAAAACGTAATTAACACACGCACTTTCTTTTCTTTCTTTTTTTTTTTTTTTTTTTTTTTTAACACACACGCACTTTCAAGGAAATAGGAGTATGTTGCAACTCCCCTCATGCAAACGTCGAAGCCAAGATCTCAGGCTCTAACGCTGTATTGAGAGTTGTCTCTAGGCGAATTGCGGGCCAGCTGGTGAGGATCATATATTCATATCCGTCTTGGAGAAACTATCTTTTCAGGTTCTTCATCTCAACATTAGCAGCATGGAGGAGACTATCTTGTAGTTCTTTGTTGTTAAGGTACATATCAATTTATATCTACATAAAAACTATGTTAGTATAATACATGAAAACATGAATATGATGTTTAATTTTTTTTTTTTACTGGAGTGTCACTTAAGCTTGGACGAGCTGACCTTTGAAGTTCAGAAAAGCTTTGTGTCTGAAGGCGTCGTCTCTACCAACTAAAACTAAAAGTATACATGTACTATATATACAGCGTGTATCGTATACATAAGCATACTTGATACTTTGCTATAAATTAAGCTCCTATAAACTTAATTATTGCCATACCTTGTATTGATCTAGTCACTTATATGTTTTACTTTGTTTGTTGTAGTATGCGAACTCGATCAAAGTTGTATTTCAGAATAAATCATCACAAACTATGCTCTACTAGTTTCATTGCACACTACATGTATATGAATAAACGAACCAAAATATTAATTAGAAACGAATTTATATATTATGCCAGTATGCAACATTGTCATGTTGTATAAAAAAATAAGTGCAAGCTGTGACGACAAATTCAAACTAATTCAAGTTGCATATGATAACCCTTTATATAAACCAAACCTTCATTCTAAAACCTTTTACAAAACAAAAAGGCAGAAAACAAAGAAAAAAACCTTTTTCTTCTCAAACTCTAAATCAATTCTCTTCGGTATACAAATGGGTCGACCAGAAGGAAGTCCGAGAAATAACTTCAATCCAATGTTTCATGCACAACCTCAACCTGAGCCACCGGTTGACGATAAACGAGTGGTCCAAAACGAGCAGAGACGACATCCCACTAATGGTGGAATGGTTAACGTCCAACCGAACCAAGTACCAATGGACAGACCGGGTCAACCTCCGCATATGCATAACGTCAGAATGGTTAACCAACCGAACCAAGTACCAATAGACAGACCGGGTCAATCTCCGTATATCGTCATCAGTAACGGTGGAATGGTTAATCAACCGCACCCTGTCCCAATGGTCAGACCGGTTCCACCTCCGTATATCAATAACGGTGGAATGGTTTACCAACCTTATGGAGTACAAATGGTCCGACCAGTCGTCCCACCATCAAACTGGACCACAGGCTTCTGTGATTGCTTTAACGATGTTCCAAATGGTTAGAGATTACAAACTTTTTTGACTTTTTTTTTTGGGGTCCATTAATGTTACATAATGATTTTTGACGTTTTTGTTGTGTTTTCGGATCAGCAATCATCACATTTTTCTTCCCGTGCATCACGTTCGGACAGATCGCAGAGGTTATCGATGAAGGCGCAACGAGTAAGTATTCTCAAATTTATATATCATCAATGCAACATTTGTAAAGATTGGTAATCTATGAGAACAAGGGTTTCACGACTCAGTGATTCAAAACCATATATTATTTTGGTATTTTATGTATATATATGTGTACGTATGTGTAGGTTGTGGGACGGCTGGATCGTTATACGTATTGATATTTTGTCTATTTGCAATACCCTGTGTTTACACATGCACATATCGGACCAAGCTACGAATAAAGTACGGTTTACCGGATGCTCCGCTTCCAGATTGGATCCTCCATTGTTGCTGTGAACCTTGTGCACTTTGTCAAGAATATCGTGAGCTCAACAATCGTGGCATTGATCCTGCTATTGGTAATCTCTCTGGAATTAATTAATCAAACTTGAGATATTTTTAATTATATGGTTATTTGAGTTTTGTTTGTTAATGTTTTAATTGACTTGGTTAACTAAATATTGGTGTATTTAGGATGGATTGGGAATATGCAGCGAATGGGTCAGCAACAAGTGATGATGACTCCTCCTATGGGTCAACGAATGACGGGTTGACTTGGATAAATATTTTTACACCAACATGAGTAATGCAGTGCTATTTATTTGATTTTACCTTTTCCTTTGTATTTATTTATATCACGACCAATCATATATGTCAACAAGGTTTCGTTGTTGTGGGTGGGCATGAACATTTCTACATGCTGGATTTACAATAAATATTATTAAGGGTGTTTACTAAGTTTGTGGAGTAGGAAAGTTGTTGAATAATTTTGTGTGGTAATAAATATTACTAAGGGTGATGACTAAATCGAATGGCTATAGTTTCGTTCAGCTGATTTGGGCTGAATGGGCTCATTTAAGCTCCAAAGTGGAAACCATTCTCATAATCCTGGTTAGATACTTGTTTAGTTTTCAGTCGACAGTTAGATACTTTACCACAATGAATTACACAATTCAAAAAGGAACAAATGAATTTATTACTAATGTTTTTTGTGTGAATCATATAAAAAATAAATATCAAATACGAGATTTCTGCTACCATGAAATGAAAATCTCAGTTTGATATTATAAATAGAATGTGAATTGGGGAAGAAATTAATTTTGGACTGAACCAAAAAATTGGTATCGTTTTTTTGAGAAAAGTTGTAAGAGCCAGAGGTCGGTTTGGCATGACCACTCTGACTCATTATATCTATCACCAAACTTAAGAGTCACCAAGCTTAAAACATTTTCACTTAAGTGTGCCAAGTTCATGAAAAACATATTTATTTGGACACTTAAGTTTCCGAATCAAAATCATATCTGTCATAATTTCGGACAACTTTCGTGCACAGTTATGATAAATCACAAATAACTCATTTAGTATTTGAATGGTTAAATAAGTTTATTGTTTAGAATTAAAATGCAATGGATCCGACAAAACATTACCTATTTGTTGGCAAGCAAACTTTGTGATCAATTACTTTTAGAAATCTATGAATTTTTTCAAGAAACCAATTTGGATCAAAGATCAAATCTTGAAAAATTAATGATGTCTTGTTTTGTATGTTTCATTTATCAAGAACATTTACAATTTTTCAGATTTACTTGTAGATAAGAATAATTACAGTTTACAATAAGATAACCAAGAAAATTTTGAGCAATGGGCAATATATAATTTGTAGATAGCAAAAGTTCAAGATAAAACAAAAGTAACTGTAATATGTTTACAGGAAAAATTACATACTTTTGCTGATAATCAGCTCAAAATACCTTGATATCGAAATTTCACATGAATGTACTTCTAACCAAATCAAATTTTGAAAATGTTACATACTGGAGATTTTACCTCTATGTTAATCCAATAATATGTATTTACCCAACACTAGAGTTTATTTATAAATCGACCAAAACAAGAATCGCTGAGAAACACATGTAAAAATTCGTAAGAGAAAAGAATATCCAGAAAGAAAATTTTCCCTCAACCGCAAACAGATGAAAAAACAACAAATACAAGTTAGAAGATACACAGTCATAGACAAAAGTTATTGCACAAAAATCAGATGTTGATGGTCGCATCCCACAGCCGGAGAACTCCATTCCGGCCACCGCTACATATCCGTTTCCTCTCAAGATCTGACGCAACACATCTCACCTGAACCACAAATTTGATCCAGTCTCAGTAAAACACAAAGATACAGCAGTAAAACACAAAGATAAAACACAAATTTGATCCAGTCTCAATATCCCACGATCTCATAGGAATTATCAAAACTGGTAACTTTCAAGTAATGCGAAAAGAGGATCATACCACAGCGGCTGTTCTTTGTGGTACTCTGTAAATTTGCCAGCCTGAGACTTTAGCTCCGGCGTTAGCAGGTCGATGGAAAAGAGACATTGAGTTATCTGCTGCTCCAATGCCTAACCAATTTTCACCAGCGTTGATTGATAGTATCGAAGAACTATGCAGCGTTATATTCTTCACGCATTTTATGCCTCCTGCAAACCAAAGAAAACCAAAAGTGTTAAGCCATTCTCACTTATTTGGTGCAGCTTCTCTAGTTGGTGATTTGGTTAAGCTAAAGTGAGTTTGTTAGGACTCAGATCAGAGTTTCAGATAAATAATGAAATCCTCACCGTCATCATTTTCCCAAAAGCGGAGCAATCCATCAGCCGAGCCTGCAGAGAGCAATGCACTAACTTAAGCTTTGATATTATTTTTGCGAGATCACTTCTCATTCAATAATTCTTGTGAGAATTGGTTCTAGTAGAAAACATCATGGACCTGTGATTATTCCTTTGTCAAATGCGGAGTATTCAACAGACTGTACTGGTCCAGCATGGCACGCCAAAACGGCATCGCATGATCCTCTGGAGACAGACCATACTCTTGCTGTCCAGTCATCGCTGCCAGTAATCAAGGTATCGTCCACCATTCGAATTGATCTGCAAGAAATTTACACGGTCAGAGATCTGAAATATCATAATCTCCAAAAAATAGAAACATGTTGTAAAAGATGAGGGTGAGGCTCACCGTATCCATTTGGTATGCCCTTTAAGCTTATGCATTTGCTTTCCTGAACGAATATCCCAGATATTTGCAACCCTGATGATTATCCAATCATTATAGTAAGTTACTTTAAATACACCAAATCTTATAACACTTATGGATTATATAGCATACATACGTGTCTCTGCCAGCAGCAGCCAAGATTCCTGTGGAGTCATCATATTCAATCGAAAGAATGGCACTTGAGCATCGGCCAACAGTTGCAACATACATATCGGTTCGAACATCCCACATCTTAATCGTTCCATCATGTGCAGCAGTGAGGACACGTTCGCCTGAAAGCATCTTGACACAACTTACCTGCACAACATTTTTGGACGTACCATTAATATATGCTTCCTTATGACTGATTGATAGTGTTATAAGTTGATCAGTGATGATAACTTTGCAAATTTAAATGGCAGCTCCACCAATTTCCAAATTGGAGTTCAATGTTGAAAGTTATCTGTTTATTTAATTATGTCCATGTCTTATGTTTACTCTGTGTTGACCACTAATTATTTCCCTTATGTCAGCAAAACACTAGTAGAAACCTGTGAATCGTGGCCTTTCAGTTCTTCTAGAAGCTGAGTTGTCTGTTTGTCCCATACGATAATAGATTGATCATCTGATCCTGAAACTATCTTTCCTCTGTCAGAGCTTATAGCACGAACGGTTCTACATCAAAAGTTGTAAAGAGATAAGAAACTACAACATATAACACCACAACGCCCGAGCGAATAAGAAAGAGAGTATACCCAGTATGTCCTTTCAAAGTCGCTCGAAGTTCAGAGCCACGCAGACTTGGATCCCAGATTTTAACCTGCTCATATTCAGGAAGCAATCATAAGAGGATGCTAGGATGTCGTCCATTCTGAATTAGCAGAAAACTAAGGTGTTCAATATGAATTTCAAGAAATGAGAAAATGAAAAACTATGACATCCTAGATCGAGTAGAACGCGGCACTCTTTATGTCATTTAGGTGTGTGTTCTCTACGTAGATACCAAGAACATTTATAGGTGCCAAGAGAATCCAACTAGATGACTAAAAAAACTGAAGAGTGAAAAATAACCATATAAACATTCGTTTAACCAAGCATTATATACCTACCAGACAGTCTGTACTTCCACTGATAAAGAACCCAGCATCCTCGCGGTCACCCACTAGATCACAGACTTCTCTTCTTGTCACAGAGTGTAAGGCAGTGACAGCACCACTATGACCCTTCAGAACACGTACATTTGTCTGAATTTTCTTCTGTGCAGCAGCAGTTATGTCTGTTTTGCCAAGTTTAGTATACTGACTTCAGCGAAAACAAACCAGAATAGCAACCACAAAGAAAGGAGTTAATAATGGATGTACCTGAAGACGCATTATCAGAAACCCACTTACGAACACGACTGAATGAGTTCGCTCTTGATGCGGTATCTCTGCTAAACATACTCTGAACCCAACTCCTTCCAGAAGCTTCTGCAGGTTGCTGGGTTTCATCGGAGACATCTGCTTTTGGACGTGGGGATGGCAATCCAGAAGATATGGACTGCTGCTTATATGAAGAAGCGCCCCAATAGCCGACACGGAGTTGCTGAACATGCGATAAGAAACCTCTGAGTTTTATCTGAAACAAAATTTAAAGATGCAACAAAAAATATTAGGTCTCAGTTAAAAGCCCAATTAAAAAGCTTGAAAATTGTAACTGTATTGAGTATAAAGTACGGGATGTGAGACACATTTCAGCAGTACGAAAGAAATAGAAAATATAATTTACCAGTAGTTTAAATCCAAGTTTTTGTTTCTCTGCTATTGTCTCGATAATGTTCCAAGCATCTGTATCAGAAAGTCCCAAGCCAGCCTTCACAAGAGCGTTAAATAATGTGAAGACAGAGTAAACAAACTGAAACCATTTAGGAGCAAGAGCGTGAAGGATAGTTCAACTCTAAAAATAAAGAAGCTCACCATATGTGATGCCACTATGATTAGTCTGGCTGTGACCAAAGTAGCATAGTTCACTGATCTGAGAGAGTACAGTAGAAGGTTAGACGAATTAGTAATTCTAACAATGATCCAATCCATCGACAGAAGAATGTAAGATACAGTGAGATGATATATGGTTGCTCCATGATAACTTAAGAAAACTCACTCATTTGCCGGCTGCTCCATGAGATACTCGAAGTAACCTTCCCAGAATCTGTCAAACAATTCAAACTCTGTCAAAACTCTACTTGCTAAGCAGCACCAAGAAAAGAAAACCTCAGAGCCCGCAGCATGTTGGATTGCATACCTCAATTCCTCCCAAATGGGTATGGAGATGAGATGACGCTGAACATAGTCTGAGACATTATTGGCATCCTTCTTGAACATTTCTGCAGAAACTTCAAGTGCGTCTTGAACTGTCGCTAAATCGTTTCTTAAAGCAGCACGACTGACAGCCATTTTGAGCTGTGTTTAACAATGAACAAAATTGTTGACGAATATCATATCGTACATTGTGTTGCTCAGAACTAAAAACCATTCAACAACAGCAA